ACAAGGCGATAACCACGCGCCTTGGCAGTATCAATCATGAACTGGGTCAAGTTGACCACGGTCTGATAGTGCACATCATGGGACAGCTCGATGTACTTGTTTGCTGCCGCATTTGTTGAGACACCATTGGAGAAGCGGTCCTTGGCGGTCTGGATCTCTTCAGGCGAATCATACATGTAGTCCTTGGTGTCGATATTAACGTTGATGATGTGGTAGCCGAGCGTCTTGAGCAGGTTCTGACATCCTGACCCGGCGTCACATTCAAGGAATGGCGGGCGTATGTAAGTGGGAATCCAGCCGAATAGGTTTCGGAATGCCATTTCGTTGTAGATGATCTCAGTTCTCTGGATGGTGCTATTGACCTCGTTCAGGTTGCGGTGGGTCCATGTATGGCTTGCAATATGGTGGCCGGCGGCGTACATTCTTCGCATTACGGCCGGCCAAGGCGTATCGGGGTTGTCCATCCGGTTCTTGCCAATGTTGTTGCCGGCGACAAAGAAGGTGGCGGTGATGTTCTGGGCCTCCAGGATGTCGAGCAGGTTGGAGGTGTAGATGTAAGGGCCATCATCATAGGTCAATGCCAAGGTTCCTGGGTTGGCGCAAGTGGTGATGATTGAGCCTAGACGGATATGCAAGTTAGGTCCGTCCCACGATGCATAGGCAGATGAACACACCATAAGGCACGGAGCCCACGAGGGGCCGCGCGATACTCTCTGTGCTAGCACCAGGTGGCGGGAAGCTTTCGAGGCTTGGTTAGCAACTGTGCGGCACAGTGGAAACTTCGACCGACGTGAACTTACAAGGTATCGCAAGAGTCGCTGTAATCAAGTTGGCATTGCGAGCCGCCGCAATAATCTGCCGTCGTTCCACACCAGCCGGCTTCTGAGCAACACTGGCCCGGATCACAGGACCCGATTCCGGGCCCGCACTCGGCGCGCTTTCTCAGGGGAGCGTTTATAGTGGCGGCCATGGCCGCCCCTGAAAGGAGAATAGGCAGAAGCGCATGCATAGCTAGAGAATGTGAGGCAGTCTGCAAGGCAAAGAGGGTATGATTCCGACCGATCGACGCTGCGGGCAAGATGGAGAATAGGTTCCGGAATGATTCAAAGAAGGCGAAGGGCGGTATTTACGAGAGATTCCTCAACGATAATGACTGGTCTTCGGCTTTACACTACGAAGATGGATATTGCTCCTACAGACCTGCCAAGGACGCCGTGTTGAGTCCAGTCCTTCGGGTTGTATTGACAGAGAGGGCAAGAGTAGGCTGGCTGAGAGCGTGTGACTTGGCAGCTGGATCAATGGCGCTGGCCAAGCGCATATAATGGCATTCCTCAGGTCAAAGATGGATGGAGTCAGACGGGAGAAACGGCACTTGCCAAAGGTAGGCTGGCACCTTCAACCCTCTCGATACGAGGCGGCGCTTCGTCAGATCGTGGGCTAAGACTCCAATATTCAGCATGACATTGCGTCCTACGATCCTCTGGATGGCTGAATCCATGGCTTCGGACCCAACTATTCGTACGCGACCCCAGCATGACTACATGCCAGACATTGACGCATAGGCTGTCGACAGGTGGCATACGAGTTGCGGAGCCGTGAGAGCCGGGTTAGGTGCGCCGTACGGGAAGCTCGCGGGGTCGAAGAGATGAACCCATATGAGCTTTCACCCGATCACGGCCCCGTTGTGCCCGACTAAAGGCTGGGATCGGCAGATATTGCTCGTGTACGAGGCCAGCCGTCCAACAGCCGGACGGTGAATGGTAGACAAGGTGTGCGTTGGCAGGCTAACGGTGAAAAGGAAAATTTTTCTCCCAATTGAGTATGAAATGGGCTGAGTGAGACCAGACTTATTGGGCCCTTGCAGACTTGGAGCTGCAGAAGCTGGGCAATAACGTATCCATTCAGGCCAGCATGCCAACCTCCAGCCAGACAGACCGAAGATCCACTGCAGGTGCCCTGATGATAGATTGATGATGTGCTTTGTGAAAGTAACAGGGGCATACCTAGAGGAAGATCAAAGACCAGGGCTGGGATGTAACCGGGGGGCTGCCCGTGGACGACGAGATGCCCCCGAACAGTCCAGAATCCCTGGATATGGGTGTATTCCCCCTGTCAGTTATCCACATTGGATTATCCGAGGAAAACTTTGCTCTGTGTAAAGATGCGCATAACGAGATGAGAGGCGGGGAGTCATCATGGTGAAGTACCTAGACACCCGTCTTTGTCTCTTCTCAAAGAAATTCGCTCGTCCAGGTTCCGTGTCCTGCGGCATCGATGTTCGAAATGAAACTTGACCGCGAGAATGGTCTCGCCGCATGACTTCGAAGACCAAGTTGAGAACAAGGATACGTTGTCTTTCATCTGCTTCTCTTCACCGTCGTATGTCGACCCCGAAAAGCTGGTGCGAAGATCGGAATCTTTCAGCAGACAACCCGAATGGACGGGCTTGTGTTTCCCCAGGCTGGTCAGGCTTGTCCTCCTACGGACGCGCCGGTCCTTGGCTGTCTCCGAGGTTTTGGTAATGAACCCGAGAGGTGCAGTCGCCGATACCCGGCGACACACTACTACGCTTGTTGCCGCGTCCTCGTCAGCGAGGTTCTGGTCGGCATTTCCTGCCTCTTAGACTCCAACAAACGGGCACAGAACTTTTGGTTCTTGGCGGTAAACAAAAAAATGTCGCTTTGCTCCAATCTTTTAGTGCCGTCAGCATCCTCCTCTCCGCAAACCAACTCTTTCAGTAATCAGGCAGAAACTACGTTGAGAGTTTCTCGTCCCCGTGAGTATTGGTCAGCCTACGCTTGTTGGGTTCTTGATGTCATCAGGTCGGACAAGGTCGTAAGGTGCGAAAGATTGAGTAAAGACGGCAGCCTCATCGATTAGACCTCCTCGTATAACCGAAAGCCTAAGGACGTACAAGTCACCAGACTGAAGCGGTGCGATCATGGCTGGGGCCAATGACATCCCTAACCTCACACAAAGATTGAGATGCACCTCGTCTTCTTTGCATTGTTGGCAGAACTTGGCGCCGACCTGGCAGGGCTGTGAGCTGCGGCTCCAATATCCATCCCCGATCCGTTGGGGGTGCCTCTGTATTTCTATAATTGTATTGCATCTTGCATTTGCAGTGCAGATGGCACCAGCGCAGACGCATTTTGCCATCCCATCTTCTGGTTCGTCAGCTTGAGAAGAGGCCACAAAGTCCCACCAATCATGCTAGTGTTGAGGGCACCCACCGAGCACGATGGCAAGTCCCATGGTCAGAACATTGAAAAAGTCTTTTGAACCACAGAGAACTAGTATGAGAAGCGCGCAGTGGCGGTGCACCTTCGTCCGTGGACGCTGCAGTGGGCTTCTGGTGATCGGGAGACAGGTCGGCAAGTGTTGCGAGATCGTGGTGAGGAGACGGCATTACAGTCGAAGCCGTCGTCAACGGCCACATAGGAGTGCAGAGGCAGATTCCCGCTTTTGGCTCCCTTTCGAGAAGAGCTGCCCTCGTGGTATGAAACGAGCCGAATGCTTGATGATGCCGTCCCGGTCGACGGTGTGCGACTTGGCTGTCGATCAAAACTTCTCAGCGCCCCGTTTCGGACAGAGGTTTTGCTTGTTTGAATAAAGCATCATGCTACAACCCGTCGGCTCGAGCCATATGTTGGCCCCAGGCGGCGGGACCGCAAATAGCATCGTTCAGTAGGAATACCAGAGGCCGCTTGTTTGCTGGCTGACAGAAGTCCGCTGTGGCTTGAGAGGTCCCGAAAATGAAATCCAGCTGGTAGGTCCGCCACATGTGCTACACAAGCGCATCCCCCCAAGGCGCCGCGCCGGTCCCGAGCCGAGAATGACGAGATGAAGGGAGGTTCTTGGCGTTGATGTTTTCTTCTTCTCTTCCTGAACGAGGGTCAGAGAGAGCGGACAGCACAAAAAGAGGCGTCTCTGAGGGAAACAGTTGTCCGTTGGCGGGTTTCTCCACCACGTGTATGCCGCCCAGTGCAAGGGGCCGTTTGTGGCTTGGAAGCTTGGATCGGTGTCGAACGGGGCGGTTGATGGGATGGAATCGTGGAGGACGGACCGGTAAGCCATTGAAGGGCTCGTGCCCCACAAAGCTGGGAGCCTACTACGTACTACGGAGTACGTAGCTCACGAAGGAGGAGCGGACGGGGGGGATGGAGGAGGGTGGGTGGGTGATGTGGTGATGATGGAGGGGGCGTGTGGAAATGATAAGATGGCGATGCAGTAACGGAGAAGATGAAGAAAGAAGAAAGTCGAGCGGGGATGAGAGACACCCCGCCCCTTGTGGACTTCGCACTCATGCAATACCACCCAGCATTTTCCCGAGATGCAATAAAGCATTGGCGGGGGCGGATCCCTCGCCATCATGCTGCCGTAATGCATATTGCATGACACTTGCATATGCATCTCCCATATGCATATGCATATGCGTATGCATATCCATGGGGAGCTGACCGAACGTTCCTTGTCTCGTTCCTCACACCAATCATCTCCTCCACAACCGTACACTTACTTGTCTATTGTTGTGCTTCGACACATAACGTCGTCTCAATCGACTCTCGACTCGATATCAAGCTGCCAAGACAGTGGCTTCTGTCGACCTCGAAATGTGCATACGGAATACGGAGACCGAAGGAGCTTTCTGTACGCCGCCTTCAGTCCGTACTCTGCAAGCAAGCCTCATCCTGGCTCTTTTCCAGCTTGCCCATACACCCTTCTTCTCGTCTTGGAGACCCCCTGTCGATATTCTCGCAAGGTTTCTGTCGAAGATGACCTCCAGGCCTTTTTTTTGGGACACTGCCGGAAAAGAGAGGTTGAGGAATCTCTTCCGTGAAAAGAATCCAGCCATGCGTGATCGACGCGCCCAAGGCCGGTGGCCAAGCAAGCACCCCCTTCGGCCGTGAGATGCGAAGGTGACCCCAGCGTAACCTCCGGCCCTTTTCGATTCATCTCGATCCAGCAGTACCCTGGACCACCGCTTACGAACCTCGAATATGATCATGCAACAAAGATTGTCATGGTCAAATTCCGCGTCCAAGTTCCAAGAAAGCATACTTACTCCCAGGCCAGCCGAGCAGGCCGCAGCAACCTCCTCACAAAAAATTGGCCCTCAGCAACTGTTGACGGGGGGGCGTTCTGCATGACATCAAGCGTCGGAGTACACCTCGGCGAGCCGTGAAAGTGCCATGGGCAGACAGGGGAGATGAGTGTCTTTGCCTGCCTCATGCATCCGGGCTTGCCAGCTTGGCGATTCCACGCTGGATGATCTTGCTGATGAGTAACGAGAGTCTGGACACACCCGGCCTGAGCAGTATTCTGCCATTGTCGTTGTGCTGATGCCATATTGCGCTATTGTAATCTTCTCCGTGCAGCGTCGTCTTGCCGAAGCGCGCCTGTGGTTGTGGTTGCGGTTGCGCTCTGAGGGGGTGGAACCTTCAGCCACCTTCAGGCCGCTTTGCCATGGACTGCTTTTGGACAAACTATTGCTCATGGTCGCCTGTTTGACCCCAAGTTCTGGCCTGCTCGGGAGCTAGCCTCGACCTGAAACTAACATGTCGTTCTGCTTTTCGACTTTGATCTGTCCACGGCCCCGTCGCTGTTCTCCAGCCGCGTGCCGCCGGGCTGGCTTGAGGGAGCCTCACCACTACCATGGCGTTTATGCCGTATGCTGCAAACCAGACGTGGATCCCGATTAGGCCCGGCAACACCCAGTTCGATGCCATGTCTCAATCATTGCTTTGCTCTGGTGCTGCCATGGAGGACGGCGGCCGCAACGGTCTGGTCTGGGCAACCTCGAGAAAGCTGACGCCAGGGGCAGGGTCAACATGAGTGGGCTGTCTCCTCTTCTTCCTTCCTCCTTGTGCCTGACCATCATGTCAGTGCCTCAGTTGGCAAGTCTTTTTAACTCCCGCTTCCTTTCCTCTGACAAGGGCTTTCTTCCTTCCATTCCGTGCGCCCCTCTCTTCCACTCTTACGCCCTTTTCAAGAGCTACAGACACTTGGCAGTGTAGTTGACTTTTTCCCAAAGGCAGATATCAGAAAAGATATTCTCCTTCATCTTCACAGGCCTACCCCGCCACTCGTTTTGTAAGAGCCCTTATCGTTCGTTTACACCCTCGTTCCATCGCAATGGATACCCAGATGCTCACTCCCGACACCCCGGAGCGTTCTCCGACTTGCCACAACGGATATCCTTTCGACTCCCCGGAGACGAAGCCTCAAGTATGGGACTTCCCTCATGATGGCTACTACCCCATCACACCTCCCACGGAGGAGTGCGAATCGGATGAGGAGCTTGCCACGGTTGCAAGCTCCATTGACCTAGAGGCGGAACCTCTGGTGGCCGTCATCGGTGTCGGATACGTTGGAGAACACCTTGTGGGCAACTTTGCTCGCAAGTTCAACGTTCTCGGTTTTGATGTCTCTGAGGCGCGTGTCCAGAGTCTTGGCGAGGAATTTGGCCCAGACAGCAAGGCCAAGTTCACTTGCAAGCCTAGCGATATGGCAGCTGCCACGCACTTTCTCATCTCGGTTCCGACACTGTTGCGCCCAGACCAGACCATTGACGCTTCCTTTCTGAAATCTGCTCTCAAGAACGTCGCCACATACGCTCGCCCCGGTTCGGTGGTTGTCGTCGAATCGTCCGTCGCAGTCGGTATGACGAGAGAGCTGCTCGGGCCTCTGGCGAAGGAGCGTCACCTCTTTGCCGGCATGTCACCCGAACGAGTCGACCCTGGCCGAGTTGAGCCGCCTGCATTCGCTATTCCCAAAATCGTTTCCGGCTTGGATGATGTGGTTCCAGGCTCGCTCAATGCCATTGTTCGCTTGTACTCGCAGGTGTTTGACAATGTCGTCCCTGTGTCTCGGCCCGAGGTCGCAGAGATGACCAAGTTGTACGAGAATTGCCAGCGTATGATGTGTATCGCGTTCGCAAACGAGATGGCCGATGCTTGTTTGGGCCACGGCGTTGACCCATACGAGGTATCCGGTGCCGCGGCGACCAAGCCCTTTGGATATATGCCGTTTATGCCCAGCCTCGGCGTTGGTGGTCACTGCATTCCGGTCAACCCGTATTACCTTCTCTCGAACAGTCAGTTTCCTCTCCTGCAACACGCAACGGAGAAGATGCGAGCTCGCCCCATGGCTATCGCTCAGCGCGCGGTTGACACACTGTGCGCCGAGAAGCTGAGACCTAGCGTCCTTGTCGTGGGTATGGGCTTCAAGAAGGGCCAGTCGCACCTGGCCAACTCTCCCGGTCTCGAACTCGCAAAAAGCCTCGTGCTGACGGAAAAGGTCGATGTTTGCTGGGCCGATCCTCTCGTCAAGCAGGAGGCTGTACCGCAAATCGCGCGCCTGGACGTCGAGGACTGGAACGCGCGGTCGCTGGAGCAGCGTTTCGACATGATCATTGTCGCTTTCCGACAAACAGGACTTGACTTTGACGTCCTGGACCAGCTCGACAAGACTCGTGTTGAGATGTGGTGCAACTAAGACTTTCGGCCAAGGTTTGCGGCTGTCTTGGGCTGACGGTGGCGCATTCTTCAGTCATCACTCTCCCACATCCCTCATGCTTCTCACGATTTTTGCTTTTTCCTCCAATCAGTGGAATTTTCGTTACTCACTTGGGCTTTTCTGGCGCATACATGTAGCGACACTGTTGTTTGCGGTTGGTGTACATTGGAGCAAACGGCAGTTTGAAACGCGCAGATGATATGCAGGACGGATGTAATACCTCGGGTTTCCTTGTGCTTTGTCTTCGTTTCCTTTTCATTGAATGGTGTCCCGGATATTTTGGTTCCTCTTTCCTGGTAGATAAAACGGTCGCGTTCGACGAGATCGGAATTGAGCGCATTAACGGCCGTCGAAGATAGATGCGAGATACATATTCCAGGAATTCGTTCCTCTTCCTTAAGGTCGACTCCTATTTGCAATACCCATAGCAGTCCCTCTTCGCCTGATCGTGATTATCGTTTGCTGTTCATGAATCGCGCCGTAGTCCGTGAGAGCGAGAGAAGTGCCGTCGTTGTCATGGTTGGACGTGTCGCACCACCAGTATTAATCCCTTACAGCAACCGGTGCCCGTAAGATCCGTCGGGAAACACGGCACAGCCTACTCCATCCATCGTCTAAGTGTGTGCTTTACGCAACTCTCAATCGGGATACGAACCCATCGTTGGCGGTGCCGAGCTGCCGAGAAAGTTCCCCATCCGCAATGATACGGTGAAGTCAGGAAAAGGTTGCCCCGCGATGGCGCGCCCGTCCTGCAAGACTAGCGACCCGGGGTGATTGATATATCTGATATCCAATGCTGTGGTCTAGGTTTCCCATGGGCCATTAGTCTCAGCGATCTGCTCTGCTGGCATTTTCCCGCATCCCACATCCCACATACCCATATCGCGGTGCATTATCTATTGATATGCGCGACGCCGGCAACTAGCCGGGGGTCTCGACGTTCTGGTTGGCAGCCTCGCCCACATCCCAGCCGTCCATTATCTCTGTGATGAGATAAGAGGGTTGCTTTTTGGGTCTCTTTGGGATGATACCGCCATGATAATCTGGGTGCAAGAGACGCAGGACGGGCGTGAAATACGAGAATAATGAGAAAATCGATGAGCAGGAGTTGGGCGAAGATGGTGTGAAGCAGCGGTGAGCCAAAAACGGTGGGATGTCGAGTGGTCATAGAAGAATGAGGTTAGGCGAGGGTTGCTCATGTGCGATTTCGGGAAAGGCGCCGATGCTCCCCCTCCCTTTTAGTACCTGACTTCTCTTCCACAAGAAGAATCCAAGAAAGCACGTTAGTCGAGGTGAGATGGTTAAATGTGCATGAGTCTCGCCAGTTCAAGTAGCTGTTCAGCTTCCGCAATCCGTGTGCCGGCGGGAGTCGGCGCCCGGAAGGCGTCGGCCATGCGGCGTCGCGGACCGCGGGCTCCATCTTCTCGTATTGCTTCTCAAAGATGACAGCCATGCCACGCGAAGATCCAGCCAGCATTTGACAGCTTGTAGAGTCAATGTATTGAATTGACGTGGCTTAGCTTAAGCTCATTGATCACCACATTGACTCCAGGAATGGTCTCATCGCAAGGTAACTATGAGCTCTTCGATCCACGCTACCTCGATGCAGCCAATCCTTGAGGTAGTTATGTAGTATCTCTCCAAGATGAGGTCTTAAGAGTAGCTGACTCATGAAAGAACCTGTGCATGTCCTAGTTTGTTTCCACCTTTTTAGTCAATGTTGAAAATTTCACATCATAGGTGCGCAAGGCATCTCCAAGGGAAATGTATGTATTTGACGATGAATCCGGGGGCGATCTAAGCTCCCGAGTACCGAGTCTCGAATCCCCCCGCCTTCCCTTCTGGGAGACCTAAGCTTCCCATATCATCGGCCTCTCACTCTCCCCAGCTCTAATCTACACGTTCCCAGCTGCTCTCAATCTTAACTTTTCGTCAGCTGTCCCAGTACTCTCCTAGAGTTTAGTTAGTTCGTGGGCAGGTTGGTTGAAGTGAAGGAAATGAGCTTACCTTGCGGATGCAGAACCACCACCCATCCCTCTTTCCAACCTTCGTAGGAGTAGAGAGACACTGTGAAGATCTAGAGCGTGAACCAAGATCCTGGCTTTGGCTCTACATGCCCCATTTGTAAAGTTGTTCGTCATAAGTGGGAATGTCGATGTCTCCAGCAAGGCGAAGAATCCGCTGAAGATGTCAAGTCTCATAGCAATAAGACCAGCCCCCTTCCCCAAGTTACCAGCCTCACGCGTCTCCAGGACCCAGTTTCCTTGCCCTCCAAAGCCAAAGTCATTCTCCCGGGGGTTGACTCCTCGCTGAAGTAAAGCCTCAATCTAGGCACAGTCTTCACGCTCACTTTCCCTCAATGGTGTAAGAAATGAGAGCCACTAGCCATGTCGAGCCTGTCATGCCGAAAAAGAAAACGAGCCGCCTTGAATGTATGTATGTTTGTTCGAATCGATCCAGTGATTATGTCGATAGGTCGTAATGTGCAAGCTGCCGGTACAGGTAGGGGACCAAGTCATAAATGAAGTTGGATGTATGACCTCTGTAGCGTTCCGGCACAAGAATAGAGACTTCCTCAATGGGCAATCACAGGGATCGCACCGTTGCCTCCACCAACTCCCGAAAAGCCGCCCTTTCCGTTGGCGCCGTAGTTGTCGTCGTCATCGTCAGACTCATCCTTGCGGCGACGCTTTCTCAAGCCAGGACGCTCGTCAGGTAGGTCCACGTGGCCCAGGAATTCCTCCTCCGACTCGACATCGGACTCAGTCTCGCCTGCAGTAGCCCCGCGGCCGGACTTGACAGTGGCCTTACCCTTGCGGGCAGAGTAGTTCTTCTTGCCGAGGCGACGCTTCTTGCCTTTGGCGTTACGACCAGCACCGGAACCGCGTTTGAATGGAACGGCCTTGAATTCGGAGGCCAGCTGGCGTCTCTTGGCTTCTCGCTCGCCCTTGTCCTCGATCTTGGCGGTACGTGTTTCGGCGCGGCAGCTTGCGCAGTTCTTGAGGTTGATACGTCCGTCCTTGTCCTTGAAGTTGGACTTGTGTAGGCATCTTCTTTCGCGAGAGCAGTAGAGCATGTTCTTGCAGTCGGAGTTTCCGGGATAGCCCTTGCAACGGTATACGTTGCGGTACTTGGACCGGCTTTGCCTGCGCTGGTAGTACTTGAACTTGCAGCGGCGGTGGTCCTTCTTGCTGCCTGTCTGCGCCCGAATCCTTCCTTGGGGGTCCTCGTCGTCGAAGAAGGAGCCGACAGAGGCCGAGCTCCCCGACCCGATCGAGCTGCTGGCCGAGCTGGAGGTTGTCGAGGCCGCCGAGGCCGCCGGGCTGGCGCGGGCGGAGGCGGGCGGGCGGGCAGAGACCGGGGCCGGGGCCGGGGGAAGGGCAGGGGCCAGGCCGAACTCGGCGAGGGTGGGAGGACCAAGATCGGCCCTCCAGCCCTCGGGGCCTTCGGCGAGAAGGCGGGCAAGCCGAAGGTGGCCGGCGGCCGCGGCGGTTCGGGGGGTGAGGGGGGGAGTCGCACCCTCGTCGCTCGAGACGATGATGGGCTTGTCCTTCTTGCCCTTTTCCTGCTGGCAATCGATTATTAGTAAGTAACACTCGCGAGGAATAGGGGGATATGGGGGAGGGGAGACTTACATCCATATTGGTTCTAGGTATCGCGAATGAGGAGATAGTTGGCTGTCGAGATGTGTCCAGACAAGGCTGGAAGAATGGGGTGATGTCTGGGTGGAAAGAAAGAAGAGAAAGTCCAAAAGGTCTCGTCAACTGAAAGGATTTTCTAGACGTGAATTCCTATCGTGGAGGGATCCGCTTGTTGACGGGATTCTAGGGCTTATGTTATGACGGAGCTTATGAGATTTTCACGATAGCTTGGTCTCGTCCCGTGGCTGTCGAGCTACCTGTGCTATGCCTGAGGACGTGGACACAAGCTCTTGTTACGAAGCGATGATGGGGGATCGTGGAGGGCATGTGCTATGTCTGACCCAGAGACACAATCTGAGCACATTAGCGTTCCTTTGAGGGCTGAAGCAAAGAAGAGGAGGAACTAGAAGCTCCGAGGATTAGCTAGATGAGACGTCGTTATAAGGCTTTCGCCATATCCAATTGTCTGACTCGTTTATGATGATGTCTCATCGATAGATCTGATAGCTTAGTGAAGACAGAAAGCTTGCTAGAGCACTGATTAGGGAGAAGCCTCGATGAATGAAAAGCCCTGTACTGTAGAAGGTGCCTCGTCTTCTTCGTTGATGCTAACTACAGATCGCCAAGAAGCCTATGGTTTGGCTCGGGGCCAGACATCTTCTGCGGTATAAGAGCCAGGTCCGTCGCCATGTGGCATTTATGGGCACTTAAGGTGAAGCTATCGGATACTGGCTTATTCTGTTTTTAGTAAGCCGTTTTAATGATTGAAGTGCTTCGAACGATGAGTGAAAGCCATCTGGCAGACGGCATGTGATCTTATAGATGGAGAACCTATCGTTTGGATTACGAGATCAGATATCTCATCTGACATTCGAGCACTGATCTAGGTATATGGAGAAATGCATGAGCACCTGGCCTAAAGAACTTGGATGCTTGCTCAGCATGGTTTCCGAACGGAACCTTTGACACAGAGAGACTCTAAATGATGTGCTTTGTCAACTTCATCGAATCTATAGAAACGGATAAAGTATGGTGGTTCATGAAGTCGAGGTCTCGTTCGCCATGAGAACTGTAATTGAGATGATATCAGGAATGTGGATTGAAGTCTAACCTGAGCCATGAGACACTTACTTAATCTAATGGTAACGTAGATTGACGAATAATTCGACCTGGACGACGGCGACGACGACGACGACGATGATGACGGCATGTTCATCAAGTCGAGGCCTTGAGAGCTACCGGGTAAAAGTCAAAGGATGCAAGAGCAGATGATGAGATCAAGATTAAGAACAATGTATTAAAAGCAACTTGGGTAACCAAAGGGTATTCGGCAACGGGTCCCTGCTCTAAGATGTACATTCTGATTTGAGAGATATCGCGCTCAGAAAAAAAAAACAAGAACCAACGGACACAAATTCGTACAAGACTTGAGGTAGACTGTCGCTGACACAGTCCAACGCAAGAGTCGAAATAATCCCGGCGGATGAAGAGGAAAGACCGGAACGCCAGTAGTGAAGAGACGCTCATATGCAAAGCCGATGCGTTCATAGAAAGGGTGAAGTACGGAGGAAAGGTAATTAGTCGCCGAGGGGCATACCGTCAAGCTCATCGAGAAGACGGCGCCAGTTGTCGGCCAGCATTTCGGAGTACTTGACGCGCTCCTGAGCCCAGTCTTGGTTCCAACGCGAGACGTGGAACTGGGTGGTCTGGAAGTAGATGAGCTCGTCACGGATGCACTCCTTGACAAAGATGGATCGGTTGTGTTGGTTGACGATAGACTCCTTGTCCTGTAACTATCATCAGTACTGCAGCAAGCGAGAGGAATGCGTCCAACATACCTTGAGAATAGACTCAACCACCTTCTCAATCTCACCAGGCTTGACCATGCCATCGGGTTTGCTGCGGAGACTGGCCAACTTGGTCTCATTTGTCTGGATCCTTCGCTCAAGGTAGGGAATATTGTCCTTATCCAGACGTTCCCTGCGATCGAACAAGTCACGGATGCTCACGAGAGCATCTCGTTGGCGCTTGAGATCCTCCAACACGCCCTCTTCCCAGGCCTTGCTCTCATCTTCCAAAAGCGTCTGGCACGTTCTCAAGTGTCTGCTCATGGACGTCAGACCATCATTGAGCAGAGGCACATCGTTGGTGTCGCTGGCATATGTATCGGCACTCGTTTCGGTGAGTGAGGTCAGAGACATGGCAATACGAGCATGGTCCGCCGCAACTCCCTCGCTGCGCTTCACCAAACGATCCATGACGTTGCAGATGTTAATGTACAGCTCGGCTGACCGTCTGATACCGGAGCGCGTCTTATCAAACATGGCCTCGAGGGTGGGCGGCAGCGAGTCTTCCAGGTTAGGCGGCAAGGCACGTCCGGAGAATTCATCTTGAACGGAGATGGTGGCCTGCTTGCGCCATACAGCCAGTTCCTGATACTAACAATTAGCGAAATGCAGCGGACTGAGAAGACTAGAAGTGGCCTACAGTCGGGACAGTAAGGAACATGATGATGAGCTGTTCCTGGCTCAGAATGGGATGCCGGACAAGTGCATTGAGGAATCTCCCAAGGCCTCTGCGGCGCTTCTCGATAAATGCGCCGTCATTAGAGAAGTGGTTACCGTTGACTAACGCGTGGATGTCAGTAGGGGCCATGTGAACATTGTGAACAAGAAGCAGTATGAGACCTACCAGCAACACGCTTAGGCGGCAGCAGAGGGAGAGCTCTGAACGGATACCGCTTGTGTAGGCAGTCCAGAAGCCAGACGAAGTCGCTGTACCGCCTGATGACCTTGCTACCCCGTCGGACGCTCGCAACCTCGTAGTTGTGATGTTGGAACATGAAGAGTCCTTCCTTCTCCGGCATCAACGTGATGACGACGTTCTCCTCGACAGAACTTCCCGAACGACCGCTCACGGCAGGCCGCAGAGAGGGCACGGTCGCAGGGTTAAGATTCGCGTCGCGTCCACCGCTTGCACCGCCAAAAGGACTTGTGACCTGGTTGTTTTGGGGTGGTTCGCTGAAGCCGCCCCCCGTGGTGTTGCCATCAAAGTAGCCGCCCCATCCACCACCCGGCGATGTGCCGGTGTTTACATCCTGCCTCCCAGAACTCCTCTCTGAGCCGATGGCCGCAGATGTGTAGGAAGAGATGGTTCGACCGGCGATGGCGGTGCTGGGAGACGTGCTATAGTGGCCATTGCCGTTGCCATTGCCATTTGCTGCAGGGCGCTGGGGGCTGGCGCCGTTGGTTCTACTGGGGGACTCGGCGATGGCGTGCGCGTGGCCCTTGTGTACATCGGGAGAGTTCCATGGGTCCTCTGGCTCTGGGAAGTCCATCGGAGGTCGGCGCAGAGTGGTGGGCTGCGGCGGCGGCGGTGAGGGCGGCGATGGGGTATCTTGGACGGGGGTTGCAGGGGCTTGAGGAGGTTTGGCAGCCAGCTCGGAGACGGGAGGCATCACGGGAGCAGCAGTCAAGCCGGCGAGCTTGGGGAGTGGGAGATCTGGATTAGTGTATTGGCAATTAGCAGAGAACCCCACACAGATTGCGCGCACTGATAAGTGGTAGCAAGGTACGAAGGAGGGATAGTTGCGAGGGTCGGGTAGCTCAGCTCGGCGAACAGGGTGCCGAGGTCATGACATAACAAGGTGGGCAAGACAAAAGTGGGTGTTTGCTGGTGCTGGGAAATGGTGGTGATGATGGCGATGGTGACGGAGGGAAAAGAGGTGGAAGAAAATGGACTCACTTCTGCGTCGCTCGTCGACGGTGTCGAGGCTGATGTGGTCGCCCTCTTGTGACAGGGCAATAAGAGCCAGCAGGACGTTGAACTCGCCGCGTCCGACAGCAATGTCGCCACCTGCAGCTGGCACAACCATGGACATGATCTGCGCCTGCTGGTCGGCTCCCAGGCGCGCAGCAGCGAATAGCTTGGCTATGCCACCTGCGTTGACGCGCCCTCCGCTGCCATCTTCGCGCACGACTGTGTCAAAGGTCTCAATGTAGGGCTCGGGGACGTCGGAGGCGGACAAGAGGTTGCGGACGACATCGGCGCGCGACTGCTTCTTCCTCGGAGTGGGCATGTCCCAGGGTGAGCTCTCGGCTCCGGCGAGATCGTCGTCGGTGAAGAGCGAATTGGAGCCGGACTTTGACATGGAGCCTTCGTCGAACAGCGACCGCGAGGGCGCAGCAGAGGTGTTTGAGGGCGAATCCGCCGGTGGTGATGATCCGAAGAGGGACATTGTAGGCGATTATGTATGTACTGGACGGCCAATTGCGATTAGGAGGGGTGCGAGAGAAGGGCGGTAACGAATTCCAAGGTTATCGAGGTAGTACTGGCGTTTGGCTGGTGGTATCTGTACTCTAGAGGCCGATTGACGTCCCTTGGATGGATTGGAAGAGCTACTGGTCGGAGGAGTGCGCTATCCAACGCAGGACGCAGAGCAGAGAGGCCTCGTAATTGATGCGTAACGGGGGACTTTGTAGAATACGGGCGGTTGCAGTGTGACGAGATAAGGTACGAGAGCAGAGAGGTCGACGGGCGAGTCGTGGTGACCAAAGGTCCGGACGGAGTAAGCTTGCCGCGTAGGTACTGGCGCCAACGTCAAGGTATCGCAGTAACAGAGAGCCGAGAGAGCTCGAGGTCGGTTCCAGCAGAGGTGTGGGAGAGCTGAGCTGCGTCCAGTCGAGTCGAGTATCCGTACCTTGCAAACATCAACAGCGCAAGGAGCCTAAGAAAAAGACGATGATGAAAGGAAGACCAGGGGGTCCAGTGGGTGGATGATGCGACAGGCCGCGACAATGACAAGGTATGGAACCTAGGTGAGGTACCTAAGTATGCATGTACACGCAGCACCGAGATGGTTGACGATGATGCGTACGTACACGTACACAACAAACTGTACAGAAACAGAGAGCGATCTCACGATTGGAAGCTGGAAAAGAAAAAAGATTAATCAAGACAAAAAGCTTGAACCTTTTTTTTTTTTTTGGACTCCCAAAGTCACAACCCAACCTGGAGGCAGAGCTGGGGCCAAGGATTGGAAGCTTGAGACAAGTCGAGACGGGCGTGGGCTGCGTGGGAAGGGACCTGGTCAGGTACTTCCTTCCTCTGGAACTTGGACGAGGATACGCTGTTTCTGGCGACACTGACAGTGCTGAGTGAGGTGAGCCCAAAATCCAATTGTCCGTCTGTGCCTCACTCAGTGCCTGAACCAGGAACGGGGCTGGGACAACTACATACGGAGTAGTGGACTGAACCAGGAGACCACGCTGTTGCGGAGCAAACAGTCCCTGTCGCAGGTCGACGTGCTCCGTACCTTAAGGTACCTTCTCCGTAGAGGGGCACTGGGCTGCTGCCAGGGAAGCTTCAGGTGCCTAACGCAAGTCATGTCTTTCAAGTGGGCCTTAGGTAAGCATGCAAGGTGCTCCGTACCTGATATCCACCAGCCACACCTTGATGAGCTTCAGCCACTCTTGTCAAGTGTGGCTTGGTCGGCTCTTCTTCGCGTGAACCTGCCGAACCGCGACTGGGCCACCTGCAGCAGCTTCCCGGGAGAGTGAGGCTCCATTGGAAATTTTGGAGGACCGGACCTGGAATCTCGGCCGTGTCGCTGTTCATCGTCACCCAACGCCCACGACCGCCACCACATCCACCCTCACAATGCCGCCACGGATAGTATCGCCGCTGCATGCTGCGACATGCTGTAGCCGTGCCCTTCGCCCCTCCACGAACCCAACGAGCCTCGTCTCCCTCTTCGCTGGCCTGTCTATCGGCACCCGCAATGCCTCTATCCTCGCCAGCCTGAGCGACAACAAGGGAGCTTACAACAAGCGCATCAGACTCGGTCGTGGTCCCTCTGCCGGCAAGGGCAAGACGTCTGGAAGAGGTCACAAGGGTCAGGGACAGCATGGCCACGTCAAGCCGTGGTTCCAAGGTGGTCAGACACCGTTGATCGTGCAAAGGGGAACGAAGGGTTTCGACAACAAGTAGGTGCATTCATGAACATCATTCGCCAACGGCTTGTCCAGAGCCTTGTCTACACAATCGATCTTCAGTCACTGACTTTCAAACGCAGGCGCGCTCCCGTCATGTCCAAACTGAACCTCGACAAGCTTCAACAATGGATCGACGCCGGCCGCCTGGATCCTACGAAGCAAATCACCGTCAAGGAAATCATCGAGTCGGGCCTCATCGGCAGTGTTAAGGACGGCATCAAGCTCCTCGGCCGCGGCAAGACCGACCTCCGCCAGCCCATCGACATCATGGTCTCGCGCGCCTCCGCCTCCGCCATTGACGCCGTCGAGGGCAACGGCGGCAAGATCCTCACCAGGTTCTACACCAAGCAGTCCATCAAGCGCCTCCTCCGAGGCGAGTCCCAGAACACGGATAAGCCCCTGCCCGTCGGCAAGGAGTACGTCGAGAGCATCCTCTCCGAGGCCCGCAAGAAGACGTTCCTCTACAGATTGCCCGACCCCACGAGCCGTGAGGATATTGAGTACTACCGCGACCCCGCCCACCGCGGTTACTTGAGCCACTTGCTCAAGGAGGGCGAGTCGCCGTCTTTGTACTTCAAGGTGCCGCTTGCGAGAAAGCGCATCGAGCACGCCGACAAGGAGTCGCGCAAGGAGACTAAGAAGGTTACCCGCGACAACACCCTTTGGTAGACACGGGAGAGCGGTGGTTGGTGTGGAGGAAGAGCCCAAAAAACAGGATGAGAAAATGTACCATTACTTCCCGGCGATTTGTATGTACAGACATTGTATCAATACTACTACTACCCCCCAAGCTCAAACAGCTGGGCCTTATTTCTGCACTCTCTATTCTCCGTCCGATGTTGAGCGGAAACGAACGGCCTAGGCTCTGATTTGTGAAGATAGGCTTACTAGAGGCACAGGGCCAAGAAAGGGAAGCAGAGTTCGGCCCAACTCTTGCATTGCTGACATGCTGAGGATATCTTGCCTACGCTGCGGATAGATCCTGCTCGTCTAGCCGCTCATCGGGGAATGAGTTGGCTCCGAGATGGCATGGTAGAGCGTATCCGTATTAACGGGTTTTGGTGGCCGGCCGCCCTCGGATGCCCAAGTCCCACGCGGGGAGCATGAAGAACTGGCGTTTGGTGTTGTTGAACCATCCCTGTTGGCCAGAGTCAATTCGACAATCTCTTGGACTGGATGACGTCTGGTCCGACCATTCACATGCGTGTTTCGTTTCTTTCTAGCATACAAGTAGCTGAGCGTGGAACGGGACAAGGTGAGTAATAGAGGCAGCTTGAGCTCTTTTCATTCACATTCGTGCTTTCTGCTAGCTAGCTAGTAACTGATCAGTACCACCTTTTAATCACCTTACTATGGACTCTCTCAGCTTCCTTCAAATAGTCGGGCTCATCGCCCTCGTCAGCGCGGCATACAACCTCGCATGGCCCTTCTTCCCCTTCCTCCGCAAATCCAAACTCGACCGCTACCTCGTCCCCGTCCACGGCAAACCAGCCTGGGCCCTTGTCACCGGCGCAAGCGACGGCATAGGCAAAGGTCTTGCCAACGAGCTGGCCCGGCGGGGCTTCAACGTCGTCCTCCACGGCCGCAACGACGTCAAGCTGGAAGAGGTGCGGCACAACCTCGCGCTCGCGAATCCGGACAGGGAGTTTCGCATCATGGTTGGCGATGCCGGGGTTCTCGGAGCCGGGCAGCAGCCGTGGGATGTTATGCTTGCGCCGCTGGAGAATTTGAACCTGCGCGTGCTTGTCAACAATGTCGGCGGCGGACCGGCGGAGCCGATCATGAGGAGGCTAGATGAGTCGTCGATGGAGGAGATTGCGGCCAACGTGCACATGAATGCTCTGTTTCCAACGCTGCTCAACGCTGTACTGATTCCGCGGTTCACTGCGTCGTCGGAACCCGCGCTGATTATCAATGTCGGGTCACTATCGGATAACGGGCTACCGCTGCTGTCTTTTTATAGCGGGAGCAAGGCGTATCTCGGCGCCATGTCGACGTCCATGGCAAGGGAGCTGTCGATGGACGGATTCGATGTCGAGGTCATGGGCGTGCGGATTGGGGCGGTGGCGACGAAGCCGGAGCTGATGACGCCGCGGGTATTCTGGCCTTCGGTTGAAGTTATTGCGAATGCCATCTTGGACCGGGTCGGGTGCGGGAGGGCGGTGCTGATTCCGTACTGGGGCCACGCGGTACAGATGGCGTTTTTGGACCTGGTGCCTGCGACCTTGCAGGATCCGTTGTATAAAAGGATTATGGTGAAGATGAGGTCTACGGAGAAGAAGATGTTCAGCAAGGCGAAGTGAGGGCCCTCAATGACCAGGAACGAACCTCAGATGGAGAATGAGATTGGTGTCAGGTAGTCATTTATGATGTACGGGTCCTTGGGATGGCATTTCCCAGCAGTGTACTATCAACTTTCTCCAGGCAGTCTCCAGTATCAGACTGGTAAGGAAAGGGGTATTCATCGGTTCATCTTTCTCATGCGAGAGGTGAGATGTTGAGACATTATGAAGTTCCGTATGCTAATTTGGGGAAGGGTGTTCTGAATCAGAGAAAGGAATCGTTGTCGAATCTGTTGATCGAGATATAAATAAGGCTCAACAGTCCATATAGGCTTAGAGTTTACTATTTCATACGTCAGTCAGAGTATGGGAGATTTGTGTTGTCTCAGCCATTTCAGCATTTGATAACTCGATAAGGGCGTGAAGAATGTAGGAGGATGATATAAGGTAATTATATGGCAAAAAATGAGACAGGGCGTACCACCGGTAGGTAGTTCTTCACCTCATGTCAATATTCAGTGGCATCAAAATAAGCAATCGGCAAAGCCGTGGAGTGAGATGGATGCCGTGCACCAGTCATGCACAACAGGTGAGTAACCCACAGGACGATTAGAGTTGAAGTCATGGTTATCTGGTGATCCACACCGATAGATGGCCTTCATCAATCTCATCAATGATCAACGGGGCTAGCCAAGCTGTATCTGTATTATTTCCGGCTTGCGCTTACTGTGTAGGTTTTTAAATACAACCTCATGAGTAAGGTAGTGCGGCTGGTGCCACTCGTGGGCAGTCGATAACGACAAGAGGCGCTAGAAGTACAGACTGGCTGCCATTGGGTGCGAAATGCCACCATCGGACCAGGATCGGGTTGAGGACTTGTCCTTGGGGACCACACGCTTGTCCTCTCGTGACAGGAAGGAAGTTGGAAGTTGGTATGTGCGATTTGTCTGCTTGGCGATTGGGCAGACGGGAGGTGGGAAGTGTGGCGCAGGCGACAGGAGCTGACAAGCTCCAGGGCAGCAGCTGCCAGATTGCCAGATTACAGGAAATGGCATCCAATGCAAGCCAATGCAACATGTCAAGGAAAGGTCTGAGCCTCTGGGCCAAACGCTGCTGACAGGATGCAGGATTATTACCTAAGCCCTTGGGATACCGGAATTGCAAGTTCATAAGGTAGTTATTCGTATTTTTGCACTTTGTTAACGTGGACAGGACGGGCAGATAGATGCTGATCATGGAAGGAAACAGAGAGTGATTAGTGGATGAAAACGGAAAGAGTCCAGATTGCACGATGGAATAACGCTGGTACGTACCCCAGAGTACCGATAGATAGGTATCCAGACGAAAAGGAGGGTGTCCACTTTCTCCTTTCCGCGGTTCTTGGCGGGACGATCTATCCAATGACGCGAGGTTCCCTGAGCTGCTCGCATCCACCTTGAGCCCCCCTCTACCCCACTCTGCCCTCCCTTTCCGTGCTCTGGTTGGCTGTGTCGAGTTGCAGTCGTTGCAGTTCTCATCCAGATTCAGTCCAGTCCGGTCTGGTCTCTGGCATCCCCGTCAACTTTCAAGTCCTAGACCACGGGCAGCCCAGCATACTCCGTACTGCGTAAGGTGAGCAGCCATGGAGTGAACTGTGAAGAAAGATGGCATTGTTGTGATTAGGGGACCGCGACTCTGATTGAGGCTATGAGGAACCCGGTAAGGTGCATGACAGGAGACGGCGTCCCTATCTCGCTACTGGATTGCGTGGTCGTGGTGGCAGGTGCCGTGAGCATGGTGCCTGCCGTCACATTGAGGTGTAAAATGGAAGATGGAACTTGGAACTTGGAAGGCGCCTACGGTGTCCCCTTCCGTCCCCCGGCTCCCCTATCGCCATGAAAAAATGCCAACCTCCTTAGGTAGGTATCCCGTCCGTGACTCTCCCACCTCTCCTCATCCGTAGCCATCCACGGGTGACATCTGTCAGCTTTTCCCCCCCTTCCCACCACCCCGAAAAAAAAAAAGTTGGTTCCTTAAGGTACTTGTTCCCGACGGATTCCAACTCCCTTTCTTCTCCCACTCACGAACCCACCCCCTTCATCCCGCCGAACGACCTTTCCCTTTCTCCAACTTAACACCCTCCCTCCCCTCCGACCTGACGAGCGAAGACGACGGCGACAACCCACGATAGCGTCCGCAAGCGCCCGCCCGCGCCTCTTTTTTTTTTTTCGCAAACGCCACTGACCTATGTCGCCTGCCGAGACGAGACCCTTTGCTCGACGCAATTGATCACATCCCAAACCGGCTCAACCCGTCAGGCCCTTTGTGTGTGTGTGTGACCCTGGGGAGAGAAGAACCAACCTTCTTCTGCTTCTTTTGAACCTTTGGGCTCAATCTCACAAGCACAATCGACCACATACCACGAGGGTAGTAGTCTCACCGTCAACTCCGCCCATTGACTGCAACAGCGAGGCCTAGCAAAGCAACCGCGTTCTCCGCTTCCGCTACCGCATCCACATCACACCCTCTCCATCAGCGAGTGCCGTGTCTTTCCTCCGCCTTCGACGCGAAGCCTGAAAACTGTTCAGTCTCAGCTTCTCACCCCCCGTCTTCGGTCAGCACTCCACTACCACCACAAACCCGACGCCTTGCTCGAGGGAAATCTCGTCCCTGCCGCTCGTTCACGTACCGCACCCCTTGGCAATTCGCATCGCCCACGCAAACCACGTGTCAATCAGCCTTTTTCGTTTTTCGCCTGCGTATGCTGCTTCGATAGCACACGGCTTTGCATTTGTTCGCGGTTCGCGTGTTCATCCAAGGAAGAAAAAAAGGGAATCAGGTCCATTAATCGACGCATCGCACCGCAATCGCCTTCCACACACCCCTTATCCAACCAGCCCTACTAATCTTTGACGACACATCCTTCAACGCCACCCTTGGAGCCATCCCATCTCTCATCCGACATCTCTCTACCACAACACCGCCAAACACAACCTCCCTCCTTCACACAACTGCCGGCCACGGTGCGCCGCAGCCGTAGCCATGGATCTTTTTAGACGAGCCGCAAAGGCGACCTCGACGTCGCCGCAACTGCCCACCGCCGACGAGAAGCCTGCCACAAAGGCCGCTCGCCAGAACAGATTGACCTCGCGACTTGCTTTCTTCAGAAGACCGCTGCGACTTCGCGGTAACTCGAGCATCTCGGTGCCCCTCGGCGTCGTCATCCTCTTCCCCTTGATCGTCGTTATCCTCATCCTCGTGCTCTTCGTTAGACACCCGAGCTCGCCTGGAAGGATATTGATGCCCGCAGGCGCCCCCCCTGCTATCAGGTATGCACCTGATCTCATTCTCAATTGATCAAGCCTAACGATATTGTGCACAGAAAAATCAGCGAAGAGCACGACAAGGTCTTCGTCACTGGATGCCTCGAACCCGATACGAGCAGACCCAAGGCTAACGGTGCATTCGTCGTTCTGGCCCGCAACCAGGAGTTGGAAGGCGTCATTCAATCCATCAAGTCCATTGAGCGTCACTTCAACCGCTGGTACCACTACCCCTACGTCTTCCTGAACGATGGCGACTTCAATGAGACCTTCAAGGAGGTTGTCACCAACTACACCTCCGCTCCCGTTGAGTTTGGCAAGGTCGGTCCTGAGATGTGGGGTTACCCTGACTGGATCGACCACAAGGTCGCCAAGGAAGGCATCGCGAAGCAGGGTGACGCCGCTGTCATGTACGGTGGCTTGGAGAGCTACCACGCCATGTGCCGATTCTACTCTGGGTACGGTTCAGAGACACAACCGTTCTCTTATCTCTATGCTAACGCCGGCACAGTTTCTTCTACAAGCACGAGCTCCTCGCCAAGTACAACTGGTACTGGCGTCTCGAGCCCGAGATCAAATACTTCTGCGACATTACCTAGTATGTTTGGTTACTTTAATCGATCAACAACTCAGTCGCTAACCATCACACAGTGATCCTTTCTGGGCCATGATCGATGCCAACAAGACCTACGGCTTCACCATCGCTGTCAAGGAACTCCGCGAGACTGTCCCCAACATCTTCAGATACGCTTCCGCCTACAAGCGCCTGAAAGGCCTCAAGTCCAAGGGCTTGTGGGAGATGTTCGTCGATCCCGTCGAGAAGAAGGAAGAGCCGGTCACCGACCAGTCTCCCCTGCCCGAAGAAGTTCTCCGTGCCGACCCCAACCGCAACAACCTGCCCGATATCGATCCCGAGGCTATGGAAGGCGAGTCGTACAATATGTGTCATTTCTGGTCCAATTTCGAAATTGCTAGCCTTGACTGGTTCCGCGGCAAGGAGTACGAAGAGTTCTTCGAGATGATGGACCGCAGTGGAGGCTTCTGGATGGAACGCGTAAGTCCGCAGGATGCAGAACTATGAGAAACTAAGCTAACACTGGACAGTGGGGTGATGCCCCCATCCACTCCTTGGCAGCCGGCGCCCTCCTCTCCCCTCGCGACATCCACTACTTCCGTGACTTTGGATACCGACACACCACTATCCAGCACTGCCCCGCCAATGCGCCGGCCCGACAGCTGCCTAGACAGCCCTACCTCGAGACGACAACTCTTGACGAAAAGAAGCGTATCGAGGAAGACAAGTACTGGGAAAACTGGGACGCTGAGAAGGAGAACGGTGTCGGATGCAGATGCCGATGCGACACAGACATTGTCGACGTCGAGGGCAAGGAGGGATCGTGCCTTGCTGAATGGGTCGATGTTGCCGGTGGATGGGCCAGCCCGTAAATGCAACGACAATGCATCGCATACGTATACGATGTCACGAGCCATAGCCAGCATACGAGCGCTGGCACCAGTCACGGAGGAAACGACATAAAAAGGGATTGTATATTGACGAAGCGGAGACGTCAGACTCTTTGTCTTCACAGAAGGGTGTCTCATTAATGTTGGCACGCATGGGTGTAATGGCATTGCCATTACAGGTCTTTGCTCGAGTTCTTTGGGAGTTAAGGGTTTCAAAGCTTTCGGCCACTGTCCATAATCGTTTTCTCTTGTTTTTTTTTTTCCTTTTCATCAAACACCACAAGGAATCGCGACGCATGAAATAGAGAGGTGGAAAGCTACAGAAACGGTTGGCTCAGGTTATTCCCAGAGCTGCGCAAGTCTTTTTTCAAGTTGTCGAAAGTAAAGGAGAGCAGGAGAAGTGGCAACCTCGATAGTGAGCGAGAAGGGGAGACATAGTGCAGGAAGAACAAGGGTGCTGGATAAGCCCCTTTCACCGCGCGCGCGCAAGGATACCAAGCTGTATAAGACGCATAAACAACGAAATATCGACGTCTGTTCTCGGGAGAGCTTTCAAAGTTAGAAGCGCATGCTGGAAAGCCCCAGCCTTTCCTGTGCCAATGGTATACGTGTGATTTACCAAACATGAGTGGCCCCATGCTGTGATGCCTACCTTGTGACAGAGAAGTTTGTAGACACTAGAGATTCCAGGTAGGTTGGTTCAAGGTCGTAGTCGAAACTTGCTACTGGCGACTTATTGAAAGAAGAATGATATGAAGCCAGGTTCAGGAGATTCTTGCTAGTCTAGCATAACCAGGTACAAAACAAACATTATCAGTGCCCTCAATGAGAAAGCCGGGTTGCTAGCGGCGGTACCCTGGGACTTCTACGTCCGGGTAAGGACTGTCCACTGACCGAACACTGAAGAAGTGGTTCCCAAATTATACTGAATTACAAGTCTATATCAAGACATGTCTACACGTATCTACCACGACGGATCCGCCGCGTCCGTGACGGCTCCATGACTGGCATCACCCACCAACCTCGCATACTTGCCCAAAGCACCTCTCCTCACATGCGGCAAGGGAGCCTTCCACTCCTTCTTCCGCCTCTCCATCTCCGCCTCGTCGACATCAACAGCGTCGATGCGATTCGTCTCACCGTTGATGGTAACCGTATCTCCATTCTTCACAAGCGCAAGCGGCCCGCCGACCGCCGCCTCGGGGCAGACGTGGCCGATGATGAAGCCGTGGGACGCACCGCTGTACCTTCCATCCGTCACGAGCGCCACGTTATCCAGCCCGGCACCCATGATCGCCGCGCTGGCGCGGAGCTGCTCCGGCATGCCTGGTCCGCCTTTGGGACCCTCGTACCGGACAATGAGAACGAGGTTGCCGTCCTCTCGGCGGATGGAGCCCGCCGACAGCGCAACGTCGAGCTCGTGCTCCTTGTCGAAGACGCGGGCCTTGCCCGTGAAGGTGAGGCCTTCCTTGCCGGTGATTTTGGCGACAGCGCCTTCGGGAGCGAGGTTTCCGCGGAGGATGCGGATGTGGCCCGTCGCTTTGATCGGATTCGAGAGCGGACGAATGATCTTCTGGTTCGGGTCGAGGGAGGGCCAGTCTGCGACGTTTTCGGCGAGGGTGCGGCCCGTCACCGTCATGATGGAGCCATCGATGAGGTTGGCTGCGACGAGCATCTTTAGAACGGAGGGCGTGCCGCCTACTTTGTAGAGATCCTCCATGTAGTACTTTCCTGACGGGGCAAGGTCGGCCAGGAAGGGAATACGGTTGCTGGTGCGGTCGATGTCGTCGATCGTCAGGGGCACATCGGCCGTGTTGGCCATGGCGAGGAAGTGGAGGACACCGTTGGTGGAACCGCCGAGGATCATGGTGAGCACTAGAGCGTTCTCAAAGGCGGCTCGGGTCATGAGCTTGCGAGGGCGGAGGTCCTTCTCCATGGTGATCTTGATAGTGGTAGCGGCGCGCTCGCACTCGCGGGCCTTTTCCGGGGACAGAGCCGGGTATGATGAAGATCCAGGGAGAGACAGACCCATTGCCTCAATCGCAGTCGCCATGGTGTTTGCCGTGTACATACCTCCGCAAGCACCGGCGCCGGGGCAAGCGTGCTGCTCAATATCGTCGAGGACGTCGGACGGGGTGCGGCCTTCCGTGCCTGGGTTGGTCTTTGCGTGGAGGCGGTCGTATGTGAAAGCACCGCGGGCCTCGTAGCAAGTGCTGATGTTGATGGGCTTCTCCAGAAGGTCCGAGTGACCCTTCATGATGGTACCGCCGTAAATCATGATAAAGGGGCGGTTGTGACGCGCGGCAGCCATGATCGTACCCGGCATGTTCTTATCGCAACCCGGAATAGAGATGTTGGCGTCGTGGTGCTGTGCGCAAGTCACCGATTCGATACTGTCGGCAATGATTTCGCGAGTCTGGAGGGAGAAGCGCATGCCTGAAAGCGTCAAGTCAGTGCTTGTCGTATGCAAACTGCAGTCAAGGATAGGATAACTTACCTTCTCCTCCCATGGTGATGGCGTCTGACACGCCGACGGTGTTGAACTGCCAGCCGAGCATGCCCTGCTTCTCAACAGCCTTTTTCACAATCTTGCCGAAATCGAGCACTGTTACCTTGTCAGCGTTCATGTTCATCTCTATGAGTCGTTCTCTGAGCTAGGGATCGATCTTCTTACGATGCGTGCTGTTGTACCATGTTAGTCGAAGCCACTCCCAACAAACGCCTTAAATGTAAAGGAGGAGACATACTTGCAAGGATTGCCCTCCCACCACACTGTTGCAATACCAACATGCGGCGCCTTCTTCATCATCTCCCTGTTCGGCACGCCAGCGCCGTACAGCATGGCCTACAACATCGTGAGCTTCCAGGTTCTGAATAGTTTCGTCAACCCCGCGGTGACACCCCGCATCTCCGGCCACAACCCCGCATTCCCCAACTTTGCTGTGACACAAGTGACGGCGGTGCTGAATTCGCCGAATGTTTTGCGTACCTGTGCGCCGGGAAAGTCATGTTCCCTCGTGATTGTGTGCGACCAACGGTTGAATTGTCCTTCAATGGGGTGCTCCTTGAACTGGATGTAATCGTGGCTGTCCTTGTAGCTGGTCTCTTCAGCGTCGCCTGGGGCGCGGCCTGCTTGGTCTGCGCTCATTGTGAAGGGTTTTGGGTAGCGTAAATAGGTGTCCGGTTCGGTGGAAGAAGATAACTGCGTCAATTCGCGTTGGCCCGTTTGAATTCGAGAGTCGGGAGAGCCAAGGTTTTCCAATGTACCGAGTTGGTGACAGAGCAAGAAGAGAAGTGTCAACGAAATGTCATGAAAAGGAGAAAATAGTTCAACGAGCAGCAGTAGACGCGGGGAAGGAAAAAGGGCGACTGGGGGGCGGCAACATCTTTTTGAACTTTGTTTCACCCACCACACAACTTGTGTTCTGTGTACATACTACTAGTAGGTAGCTCAAGCGCGAGAGCAAAGCTACTGGCAGCGACAACGGCAGCCAAGGTTCACAATGCGGGCAGAGTGGGAAGGGCGCGGGGAAAGCCAACAGAGCTCGTTGCTTTCTTCCTGTTCCTCAATAGGCTACCGGCAGGGACGTCGTGAAGCACTCCACTAGAAACCTCGGGGACGGATCCGCTCGGGACACCATTGAATCCATTGCTGCTTAATGCGAGCGATCTTATTGGGAGGGCTGCCGACGGAGACGAAGCGGCTCGCAGCTTTCGGTCGGGTGATCCCAGCCGCGCCGGAGGGGAATCGGGGCATAGTCCGCGGTAGGAGTGGAGCAACACTCAATTGACTTTGCGGGTGAATAAGACGGGATGGGACCTGTTGAAGAGGGGTAAATGCGATGGAATTGACCCATTGACGAATGACGGGATTGTCGGAAAATGAATTGCGATGGAGTTGAACGATGCCGGACCAGCTTTCCAGGAGCCAACTGAGAAGTGAGAAGGGGAGACGCCAATGAGTTCCAGTTCCAAGAAGAAGCATCGTCACCAACGGCATTCTCTCCGATGAAAGGCATGTCCCCCACGCCTCACAACTGGCTATTGCTGCAGCTGAGTGAAGGTGCGTACAAAACGTCAAAGTATGATGAGTGAGAGGTCGGCCAGTTGGGCGTTTGGATGGCGCCAGTCCGTGGGACACGCAAGAGCTTCTGGCTGCTCCCGGATCTGTCCACGCTTTCTCATGGATCTCATCACAGTCCTGTGTCGTTAGCTCCATTAGCGTGAATGGGATGCCCAATGCATTTATCTTGACTGGTTCTTGGACTTGGTCTGTAGGTGGTGGTGTCCAAGTGAGGCATGGTGCCACCTTTTGATGGCGGCGTACAGTCTGCATGTTCTCACTCGTGGTATGGGAAATCGGGCTGTCCCCCACCTAACGTACTTTCCAATCAAAGTAGTCGTATTTGTCGTACAAGACGGGATTCAATGGGTGGAGTCTCAATGCCGGTGCCGGTGCCGGCGCCGGCGAGATGAGCTCAAGCCGATCCGCAGCGTGGACGACAGTACAGTCAGAATCGGATCTGCCCATATGTCCATAGCATACAGAACAGGCTTGAGAATTGTCGAACGATCCCCACGCTGGTCACCCGTGTGACATGCTGCTCAAAGGAGATGTTGCTATAACAATAACCCTGTCTTGGCTCAAGACGTCGAACGATCTTCAGGGCGAGAGATCTGCTGAGACTTGGACTAGGCCGACTCCCGGAGGCGGGGCTCAGCCGGCTCGCGGTTCGGAGATCGAGGCATTCGGGACATCTTAGCACGAGAACATTTGAAGATGATCGTGGTTGACGGAGTCTCCGCCAGTGGGGGTCCTCCAGCAAACCCTCCCCGCATCCCAGGCTTGAGCGGTCGATTGTTTGTCTGTCTGAGCGTGGAGAGCGCTGCAACGTCTTGAATCTTTTCCCCCGCCCGTTGCTACACTTGCTGTATGTAGTGTGCACGTAAATCGTAAGTGCGCGTGTATGAACGAGTGTGTGTGCTCATATGCATGCAATACCGACCATTACACCACCACCAGCCAGCCACCAGCCGCGAGTCTCGAAATCAATCGAGAGGGACGTGGTCGTCTGCTCTAGTAGGGTTTCGATTAGAGAAACAGCAATCGTGCCAAGGCCCTGTCGTGTTGCGAAAGTTCGGACACTGGACGGTGAGAGGGGGGCATCTCCCTGGCGCCTCTCACCAGTGGGATGGGATGACACTCTGTTTGACTCTGCGTTTGGATCGGCGAGGGTGAGGGAACGCTGGCGATGCACTTATGAAGTCATGCTTTTACTCTCGCTCGTTTCAATGCGTGCCCCAGTGTTGGAAGGCAGAGAGAACAGCAATAGAAGGGCGTTCGTCGAGACTCAAGAGGAGGGGCCAACCTTTCTCTCTTTTTCGTCCGAGCTATCCGCTCACCTCTGCTTGTTTCGAAATCCAGACGGATGGCGCAGCTCATTACGAAGCCTTCTCCTTCTTCACCCCCTCTCCCCTCATCCGCACCGTCCTTCTTCGTCCGTCCGGTCTCTCTCTCTCTTGAGCCAAGCCATGCCGTGCTCTGCGTTGCTCGCTTCTGCTGGGGGTGTGAGAAACATGTCCAGGGACCATGCTTGGCTGGCGTCTGTTCCAACAAGGCCAAAACCATTTATGCTTCAAGAGTTGGGAGGAAAGAAGGTTTCGGAGGGTGTCAAAAAAGCAGAGCTTTGCTGATCAAGGCGGACCGACGAAACCTTGGGATCTTTGGACGTTTGGGCTGAGTGGTGATAAGGTAACAAGGTAGGTGGGTGGTCGAAGCGAAGTAGTCACGTATTGGTGTACCAAAGACAAGGAGGAGGTGGAGGAGGATGAGGGTTGGGAGGATCGGGAGGGTGTGAAGGGAAACTCCGACCGCGCTAATACGTACCTCAATCTCAACCTCAACTTCAACTTCAGAAAAGAATGTGCGGAAGGCAAGGCCAGCCATGTGTACGTACCCGTGACAATTCACGGCCCTGTTGCTATTTCCAACTCTTACGCAACGTGAGAAAGGTAAGTAATTTTCGTCCAAGGTACGGATAGAGAGTGCCGTAAATTATCTACCTTACTGTCAACAACACCTACGGGGACGGGACACTTCACCTTGCCGTGAGGGAACAATTGCCAATGGTAGCTCCTCTTCTGCATCTTGCATCGCTCTTACATGACGCTAGCGACGGTTTGATCACGTATGTATGGGCGTTATCTTCGAAGCGCTGGTCTGGAATCGGTAATTGGAAACTGCAGCTTGGATCGTCAAAGCACTTGTCAGACAAACGTCAACAATCTTCCATCACTCGACGACTTGTTACCCTAATCTGGACAAGGATTGAGAGAGACATCGTATCAGTATTGAAGTGATTCCCACAATGTCCAAACACATCACGCTTGGACAGATGCATCCGCGGTCCTCTCATCGTATTGCTTCTTTCTCTCCCTTGCAGCTGTCATGACACCACTACTCAGAACCAAAGGACGAGGTCACTAAGAATCACTGCAGGAAAAACAAGATTTCTCAAAACTCTGATTTCTCGATTCGCCGTTTTGAAGAAGAAAAAAAAAAGCAAAATAAAGCCAACGCAATCATCGTCTGCATGAATCCCGCAGGGTCCCAAGGGCCGCTCTAGTGTACAAAAAACTGCCGTAACAAGTTGTTTCGGAATAACCCCACGGTTGGGATGTGTTTGTGGTTCGTAGTCATCGCTTCATTTCTGCAAAGGGTGGAAAAGATGCCTTCCCAAGAAGATGAAAGAAATGTTGTAAATGTCCTCCTCTGCACTGCCAGTCGTGCCCAACCACCCTATTTCAGGGATCTAGCATCCAATCCCCTTCGCATGCCTCGGTGATGGCGTCGTTTTTTCCCTCAAAAAGATAGAAGATGAAATGAAGAAATGGAAGAAAGGGCACCTTTCCCCTCCCGAGCAAAACCCCTGCCCCTGCCTGCGCCGGATTTCGCCCCAACAGTTCGCAGCCACCTTAGTCGTATTTGTTCGTGTACGATGAAGATGGGACAAACGGTTTGCCGAAAAGCCCTAACCAAAAAAGACAATGAAACCAAATTTCCCATCAGGGAGAAGCCAACTGAAGCGAAGAACAAAACTGCGGCTTGATGCTGTAGTCTTCTTGTTGCACGGCGGAAGACGCAAAAACTCAAGCAAGAATCAGACACTCCAAAGTTGTAAAGTAATACACTGGTAGAATCAAAGTGTTGTCTTGGTCGGTGCCGAGTTTCTTAGGCGCCGACTCTTGATTCCTCCATGCGTCTCACCAACTCACGCTCACGGGGAGAGCGAGGGTTGGCGTCAATGCCAAGAATGGCAGAGATGCGAGTCTTGTCTTGAGGTCTTTCGTAGCTATCGCGATCCAGATTGTCGGGGCTGGAAGTGGGTGTGATGGGTGTGCTGGCCTGCTGCTGGTTGCAGCATGCACCATTCTGCCATGCCTGCTCCAAAGCAACGGGGCTTGCGCCCGGGCCGTAGTCGTTAGCCACAGCGGCCCAGAAAGAGGCGCGGTGTGCAGTGTAGACGGATTGAAGGCGGTTCATGTCAACGTGTTGATGGCTGACGATGGACTGGGCAGAAGGAAGAGGGCACTCCAGACGCAGGGGTGGCGTGATGGGGAGGCTGCCGGAGATGGACTGGAAGGTGGCGGAGGGGAGAGCCGCGCTGCGAGGCTCAGGGAGAGGTGTGGGATACCCGCGGGTGGGGGAGGCGGTGGGAGGTGGCAGTGTCATGCAGACCGGCTTAGGGAGGATGGCGGGGAGCCTGGGAGAAGCCTCGTGGCCCATGATGCTGGGAAGTTGCATGGGGGCGGGCGAGTGAGGGGCGTAGCTGGTTGAGCTGCCTGGGGGAGAAACCGAACGAGGAGTCGACTCTCGGATCGAAGAAGGCATCGTCGGTTGCATGACAGGTGAGTGGGTGGTGGAAGAGCCAGAAGAGACCGAGGTGGCACGCTGCTTGCGTCGGTTGCTACCGTGGCTAAGCTGATGGTAGTGAAGGCGACATGCCAGCTCAGTCTTCTTCAGGTGAGCGGCGATGTGCTTGTAAGGCATCTTCTGAAGACGAGTCTGGAGGAGATAGACTTCCTGTGGTACGGTTAGACATTGTGGTCTCACATGTGACTCTGGATCGCAGCAGTCCTAGACTATCCGAGTGAAACATACCTCATCCTCGCTCCATGCTCTGCCTCCTCCGGTTGAAGCCGCCTTGCGGTTCTTGGTGATTCCATATTCATGACGATCCATGGCGTCGGAAGTGGGAGTGTAGGTGGCCGTGTGAGGCGCCAATTGCATCGTGGGAGACATTTTTGCTCGTTAAATCGTTTCGGAACAGTCGATGTTGCGTCGTTGTACCTCTCAGAAGTAGGGTAAACTCTTGTGTCTCTCGGTGGAGAATCTTCACGCGTTATGATGTTCGCGGTGTCCTGGAAGCTGGGTTTGATAAGAAGAGGCAGAAACTTGCTGCCAACGAATCGAAGGTTTGAAAAAGTTGATGGTTGTAGAAAGGTGGTGTCCCAGCCGGAAGCTCGCAACAACGAAGTCGGCCTTTTGCAGATCCGTCAAGGAGAGAGGAAACGGATAGGCGAGTGGGGGAAGGTCCCAAAGAAGTGAAGTGAAGTTCGTTTGTTTGAATAAACCGGATAGGTCAAGATATATTGACAAAAAAGGTGGTGTTCAAGAAGCGTAGTCAAATGAGTGTGTGCAGCCAAGCCAGTTGGACAATGAAGGAAAGTAAAACCCTAGCTGCGGGAGAAGAAAAGAAGGACACGCAACTGCGCTTCAAGAAGACGAAGAAAAGGGATGTTGATGATAAACCCAAGTTAGGTAGAGAAGGTAAACAGAGAGACAAAATCTGCTCGAGATGGGGGGAGAGAGGGAGGATAAAGTAATATTGCAGCCTCAGCCAAAGTTGGACCTGGGCCCCAGTCTCTTCTCAGTTTCTATCTGGCAACTGGCAAGACGAGACAAGACGGGACCAGCTCTACCAGCATTAGACCGTATCTGTCCCCGTACCAGACAAGGCACCACTCACACACACGCCCAAAGAAGAAGAGCGGGTGGGCAGGCATAGCAAACATTGCCTCATCATGTTCGGGCGCTGGTACATGCAGGACAGGGGGTTCGCACACCGTCAAGTCTAGCCCTGTTGCAGATATTCAGCAGTGAAGCCAGCCAGACCCTGGAGAAGATGGGGTGGATGTGACAGAATTAGCAGAGCATAACGTTTGGTCTGATCCGCCTGGCCTGCTGCCATCCCCATTCACTGAAGGGGGAAAAGGAAAGAAAATGTGTGTGTGTGTGTGTGCGAGAGAGACCCAGCAGACAAGAGAGACAGAGAGAGAAACCAAGACCAGGGCCGGCAACGCTTGTGCAAGCCACACCCTGTTTGACCACACCCCTGTACGTAACTTGTTCGAGGGCAGGGCCAGAAAGAGGAGACGGACGAGGAACAGGCATGGGTGCGAGATTATGGATCCGGTGAGAGACGAACGTGCGTCTCAACCGGCCGCCATGATGGATCGAGAAAGAGAGCAGCCAGACTCAAGTGGCGCCCGCCAATAGACAAGCCAAAGTAAAATGGATGATTGCCCGCAACGAGCTGTAGCCTCGGAGGCTCGGATGCAGGATGAGCATAGACCAAGCCTAGGGCCCCCCAGAGATGGAGCTTTCATTGAAGACTCGGGGAGCAAAACAGAACAAGAGAGATTGGGAAGAAGAGGAGAGAGAGGCTCTTGCAAACCTGGAACATGGTAAAGGAAAGCCACCAAATGCGTGCAGCGTAGCGTCTCCATTGACGAAAAGAGCGGTGTCGTGCCTCCGATTTGTTTCTTCCCCTTCTTCGTCAAGGGGAGAGAGTGCCTGGGCTCCATGCAGATTCAGTATAGAGCCTCAACTTGGCTAGTTTGTTGCAAGCATCTTGATGACCCGCCAGCTGGTTTTGGTTTCGGCCACGGCACATGGTCGGTGGATCTTGTTCATGACTGATGAGGAGGAGGAACTTTAGAGAATTCGGTCCTCTTTCTCTCTACGGAGTATGGTATTACTGCTGAAGGTAAGGATGGATACTCGTGTTGCGCGCGTGGCAGAGCGCGGCATAGTATGGGGCTTGGGATGGCGTGGCATGGCATCGCCGAAGGCTGTTTTGAAAAGTAATGTAACTTGACTCAGAAAACAAACCATTGATCCCTCCCGAGACCTCGACAAAGTTGACACCGTCACGCTGGGTCGGGTGGCTCGCAACAAGGAAGAGGGTGTTACTATTTGCGGTCGACATCTGGTCTCAAGTCGCGATAAGCATACGTTTGCTCGCTGTCGATCTCGCGGAGGCTTTGGCGAGGATGAGGGAGGGGAAGCATAGGAAGGGGAATGGCTGTAGCGTTTTGGGGCTCTGCGTAAGGTTGCAGTCTCGCACTTGCAGAGGGGATTCTTGGAACAACGATAGCGAGGTATTCGTGGGATCCGAACAGGTATCTGTAGGCTGGGCAAGGCAGAGGGGGAGGAGCAGGGGCTCTGCGGGTACGCGAGGCATACATTCGCGGCATATGCCCAATTGAGAGGGAAACGGGGTATTGAGCAGGTTGTTTTTCCTCGTCTCGGTCTCGTATGGTATAGCGCGCGTGTACGAAGTATTGTACGTGCGGTGCAGTGCGGTGAGGTGAGATGCGGACGGTGCGGTGTGCGGTACAGGACGCTTAACTGTATATTGCGTATCCGTACGGTAGGTTACGATGTGTAGAAGGATGAGGAGAGGACGCGCAGGCTGCATTGCGGCATGGTCGTCGCAACCGCCGGCCGTCGTGGCATGGCCGGTGTACTCGGGATGGTACCTCGAGACTCAAGTGCCGTTTTGGTGAGGAGCGGGAACTGGTACACTAGTAACGGGCGGCGAGCGTTGGTGTTGATGCTGCCGCTGATGCTGTTCAGATTGTTGCAACTTGCGGGCAGTGGTCGTCGTCGTCGTCGTCGTCGTGACGGGATCGTGACCCTGTGTCTGAAGGTTGTGTGAGGATGTCTGTCTGACGTTTGACGGCGGGGTCAAGCGATGGACGGTACGTGTTACAGAGGCGCGCCTGTGACTGCCATTGGCCCGTTTTCGCGGCAGCCCCTGAGCCTTCCTTGCGAGTTGCGCGCACAGAAGGGCAAGGCACGCCAAGCGTCTACTAGTCTGTATTGGGTCAAGTCAGGAACAGAAACCACCATCACCCCGGCCAGCCTCGCAACCGTGACGGGTACGTAGCTACGTACTGGTAGCGTCGATACGTATCGGTTCCCGAGGCAAGTGAGCCCCACCTCACGACCCATCCGCAGTTTCCACCTCATTGCGAACCACCGGTGCGGCGGGGCCGAACACCCCTGTCTACTGTAACCGTCCTTTTGTTCACAGTGAGTGAATCTCTCCTCTGCCTACGTAGTGTGGTGTCTCCGTACGCAGTTATGGATACACCATTATCACAGTCAGTCAGTCAATTCTCGAGGCTTGAGGCTCGAGCCTCCTTGACTTCGTCCCACGTCGTCGTCTCCCACTAGGCCCCGTTGCGGCTTGCCGTGTAAGAGCCTCCTCAATGGGAACAATTGCGCCAGAGCCGCTACTACCATAAGGTAGGGAGGGTATCGACGATTCGACAGGCCCAGATGCCAACCCGGCTGTTTGGTTTGATGTCAGGGCTCTCCCCTTCAAGGCTTCAACAGTAGCGCCGTCCTGTCTGGGACACCGAGTATCCTAACGGATATTTACGACCAGTTAAGAAACTTTGCGTAAGAGACATATTCTTGGCTTCGTCGCCCTGGACCATGACACGGCTGACGACTGTATTTGCACGAATAGACTCTTCCCGTGGTCCCATCTGATGATCAACAATTTTGGCACCCCTACCCCGCGCGACCTTGTCGAAGCGATGTGATGTGATGGCGTGTCCAGCCCAGGTTTCTGGTTTCTGGTGTCCGGTCTCCTTGTAAGATGCGAAGTAGAAGCATAGGCGTTGGCATCTGCATCGAAACATGAGGCTGTTTCTTGTGCGTCCCTCTCTGACGCCGCCTCGGCATCTGCGCTCAGAGACTAACAATTCTCACGGCGTGGTGGCCCATGGATGGTGCACTGCGTACTTGGTGCAAAGTGCTCGCTCATCAGAAACCAACAGTAGAGTGCCTGTCCATCTATTCTCCATATGCGACATTGCTATGGCAGTCATTGGATCAACCGGCATAGCGGCATGTTTGTCTAAATTGACTGCCCTACACTACGATGCCATCCAGGACTGGGATGCAGTCACCGCATTGCAAGTTGAATTGCCCGCACCCATCCATCCGCAGCCAAACTTAGCACACCCCTCATTCGGGTGTCATTGAAAGTCTCCGTACCTTATATGAGGGAAACTTACGGATAAACACGGACAGATGCTATTCATAAGACTTGACATTGGATAATTATCCTTTCCAGACACGCACTTCGTCATCGGCATCTCAACGTGGCCTCTCACACACATACTTTTCTCTTCTGGTTGGTCCACGGACCACTCAGTCAGTCACTTTCTCTCTCCGGCAGTCACAAGTGACAAGTTGACAAAATAATGAATTTGTTCTACCGCAACTCACCTGTAGGGCAGGCACTGGCAGGTTTGTCGACATTCCCTTCCTTGAGATTCGAACGTATCCTCCCCCGCCTTCCGTGGGTGCCGAGCCGCACCAAAACATTGAAACTCACACCACTTTCCTGCCAAGATGTGGAGAGAGTAATAAAAACGCTTCACCTGTTTTCGTAACGACAGCACAATTAAAGGGAGAGGGCAGGTTTTGTTCGTACAGAAAAAAATCTCCAGAGAGCCAGGGGTCAGTACAGAAGGGGGGTCTAGTTTCCAGAGGAGGGGGACTTTGCTCTTTTTTGCTCGTCAAGCCGTGATCATTTGGGAATCCCAGGCCGTTGTTGCCTCTTGGTGAATTTCCATGTCCTGGGCCCACGTCCCTTGAAACTCGCTAGTAAGCAGGCGCAATTTCACCCACGTCTCAGCCCTTTCCCTCTTGGTCGCCCTTTCCCCCTGACGGCATACTATGTACGATACGTACCGAAAAGGTGTGGCCCCCCAGCTGTACGTACCCTTCCATCCGCTTTAATCGTGGGCTTGAGCCACTCACACAGCACACATGCCGCCCACCCCGTGACTGAAACCAATCAAAGGTGTGGCTGTCGGCTTCACCTTACTGTACACGATACGTACCCTCAAACCTCTTTTTTCGTCCATCTTTCTTCCCACACCCAGGACTTCGTCACCCCTCCATTTTCCTCCTCCATTTTCCACCACTCACCTCTCTTCCCGACGACATCTCTCAAAAACTCAGACAGACGCACGCTGCGAACAGACAGCCGACCATCCACACCCTCCCCTTCCCTTCCTCTGACCGACGGGACGAACATGGATTGCAAGAAACAACAGAGGGGCCCTAATGCAGGAAACCTTATTTGTTTCTTAACAGATCTCTGCTGAAACTGAATCTGGCTTGCACCATGCCACCATGCCACCATCTCCAACGGGGCGTTTCCGCTTCCAGGCACTCCCCTCCAAACGGTCTCTACTACCTACTCCCGAGTCTCAACGGAGTGCCTTACAGAATATGGATACACTACCGTACCGTCTGGCGTTAACCCCGCTCATCACGCGCGCTCTTTCAGGTCCATGGCCCTTTAATCGTCGTCCATTGAGCTTCCCTCACCCCATTATGCTACTGTCGCCCGCCAAAAGTTATGGCCGAGAGTCTGGGCGGCTGGGCCACACCACACAGAGTTCGACATGTCTGAGCCAAAACTCGGTCTCGGGCCCCCTCCAGCGTCTACCCTTATCAGGAATAGGATTCGTCTGACCTTTTCGCCCTACCAGCCTGTCAAACCAGACTACTGGCACGCTGCCTAACCTGACGGACGGGTCCACCGAGTCATATACCGTCCTCTACTAGCCACCACGATTCACAGATCGTAATTTACATCCTACAGGAGCAGAAACATTCTCGCCGCCGCAGCACTAACAGAAACAGGCTGTTCCTTGGGCAGCTTCACTGAAATTGAGAAAGCCGAGCCACCATCGGCGCCATGGAGATCGAAACACAGCCCGCCGCCGCCGCGGGCTGCTCGTGGCCCCCAATTCTCCGTGGCAAAACCATGAGTTGCGGCCGTCCGCTCCGGGACTTTTCATTCTCCTTGCGCGTTGCGCACAATGAACATCGTCCGGCCGCCCGTTTGGCCCCCGTCCCGCAAGCTCTAGCAAAGCCACGATACTGAGCGGAGATAAACCATGATTGATTACCCTCTCGAGCGTCAACCCCGGCACCAATTAAGTTCCGCCATCCAGGCTCCAGCGTGTAACCTGGCGGCCCTACCAATCGATGTCCCTGATCGCCCAAAATCCCCCCCGGCATGTAAGAGCCTCCATCCAGCCAAGAAGGCTCAGAAACAAAGGGACTTGCCCCTCCATACGACCAAGAAGTGGAAGCAACATATCACGGGGCGGATGCTCATCATCCGGTTCAACAACGGCCAGGAAACTTTTGGCCGGCATTGTGGGAAAAGAGCAGGAAGACTCAATATCGGGATACCTGGGGTATTGAAGGGATCGCCCGCATCCCGCGAGTCCAGAAGCGCCCGCACCCAGACCTAACCGGTGGGAAATGCAGACCAAGAAGGTCTCCGATTCTTCCGGGAGGAATCGCCAAACGTCACGCCCCCTGTTTGCCACTCTGCCATCTCATCTCCAATCTGGTGATGGCGGTGATGATCTTCGGGAAGGCCATCAACCGAAGGCAAATGTTGACGGGCGCAAGTGTGGTTGGTGGAGTTAAGATGTCATAGAGGAGGCACAAACGGCCGCATTAATCGAACCCGTGGTTGGTTCGGATTCGCGTCAAGATCCGCCTACCATGCCTGGTGCTGGGACCGCACCGGACTCGACTAGATGAACAGTAACGCCCGGTTCCCTGACAGAAGCTTGGCGATACTCTTTTCGTCTGATCTCTCGACCGATGGATTGGGGCGGCCCCACACTCAACGGTCCTGCAACAGTACACTACGAATACAAGTGATCCACGGAGGACGGAGGCTAAGAAGAGCGAGATTACAGGTCCCGGCTTTGACACTGTCCGCTGCATACACCGTTCAAGTCAAATCCCTAGTGTAATAGGCCAGTTCATCTGTCGGACAGCCGGATACTACAACTGCTTATCGACGAATAAATTCGGGAAAGCATACTAATCACCATTCAGAGGGTTACACAGATCCCGCAATTATTCAAGGAATTGTCCGACATGGTGCAGAAAAGATGCCTAGGAAATGGAACGTCGCCATACCCAGCTTGTTCCGCGTGTCTCGCATTACTCGGCCGAGTAAATACGTGGAGGTTGGCCGGCCCAGCCTTGTGGGCCAGTGCTCCTGCTTTCCATCAGGGCGTCCCATGCGACGTTCTCTCCCTTTTGCTTCAAACCAAGAGCCCCGAAATACATAGGGGGTGAGCCTCTGCCCTTTGAAGCAGGTGGAATTGCAACAGAGATTTCGAGCAGCGGCCCCAATTGTTCATGACGCCACGGATCATCGTTGGATCGTCTGGTCGTCGGCCGTCTCAGCAACTCGCATGAATCCTCATCGTCCAATGTCTTGGAAGCGGCACTTTGAGAGAAAACATCGACAGAATCGACAAACTTGCTCGCGACGGGCACTAGCCAGCGTTCCGATTCACGGCTTGGCCGAGCCCAGGGCCACCCTGCGCGAAGACGTTGGGGTGAACGTGTCTTCAGTCATATGTTGCTCAAGAGCCGCGAGTCTCAAACAATTGGTGCCGGAACCCTGTGACCAACATCGTTTCATAGCTGGGGTCTCTCAACCCGACCTGCCAAGGAGGCATAAAGTCTGTCCATGTTCGGAACGAACATGCACGTCCTGGCAAGGAATGGATGGCTTCACAGAGTCTGATTGCCCTACGCGCATGAAAGCGAGAGACCGGATGGCAGTAGACGTGGCCGGGTCAGGGCTCATGAGGCCGTTTTAGGTTACCTGTCGACAACATGAAGCTAAACGACAGCATCCAACATGAGCTTGGCATGAACTTGGGGCTCATCTTTTTTGGTGGTCATGGGGCTCATCCTCACGCCTGGTGCGATCTGGGGTCATTGCCAGGGTCGGGCGAGCCACCTTGTTTCGTCGCCTTTTTTTCGGTGTTTGAAACAATTCTTGTCTTGGGAGAATAGCAGCATCGCTTTTGTTTTGGCGGTCAAGCTGCCCAGGTACCGCTTATGTGGGTGCGCGGAATACGCGGCCAATTGCACAGAATGTGCCGGCGGTCAGCCTCATCAGCCTATCTATATCTCTCTTTCGTTATCGTGACGAGCACTCACGGGTTCATTCACGATGCGACTCTCGTGGAGCAGCAAGTGGAGAGTGGTGATAGCGATGGACCGCGGCATCTCGGTCATCCTTGTCTCCCCGTCCCGATCTGGCCACGGCCAAGTGGAACCCCAAGCGCCCGGAACCGATGACAACCGTGCACTTCTGAGGCAGCTCGGTCTCCAGGATCCCGGTACCCCGGCACCGACCCTCTCCCGATGTGACCTGGGAAAAGTCGGGCCTTCGGTCCGCTGCCGTGAAGTTACTGGCTCCCGTTCCCCGTCCCGGATGATTACGAAAGCTGGCCAGGCCGCAGGCTCCGCACCTCGGCATCATCGGAGGGCCACCGCCGCGCGGAAACTTCGGCGTGCTAAGCAAAACATTTCCGCGGAGTCGTCCGTTGCACCATCTCCAATTGAACACCATGGTATCTCGACCGTATGTTCTAGCGTAAAGCGTTTTCGATCTCAACCAGACCGAGTTCTTCATAGAACAAAACATCAAAACTCGAATGGACGCCCAGGTGTCTTTTCAGACAGAGCCTCGAGCGCAAGCTGACTCTCCAATTCTGACGTGAAGGCTGAGACAACGGGCCAGCATCGCGCACTGTTGGACCACGAACACGTCTGTGAGCGGTCCGACGCACAGAGAGGTAGGCGTCATCACAAGTTGAAGATGGAGTAGAAGCTACCGGTCTGGATGAACTCGCCATGGTAGAGCGGCCGCTGAGGGGTAGAGACATGGTATTATCACAAGGACAGGAGACAATGACTAAGCCACGAAATACTATGGATGGATTTTGCGCAGCCGGCATCATGTCAGGCAAAGCGATTTAGATGCATTCCGCATTGCTATAACCATGTCATCTGGTTTCCAAATGCCAACCTAATCGACTCGAGATTCAAGACTCAAGACGGGCGGAAAGGTACATGCATCGTTGAGGTACTGTACGTACCGCGCAGAGTCCCATGTTGTAGTAGGTGTCCACCAGCGGTACCACTAACAGGAGGTACATAAAGCGAGGATCAAGTACTTGGACCATGCAGGCGGTACATGGAGTACATGTAAGGTAGTTCAGAAAAACTGCCAAGAGAACAATTGCGACGAGTACCTACGCACTTTTGATTTTACCTTTGACCATGAACGCAGCACAGGTCGCATTTAATAACACTGCCAGAACAAGACGCTCAAGTGAAGATGGAGGTTGGTGGAGGGGACGAGGCTGAGAGATTATGCGATAAACTTTTCAACTTGTGTTTCCCGTCCTCTCGTGTTTCCCCTCCAGCTCCCGTCAATGGTCAACCAGTCGTTGGAGCACCTTACTTGCTGCCTCGCCCGTTGGCCATTCAGTCAGGCAAACAAGATGAAATAAAAGTGGCTCAGAGGGGTTGCCATTTGCCTGGCACACCTGGTTGAAGGTTGGATGAGGGAAGTGGCTGAGATGAGGTGCGGTGAGGTGATGTGGGTTTCCCCGCAAGAAGAAACGCTTGTGACCAGTGACCTCAGTCATCAACTTCAGGCAAAGCGCAGCAGCGAGCGACACGACACACGGCAGGAGCGCATGGCCGAAGGGTCCGAGGCGAGCGAGTTGTCAGATCTGACCGACAAACTCGGTGTGCCCAACGCGTACATAGTAAGGAAGCTGTCTTTCTGGCTAATAACATATCTGGGTACAACGAGATACGAGCAGCGGCAGCACACGGGCGTGGTTCACAATCGCATCGGATCGTATCGCTGGCAAAGGAAAGTAGAAAGTACTTCTCTGTCGTACGTACCTGCTTGGAACTTGCCTCTGGATGGGATGACCTGATAGATTGAGGTGAGGTGAACAACTGGCAGCTGCCCGGATGGACGAGGAAAAGTGGAACAGGGACAAGGCACGGAGCAGCCACTGAGCATTGAGCCATGACGAAGTGTCGAGTGACAAGTAAAAGTGATCCGTGCAGAGCGAGGGGAAGACGGTCTGTGCCGGTGGTTGGATGTCGATGACCGAGGCAAAAAGATAGAAGATTGGAAGGTGCCTTGCTGCCAAACAGTGTTGTTTTGACTGCAAAGGTAGAAGCAGCGCAGCTTGCCGGTTAATAGTCGGAGTGTTATCGTCACTTTCTGCCTGACCGAGGACCCGCTGAAATGGCGTCGAGTGGCCCCTCCTTTCCCCCCGCCTGCCTCCCTCGTTTCTTTTCCATGTTCCCTCGCCCTCCCCCTCCCCCTTAGCAATTTTCTCTCCTGACCCCTTCCACCACCCACTTTCTCCCAGCAGAAAAAAAAAAGAGGGCGACCAGAAACATCACCGTGAACTGGGAAGTTACTTCCATCAGAGGTACATACTTGGGTCATCGCGAGCCATAGCATCCCAACTCCCATTTTTCAAGTCCCAAGTTCCCAAACCAACCTGCACTACACTACGGATACCCAACCCGACATCATCAGCTCAAGGTGTGCACCAGCTCAAGCTCCACCTCCACACTTTTGCTTCAGGTCCTTGCCGCTACAGCAAACCAAAGTATCCGTACAGCTACATACAAAGCTACAGCTACGAATACACGGTACCCGACTACGCACCCAGCCGGGTACCTCGCAACTCTGACGGATACATCACCTCACGCGCTTCACCTCAACCTCACCTCAAAGAATACCTACCTACCCAGACCGAAAAGTTCTGAGAGGTTCAAGGTCAACGAAAATCCCAAGGTGAGCAGACACCAAAGCTACAGACGCGCTGCCGCCGCCCACACTATTGTCGCGCATCTATCCACACCTACACCACTTTGACGTTGCCGCAACCGCAAGGGAACGGACATCTCCACCATCGTCGCCCGTCATTGTTAATCACCTCACCTCACCTCACCTCATCATCGCTCACAGAGCTTTCCATCTGGCATTGACGCTGTCGCTGTCGCTGTCGCCATAGCTGCGGTCGTCACCACATTTGCCTCACTTGCGCGCCGCCAATCCCACGCACCTCCATCTCTTTCCGCCTTTGCCACCAAGTATTACACACGCATCACTCACTGGGCCTATCTCATCAACGTCCACCACTTTTCTAATTCTTTGCCTTTCCTGCAGACGTTGGCTACGTCTTACCTCATTGTACACGCATACACACCGAATCGCGTCGCAATAAGGTACTCCGTATCCGAAGCTTCCTATCTGTCTTTGCTCCATCTCTCACTTTCTCTCTCTCTCTCTCTCGCGCGCGCGCCATCGCCTGTCCAGAAACTGGTTCGAGACAGCTTTCATTGCTCTTCTCGCTCTCTATTACCTATTCCTAGCTGTCTCCGCCCGTACGGATAAACGCACCCAATTTAGGATCGCCGTCCATTGTTGATTGACCCTTGATCCGAGGAACCGCCACCGACCACCAGCTGGACCCAACTCATACGCGCGAACCAACAAGCAACGCACGGCACATCTCGCGCACTGCCTCCAGCTGCCTGTCTACTCGTGTCTACTTGCGCCTGTCTATCTGAACCTCGACGTCCTTCACGAATACATCACGCTACCTCGTTCTGGCTCCGCCGCTACTTGTCACTACCTGCCTGCCAGACCTTATCTCGCGATATACCACACACACCTCACTTTACCTACCTGGTCTGCTTTATTTGGACTCCTTCACCTGATTACCTTGTACCAGGAAAGAGCAAGGGCACCGCAACTTTCGGTACCTTCCGTATATTTTTATTTTTTTATTTTTTGAGCCTTCCACCGCTTCCTGCCTTCCGGGGTGCCGTCATTCGCACTTTGTTCCCCACACCGAAAGGGAAATCACCCATTCCTTCCCGCCAACGAATACCGCGCGCCGCGTCGCTCTATGCCGCAGCAGCGCACCTTCCTTCACCTGACGTCCAATTACCTGACGATTACACCTTTCACCTGCTTGCACACCTGAGCCTTCCAGGTTTTGCCAGCCTCTCCTCTCCAGTCTCCAGCTCCGGCCGTTCCCTGCCGTCCATTACGAAGATCCACCTGGTTTTCGCCGTTATCGTTGCTCACCTCACTGATTGCTGCACTGCCGCTTGAGGTGCTCATTTTTGTTTTTATTTTGTTTCCTCTTACTTTCCGTGTCGCGTCCCGTACGTCGCTTTCGGTCGCCCGCACCACACGTATTGGCACCGCCCGCGCGCACACACACTGAACGAGAGTCCTGGACCAAGACCAAGACCAAGACCAACACAGTACCTGCCTTCCTTACCTTACCTTACGCAACGCACCTGCCACCCGACCCCAACCAGCCAGCCAACCAGCCCAGCCAGGTCAATTGGAACCACAAGGCAGGCACGCCGCACCGCCGCACCACACAACCCGGCAGTAACCACCCCCAGAAAAAAGAGTACTTGAAGCAAACACGTCCTCGGCCTCGCGCGCCTTGTATCTTTGTCCCCTTTATTCTCGCCTCTACCTCGCACCATCCCTCCCTCCCCCCCTTCCACCTTCCCCCCTCCCACTGCCACTCCCACTCCCACTCCTTCCCATCCTTTTCTACCTCGTCACTTCGTCACCTCACCTCATCCCTCCCATCCATCCGTCATCCCCCCCCCCAAAAAGCCCAAAAAAAGCCCTTCCCAACCCCGGGCGTGTGCGTGACCCGCTTCCTGTCTTTTGCGACTCAGGCTTGGTCCAAGTCTCTCTTCCACCCCCCGAGAGAGCAGAGACCAAATATTCCCCATCCATCAACCCGTCGGTTTATGCATCGTTGTTGAGTTAATACTACCACTACATTGCCCGTAAGTACCTGCACCCTATTTCCTATGTTCCTTTTCACCCGTTGTCCCGATTGAGGATCAAATCACCACTTGTACCTCAATCATGGAATCGTCGCGCGCATACAGATACACTTGGCTTCATCCGCGTTGATGCTGTCGCGCGCGTCTCTTTCTCATCGAGGCTCGTTCGTGTTGTCGACGCCCTCTCGTCAAAGTTTTTCTGCCTCACCGCGTCTTCGCAAGCACGTCGGTGAATCCTCCCCCAATAAGCAACGCCTTGCTCTGCGCGCGCACTCGACTGCTTCACTCTTCCTGTCTGTACCTTCAATCATGTTCCATCTCATACCTTCGTCTTCATCGCGCCTTTTGAGGATTCTACCGGACGCTGGGTTCTATCATCACTGTTGTCTTCGCCACACACAATGGCAATCATGTACCCTTTTTTTCCTCTCGTCGGAAAGCGCCCGTGTCGCGTTCGCGCCTTACCTCCGGGCGCAGCGCGGGCCCCGCCCATGACTCTTGCGCGACAGCTTTTTTTTTTATCTTTTGTTTCTTCGGGTCCCGAATCAATTGACCACGGTACACACGGTACTAACCTTTGGACCTCTTGTTAGATCATGCAGCAGTGGCAAGTCGGCCCCGTGCCGGAGTACATCTACTCCAACTCCACCCATCAGCCTAGCGACATGCAGTAAGTACCTCATCCACCTTGTACCCCTCGATCTCTACTTTCGTCCCTGTGCCCAAAGTCACTCTTGCTCTCCCCCGTCCCGTTCGTTCGTTCGTTCGGTCGCTCCCCTTCCCTTTCCATCCTCCTCCGCCCCGCGAGGCTGCGTACGGTGTACCGACACCTACCCGTGATCCAGGGGTACATGAACATGTACCTCTGGAATACCTTTTCCTTTTGAGCAACCCCGGCCATGCTGGGCCTGCTCCGCGGCGCAAAAGAGGGTGTAACGGACAACAACAACAATAACATGACCCTTTTCCTTCCGCCGTCGATGCATGCACGCACGCCTGGGCAACACGACCTCTCGCGAGGGGCCGTTAGTCCTCAGGAGTCTCGTCTCCAGTCGCGACGTTGATCCCGTCGGAATGAAACTTTACTAACACTCCATCCTAGTCCTCAACACCCCTATCAGCAGGACATGTCTCGTCGGGATCAGCACCCACAGTTCCAGTACGGAGCGCCGCCTCACCAGAGCCCGGCACCGCAGCATCACCAGCCCACTCCGGTCCAGCCTCCGATGAGTGTGCCTCAGCCGCCTCAACCGCCCCAGGCCCAGCCCCATCCTCAGCAGCAACAGCACCACCAGCAGCAGCAGCATCACCAGCAGCAACAGCAACAGCAGCAGCAGCAACAACAGCAGCATGCTGTTCAGCCCCCGCCTCAGCCGCAGCCGGCACCCAGAAACCGCAAGCGTCCGGCCCCGGCCCCAGCTCAACAGGCCCCGCCGGTCACTAGCGCCCCTCCCATGCCGCCTGCTCCCGTTGCGCCCACCGCTACCCCCATCCCGCCGCCTCAGATCAACCCTCCCGTTGCCGCTCCTCCTCCCCAGGCTCAGCCCGCCGCCACGGAAGATGCCAACGCTCAGGCTCCTCAGCCTCCCCCGGCCAAGAAGAGCCGCACAAACACCCCCTGGACTCCGGCCGAGGAGCTTCGCCTGAAGCAGATGAGAGATGCCGGCAGCAGCTGGGCTGAGATTGCCAAGGTTCGTTCCATCTATGCTACCCCATTCTCCCATCACTAGCAGCCTACTAACATGAGCGTGTAGACGTTCCCTACTCGCACTGAGGGTAGTGTCAAGAAGCATTGGTACAAGGACATGCACTACGCAGAGTTCGCGGAAGACGAGGTTCGTGGCAGATGCTTCTAGTACTTGTTTTCTCCCTCAAGCTTGCTAACAAGTCACAGAGCCAAGCACTCCTCAATGCCATCAAGGAGTACGAAAACAACAAGTGGAAGGTCATCGGGCAAAAGGTCGGCAAGCCCGCCAAGGCTTGCGAGCAGTACGCCAAGGAGCACTTTCCCGGTATGCCCTCTCTCAACATCACGTCGGTACGGCCGCATCCACATCAACGATACTAAATGATTCGTAGACCTCTACGCCAAGCCGACCAACCGGTAGAGGAACCCCAGCTCCATCGGCGGTTCTGAGGATACTCGGGAGATGGGCAACACTGCGAAACGGCGCTGGGAGTGTCTCGATGCGTTGGGATATACCAAATGTGTTTCTTCTTTCTCGTTCTGACGATCACAACGACCCGGACTCGAAAAAAAGACGATTCCCCCTTTGCACTTGTTAATTATTTTTCTTCGTTCTTTCATTTGGAGGCTGGACTTTAATTACTTTTTACCCCCGACGTCTCAGCTCCACGTCTCCGGCACGGTCACGTCTGGTCGAAAACTTCTGGCTGCGGCGGATGTGGGGGAGATGGGTCTAGAAGGAGTGTTGGCCCTCATGTGCGACGGTTTTGCCCTTGCGGGGCTTGCCTGTTATCAGTGTGCTCGGAGTTTCATAGCACAACACGAAAAGGAAGTTGAGTGATGGCGGGTGATTGCCATACCCGTTTGAGAGATGGTCTGCGCGTGCGCACGTATGCGGGAGGACCTTCTATATGGTGTTGATATGTGCGGAGGGTTTTCCAACACAAGTCATCGGAAACCCACCTTTTATGCCATGTCTTAATTGCCAGAGGGGAAGAGGATATAATGATGCGTGGACAAGACTGATCGAAGAGGTCAGTCGACGAAGTCCAAGGACAAATCACACAGAAAAATAAGTTGCTTGCTTGGGAAAGGTGTCATGGCAGGAAGGAAGAAGGAATCGGTTACCGGGATTGTGAAATTGTTTCGATTCATGACGAGTCTATACCCTTTTAGTGTGAGAGAATTTGTGTTTTTGTTGTCGTCGTCGTCGGGTCTGCGAGAGGACTTGGTGAAGATGTAATCTGTATGATGAGTGAGTAATTGAGGTTATGGACTATTGAAATCTGTTTGATGTGACTTTGCAGTGACCACATGCCGTCTCAGATTTCTGAGTGAGGCATTGTAAGTCCAGTGACGATGAATGGGAGCTGGACTGAGATCAAGATTAGAAAACGCGAAGTTCCGGACTGGTGTTGAAAGGATCATGCCATGGTCTTCATGGTCAACGTAGAATCAGGCCGAGGTTGCGTGTTGTGACAAGGATCATTGATCTCGACCATGAACATATGAGCAATCTGCCGGATATACTGAGCTCTGTAGACATGTATGCATACGTCGTAATTGTGGTCGAGGTGGTGGAGAACAAGCATAGTCCCATGAGGTTGTATGGCATTAGGATGACCGGCGATACTACTGAAGTCTTGCTATTATTCTGCTGGTTTGATTGACAACCGTAGTCCCCCCCCCTCGAAATATCAATCGTTCATCTGTAGCAATGCCGAAGACTTGAAACTACGAACACATTCCGTTATCGCGATTCGTGAGTGTTTGTGTAGGTAGCGTGGCAAGTTATTCATATTATTCATATTTGGCTATTTGAAAGAGTAGTAAATCGCCGTGGAATAACTACACATCAGTCGCATCCGTCAGCACACGTGACCAGATGTACGACATTGCATTCAATGACAAAATGCTCATATAAGCCGGTACAACAAGCCGGAGTTGATTGTGGCTGCGCTTAGTATCATTCCTACATCAGTTGTATTGGCATGTGCTGCCCATCTTCCTCTGGGCCAATATCCTTGGCTTCCCGTGGCATTCTGAACATACGCTTTGTTGACCTGCCGATCCTGGGTACTCCATGAACCCGCGATATGGGCATCTTCTGCCATGCCTTCAGTTGAAATAGGTAGCGTGGATATGACCCAAGAAGAAGGAATAGGAAGAGCAATATTGGAGTCTCACCAAACGCGCACCCCGAGAGACCATCGTTTGTAGATAGATCTATTCTCAGCACAAGCGAACATGTAGAAAATAGTTTGGATCAAAACCCTTCACTGGCGAGACTGGACGGTTGTCAGCCCCAACTGACTGCACGAGGCTGCTGCCGAGGACGAACTTTCTATCAATCATGCCCGCAGGATTTCGGCGGCTGAGCGAACCTCCGGTCAGCCTCGTGCGCTACTCACCGTCTCAAGTAAGGCTCTAGTGTCGCTTGAAACTTGTAAGTCCCCGGTGGTAGAATTGCTGGATACAATGTACGCTGTTTCTGTGAGTGACGACAATACAAGCAAGACATAAGTTTAGGATATTATGAATGGCATGTACACGCGGCTTTTGTGACCGGCATTCTTCGAGATACAATTTTGACGATTTTACGTGGTGGCCCTGTAGCAATCTCAAGACTAAACATCATCTCCGGTTTAACCGGGGAGCAAAGCTATTCGTATTACGCGTTTTCACAATTGTTGTTCTTTCCGTTCTAGGTACGGAAGTATGTAAGAAAGGGCTCATCGTCTTAAATATCTCCGTACGTGATTACCCGGCACTAATGTATGCCAGCATTACCGTATCTCTTTGAGTTCATCCTTTCTCAGGACCCTTAGACGCGTTCTCACATGACGCAAAGGAGACGAACGCCTGGGGCAACCCTGACCGAAGAAGGTAGGTACGCGATCTTGCGGCTATCGGGCACTTTCGTGTCACATGAGCACAACAGGCCAGGGTCTCGCTGCCGGTGTTCGCCTGTCAACGGCGCTGCATGCATGCGTGTGCGTCGTGCGTAAAGGACATACCGTGGGAAAGGCGTATCACAAAAGGAGATGATTGGCAAACACGCAATCCACTGTTGGAAGTTGCAAGACTCGAGGACCTGGCTCTCTGTCTTTTTAGCTTCTATGATACTGCTGTTTCTCATGTGTTTTTGTTTTTGGCGACCGTTGCTGAGCTAGTCTACGGATAAAACGGCGGAAAGAAGAGGAGACTTTGATGTTTTTTTTGTGCTGGTGGCATGTGACGGCGCTTGACCGGTTCTGAGGAATGTGGTAAATAAACAATGGGAGACGGGACAATGAAATGCGCCAACGGTGGGAGAAACGGCGTCATGCACCAAAGTCTGCTGATCTGGTTGACGGGACATTTCAGTCTGGCGTCTCAACGGGTTGAAAGCCAATGGTTTACTACTTGATATGTCAATGGTAAGAAAATTGTCCCAAGCCATATGCGATCTTGACATTTGATGGGTGGTTGACTTGTTGGTGCTTCGATCCTAGGCTGCCGCAACGCAGCACCTGTCAATGAAGCGTCAAGGCTGTGTGTGCAACGAAGGATGCAAGCCCTCTAGGAGCTACATGCAGCCACAGAGCCACAGGGGGTGCAGTGACACACGGCCAGCATGCTACCTACCAGACGTGCCAACTGAGTTGCTCAGGTATGCTGCCATGGCTGCATTGATGGCCTGACAGATCATGTTCATCCAGCAATTACAGGCGATCAACAGGCGACAGGCGACGTCGAGAGAAAAGGAGTGTTTCCCGCGGTCCCCATGCCGCTATGCCGCTCTTGCCCCGTGCACCGGGGGCGCACAGAGCACCTGGGGCGAAAATCACTGCAGAGCAAGACTTAATCGAATTGAAAAAGTGGACGGCCGAGGGAAAAGCCAGGGGTGGCAAGACACGGGGGAGTTGATCAGTGATGCCGTGATCTTCCAATTTTGGTGGGTAAAGTGAGGAAAGTATTGGTAAGATCATGCGGAGCTAAGCCTGAATGAGGACAAGTGGCTTTGGAGAGTGGCCTGTGAGTGGACAGAAAATCATGATCTTGGGGATCCACAGAGAAGAAAAGATGGGCAGGTGGCGATTGGACCAATACGAGGACACCATACTCCGAACGAAGAGGTACCAATGGAAGGAGAGAAGCTGCACTCCAGTTCTTGTTTCCCCCGTATTTCCTTTTTCCAGGTTTCCCTCAAGAAGGGAGACGGGCAGGCACATGGCCAGGGCCAGGGTCAGGCTCTAACCGGCTTTGCCTACCCAAATGATGCCACGCTTGTCCCAATGGGGGCATGAGGAGCGGCTTTGATGCCCCACCTCGGTCCATTGGTCTGTAGCGGATAGGTTGAAGGAGACGAGGGAAGACGAGGAGGAGGAGAAGCCTGGAGAATCCATCAATACTCCCTTGCGTGCCACTGAAAGACCCTGAGAAGAACTGGAGACGATGTCTGATGACTATCAGTAGTACGGAGTAGATTGGAGGGCATTTCAGAAAGGGGGAGTAGCACAGCCTGTGAAGCTTGTCGGCCTGTCTGGCGATGGAAGAGAAGAGATGGATTGAAGGTGGTGAGATGCTGATGGACGTTGTAGCTGCCTTCCATTGGGTACCTTACCTTTTACACCCAAATACAGACACACACACAGCAAGGCAAGAGGCGCAGCATCCGTGTTAAGCGTAAATCAGGTAAGCGTAACTGTAACTGCCCCTTCGTACCTACCTACCTCCCAAGCGTGCTAAGGCGTAGCAAGGCACGCTAAATGGTAGTCGAGGCAAGGTAGGAGCAACAGTGAACCCAACAGTCAACACGGGCAGTCACCACCTTCCTTAGGTACGGTAAGGTACCTACCTCAATGAGCGCCGTGAGCGCTTGCCTCCTGGTGTCCTGTCCTGGTTTGACTTCCCGTACATTCCCACTGCTCCCGCCCTACCCATCCCTTCCCCCAAATTAATTCTCGCGGCCTGGGCTTTCAACCTGCTCTTCCCTTCCATACGCACTCATCTCGTCCGCTACGGTCTTCACTCGTTCTTGACCTGCGCTTCTCGTTGTAATTACTACATACTACCATCGCTTAATACTCTCTCCTACACCTTCCTGTTGGAGCAAACTTTCGTTGCGCCCCCCAAGACGAACCTTTTCCCATTCTCTATCGTCCGAACGCCATCGTTCCGTCCCGAACCCACGCCGACTCGAGTCAATCACGAAGCCGGGATCCCCAGATTATCAGCCAAACTCTGTTTTTAATCTTCCGAACATCAGCAACTTCCATATCGATTTCGATCTCGACCCGGTCATTCGGACGAGCCTTGTACGACCACTTTCCGCCCTTGTCACAGACGGATACACAAGTCATCAGACACCCGAATTCCTCCCCGCCGCGGCAGTAAACACGCCGGCATCATCCCACCGTCACCCGCGGGCGGCGAAAGTCCAATAGATCACCATCGAACCTCGAACTTGATTCGTAAAACCAATATCGACATCTTCTCGCATACCTGCCTGCGGGTCGCCAGCAATTTTTTGTTCGATTCCTCCGTTGTAACTCCGTAATACACACCCAGCACCACACACATTCACTCCAACATGTTGTCGGTTCTTCCCATGGGCCTTGCCCTCCTCGGTGCTTCTACCGTCCTCGCCCAGACGCCTCCCTCATGCTCCCTCACCCAGAAGTGCCCCGAGAGCGCACCATGCTGCTCCCGTAAGTTGTCATCATCATCCATAATGCTCAAAAACTCGAGTCTCTGACCATCGCAGAATATGGCCAATGCGGTACCGGTGCCTTCTGCCTCGGCGGTTGTGATCCCCGAATGTCCTTTTCTCTCGACGCCTGCGTTCCCGCCCCCGTCTGCCAGGACAAGAAGATGTCCATGAACTCGCTAGACAAGATTGTTGATATCAGCAAGTACTACGGTGATCCGAGCAAGGCCGACTGGGTTTCTCAAGGTGAGCCCGCGCTGTACAACAAGGAGGCCGTTCTCCTCACGATGCCCGCTAAGAGCGTCGGAACTGTCCTTGCCTCCTCTACCTACCTTTGGTACGGTAGTGTCTCCGCAAAGATCAGGACATCGCGTGGTCCTGGTGTCGTGACAGCTTTCATCTTGTATGGCGACGTGAAGGACGAGATCGACTACGAATGGGTCGGCGCCGACCTGGAAATGTCCCAGACCAACTACTACTTCCAGGGTATTCCCAAGTGTAAGTCGACTTGCCATGGCCCCTGACCCGAGCTCGATGCTGACAATCATTACAGACGACCAGTCTGGCAATATCTCCCTCTCTGACACGTTCAACAACTGGCACACGTACGAGATTGAGTGGACCCCCGATGAAATCAAGTGGATGGTAGACGGTCAGGTTGGCCGAACCAAGAAGCGCTCCGACACATGGAACGCGACTGCCCAGCAGTGGGACTTCCCTCAAACGCCCGCCCGTGTCCAGCTGTCCATCTGGCCCGGTGGTGCCGACACCAACGCCAAGGGTACCATCGACTGGGCCGGAGGTCCCATCAACTGGGAGCACGAGGATATCAAGAAGAACGGATACTTCTATGCCATGGTCAAGGATGTCGAGATCAACTGCTACAATGCCAAGAGCTCTCCTGGCACCAACAGCAAGAAGAGTTACTACTACAACAGCATGAAGGCTACCAACGACACTGTTGTGGACAGCGACAAGGACACCATTCTGAAGAGCTTTCTCGGCACCGGTCTCGACATGAACGCAGGTGCCTCATCGGCTTCCGGCACCGGCACCGGCACCGCGGCGCAGCCTACCGCCTCAGCAGCCACGATTCCGGGTGGAAGCAGCTCTGGCACGGGCAACGACCACAGCGACAGTGGTAGCAGCTCATCCGGCTCCGGGTCTTCTGGCTCAGGCTCCGGTGATTCATCCGGCTCCGGTTCCGGCAGCAGCAGCGGTTGCGGAAACAGTGGCTTCTCGCAAGACTGCAACAGTGGCTCCAGTGGCAGCTCTGGCTCAACAAGTGAGGGCTTCCGCCGTGAATCCTCTTTCGGCGCCAGCGCCTTTGCCGCACTTGTGGCTGCCACTGCTCTCTTCTGGCTATGAAGTACAGACTAGAGTGTGGCCTTTGGGTTTCAAAAAAAAAAATGGTATAATGGATAACGTGATGCGCTTGCTTGGTTTCGATTCGGGCTACTTGTATGTAATGAGAGCATTCCTTTCTTTGAAGCATTGTTATGAAGGCATTTTGGGTAATGGCGCTTGCCGTCCATTCATTTGGTAAGGGGATTGGGGCAACCAGATTGCATATGCAGTCGGCCGTTTGCGAGCTTTGAATTCAAAGCCGGTGTCTGTACATATGGTAGAGCTGCGCAATCAACAGAGGTTGAAGACTTGAAGTCATCCATGGGTTTGTTTGGATTTGCTTCTCACATCGCGACTTGAGTGAGGTCCAGCGTTCGGAAAAGCAGTGGTTAGCCTCCGTTGAAAAATGGATGATGACTGCAGGCAAACTCAATGCTGACATTGTAGTATCCAGTAAGAGAGGGGTTACTGGAGACATTACACGGCTGGTGCCGTAGCATCCGAGAGGAGGCCGAACGGCGGCCGGGGGTGTATCGGCGATCAGCAAGGCCGGAATGAGACGGCTAAGCGGTGATGGGCCGCCGAAGAGATAGATGCCCGGAAGGTTGTTGGGCATCGCGTTCTAGGCAGCCGAGGCGGTGTGAGGTTTCACCTTGATGCATCTAAGATGTTTGTTGGAAAGTTGATGCGGCGTAGGTTGTCAGAGAGGTATGTATTGATGCGGCGCGGGACAGGAAAGTCGGGGACGGGGACGAGATTTTGTTGTTGGTTGCACTTTGTTGTTCTCGATGATGATGTGTCGAATCTCCCAGGGCCGAATGGTGACAGTCAATTTACGGAGCACTTCAGGCGACGAATAGTGATGAGCGAGACGCGGGATGAATGGGGGCCATGCGAAGGACGAAAGAGTGGTGTTTCGCGAGGCGAGGAGTCTGGCGAGTTGGAGCGAAAGGCGCGAGCTGAGCCACAGGCTTGGCTGTTGGTTGGGCCGTCGGGGGGATTCCAGGCTGAAGTGGGCTGTTAGTGAAAGATGCTGCTGAGCGCTTAACCAGGCGGCAGATAACATCGGGTGCTAACACTTGTAGATGACAGTCACATTCAGACAGGGATGAGGGCGATGCAGAACGGGCGGGGATGCGGATCCTGTAAGCCACAAAGTAGGGGTAATCGTGCCGATCATATCGTAGTTGCAATGGCCGTTCCCGCCTTTTCGATTGATACCTACGGGCCCTACGGACCAACGTCGTGCCTTTTCGTTGTTGGTTCGATATTTCGCTTCAACGCGCCCGTTTGAGCGAGATTTGGAAAGGACGAAGAACGAAGAGTCGCGGCGCGCTAGGTGAGGTTCTGGGGTTTCACACATGCTGCGGCTTACAGCTTACAGCATGGATGCCGTGTTTGTTTCTTTTTGCTATTGTACCCAGTGAGTGTTTTCCAAATGTGATGGTCCAGTCTTGCAGATGGCCTGCATACCTGCCCGGCCTGAGACGGAGGTTGGATGCATATAAGGCTGGGCAAGTTCGCCGTCGAGGAGAGGAAGGAAGAGAACATCACCAGCATCATCACTGCCATCCTACTCCTTGGCGACATCAAGCTTTCACTTGACTTTTAGTCCATCCTACTCGCACAATCAAGCACAGTTCTATTCATTGATACCACTCATCATCATCCTTTGCAGGAGCATCATCGCACTTGGCACGCTAGCAAAGCATACCCCACTACAACCTTATCCCGACCTTACACCACAAACACCCCGACTTCATAATAAATCATGTCCAGCATCAAGACCATCGCCTTCTTCGGCGCCTCAGGTGGTTGCGGCATGGCAGCGCTGAAGCACAGTCTCGAGGCCGGCTATGTCTGCATCGCCCTCTGCCGCAACCCAACAAAGATGACCGACGTCCTCCCCGAAGCCCAGAACCCGAACCTGGTCGTGAAGAAGGGCAACGCCCACAGCGTCGACGACGTGGCCGCCTGCCTCGTCAACCCAACCGACCCGACCCGCCTGGTCGACATCGTGAGCTTCAGCATCGGAAGCCCGCTCAACCTGGCCAAGATGACGGTCGAGGACCCGGACGTGTGCAAGAACGGCGCCGCGGCGCTCCTCGGCGCGCTTGAGAAGCTCCGCGCCCAGGGTGTCAACGGCAAGCCGAGGCTGGCGATTATTTCGACGACGGGTATCTCGGACCATGCGCGTGACGTGCCGCTGATGCAGGTGCCCATGTACCACGTCCTCCTCAAGCAGCCGCACGCCGACAAGAGGGTCATGGAGCAGAGGATTGTGGCGAGCGACGAGATTTTTACCTTTATCCGCCCCGCGTTCTTGTCTGATGGTGCGCAGCCTGAGAAGCGGATCCGGACGGGTATTGAAGATCCCAAGACGGGCGTCCAGACCAAGGCTATCGGGTACGGTATCTCGAGGGAGGACGTTGGACGGTGGATCTTTGAGGAGATTTTTAAGTCGGGTGGCCCGAATTACCTGAGGAAGGCTGTCACCATCACCTGGTAAGGTGAAGCTAAGCGATTGTACACATGGGATGAGAGAGTGTGAAGTATGTGAATTGGTACAGCGGGGGATCCGGGCGTTTGTCTATTTGCTTTGAATACCTGATGGGCCTTGGAGTCAAGATACCCATGACTGCTAGGCTTTCTGTAATACCTCGATAGAATATTGACAGAGATTGAATCCTGGAACTACTTCTATTCTTCTATGTTAAGCGCTCAAACCCTTCTTCTCTCCCAGAGACCATGACAGTCTCATTATTTGTAGTAACTACCTGTTCCGGATGTAAGTTTGATCCGGCAGAAACGCCTTCCGAGTTGATTTGGACGACGGCCTCGCAAGACTTGCAGTGTACGAAATGGCCTAGGCTGACGGAGATGTGCAACTCGCAGGAAGATCCAAGGCCCATGTATATAAACACTCAACTACTCTCTGATAGGCAAGCCAACAACCCGCCTTTGGGAATCCATTTACTTAGGCAGAGCACAGATCGTACCGCGATGGCGCCAGCCAAGCAACCCCTGGCTAGCGGTCTCAGCATGATAACCAACAGTCTACAAAGAATGGACGTTTTCAGCCAATGTCAGTACCTCAAGCACGCAACTGCCAAGGGGGTATTCAAGTAGAAGCAAGCTCGACAAGCTCTGGCACAAGAAATGCGATGATGACTGGATCAGCATTCACCCCGCGCTCCCCTGCAGTGTTAGTGCTGAGGTTGGCTGTCCCCATGCACCTCGAGCTGTTTTACCATCCCATCTCACGTTTGGTTGGCTGATTGGATGTAGATGCGCATGTCGTCTTCAGCGGTCCTCGTCACCGCGGCTTATGGTTAGTTCTCGAAGCGCAAGCCACGCCGAGAATAGTCGCACGTCAACGGCGTTTGAAGGGTACGTACCGGGGAACCGCTGGATGGGAAGACCCCACTTCGGTACGTATCGTAACGGCGGACCACCGGCCGGCATGCTGATGAAGATCTTCCGTGCTTCTTCCCTCTTTCCCGTCCTTGCTAGGTATTGCCGCCTGATGAAATGTGACGGGCGAGAAACGAGAATACTTACTCCCGCCTCAAGTTTCTCATAAACAGGTGAACAAGGTACGACGAAACTTTGATTTAGAGAAGCTGAAATAAAAAGGGGGTCGAACACAGTGACCCTCCCGCTCGAAAGTATGGGAAATGTCCGGAATGTTTCTCGTCCAATCCTTTGCGGCCAAGGACGGGTGAACATGTTTCGAAACACCGCCCTCACTCAGCCCCTCCAACCAGGCGACCAACCGCAGCGCCTAAAGGACGTTGCTGTTGGTACCGTGGTATCTCACTTAGCATCACTTCTGATATTATTCCGTGGCCATTTGGCCCCTGTTTCATCGGTAGTGAGTAGCACACAGCAGGGCAGACGAGCCAGAGTTGGACCGTCGACTCACGCGGAACAGCCGAATATGCTCCAACCTGATGAGCATGAGGCTCCTTGAACATGAACAGACAACTACCTGTTCACGTAGGGAGTCCGCCTTGAGACTGTTTGTTCTGCTGTGGCTGCCCGCCCAAAGGAGCGGCTGATGGCTGGGCGGGATGACAGGATCCAATCCCCGTTGACTGTCGGACGACAACTCGGACTCGAAGCCAGACCTGACTGGACTTGACTGACGCTGGATCCCCACGCTTACCTGCATCCATGTGGTTTGAGGAGATGTCGGCAAACATGCAGCAGCTCGCGTTACCATCAAATTTGGCGGCTGGAAGTTGGAAATCCAGTCAAACGTTGACTGCAAATCATTCCATGAGTATCAAGAAAAGGGAAGAATAGCCAGGGGCCGGGGGATCCTGCGGCTCTTTGGGGGCTCTTTAGGCCTGGCGAGTAAGCAATGCAACAGACCCAACCAACAACTGGTAAGCTTGCCATCTTACAACCCCCACCAATCGTTCGCCCGTTGTAAGCCGTGACCCTGACCCCAAGCCCTCCCTTGCTTTTGGCACTTTGCATCTTTGCTCTCTTGAACAAGACTCTTTACAAAAAGGATTCGATGATGTGGGGTCTTAGACCAATAAACACGGTGGCACAAACACACGCAGACAACCATGTATGCACAGAAAGGGGGGCTCTTTGTGTGTTACTGTTTGGTGGCCGTGGAGGCGGTTCGATGCCGGGCTTTTTGGCTCCAGGCTGAGCAGACTGAGGTGGGCTTGTCATGCCATCTCACCCTATCCCTTCCCTTCATTCAACTCAGCCATGGCTGGGGATTTGGGTCTGCCAGGGTGGTAGATCTGGCCGGCTAAGGTAAGGTAGAGTCAGACGCATGGGAATTAGAGTCAAAGACTACCTTATTATGCATGTTCTGATGTGAGCATGTCTGCATGACCATGCACACACGCAGCCTTTTCGGAGTTCTCTTGCCTGTTCAACCATCTTATAAGGTTGCAGCTTCCTGCCTCCACCGTCCCAAGCCATCCTCTTATTATTCGGACGAAATATCAGACTTGTGTATTTACTCCAGCACCAGCAAATCACTAATCTTTCCAGCTCTGCTTGTACTGAACTGAATCAGCCCTGTTCCCTCATCTGCTGCGAAAATCCGTGGAAAAATTTCGTACCTGCCTGCCTTACCTCGACCGGCTGCTCCTTCCTTCCACCTACTTCTGAATCACCACTTTTGCCTCACACATTTCCCACACCCACCCTCACTCACAATCACTCACTTTTCTCCCCATCACTCACCACTCACCAGTCTCTACTCTTTTTCTGCCTCTTCCATCGCACACTTCACACTTTACTCTTTACACTTTCTTTTCCTGACTGCTCAATACCGATCACTCAATACACTCATTCTTTCTCTTCAACTTCACACAAATCATCGCGATGCGCTTTACTTCGGTTATCGTTGCTGCTGCGGCTGCTTCTGCTGCGGTCATCGGCCGCCAGGACGCTCCCGCCGCCTCATCTAAGGTCATCATTGGTTCTACCAACACCATCTCCGTTGCCGACTACGATGGCAAGTCGTTCAACATCGTGGGCAGTAACACCACCGAGGGCACTGGTCCCAGCTGGATGGCTTTCAAGGAGCCCAACCTTCTCTACGCTGTCAACGAGAATGCCTTCAACCTCCGTCTGTTCACTGTAAGTCACCTCTCTTTCTAATTTTCAGCAGTCTTTGAACTCACCTGCTTATTGGGATTTTTTATTGATTCTTTCCAGCTCGATACCACCAACAACGACCTCAAGCTCACTGCGGAGGCTACGGGCTCTGCGGGTGTCGTCTCTATTGCGTTCAACAAGGACAAGACTCGCCTTATTGGCGCTGCCTAGTACGTTCCACTTTCTTCTGTTATTTTATTTTGATTCTGGCCCCTTGGAAAGTGTCGTTGACTGATATCATTCAGCACTGGTGGAAACGTTGACGTCTGGGATATCTCTGACGCCAGCGCCCTCAAGTACATGAAGAACATCACTCTCGGTGGCGAGCTTGGTCCCAACAAGGAGCGTCAGACCAAGTCTTTCGCTCACCAGGCGGTTCTTGATCCCTCTGGTCGCTACTTCGCCATCTGCGACCTCGGCACTGACTCCATTTCCATCATCGACTCCCAGGATGACAAGTTCGAGGTTGTGTCTCGCAACAGCGTCTCTAGAGCTGGCTGTGGCCCTCGCCACGGCGCCTGGTTCCCTCAGACCGGAGGCACGCCTACTGCCTTCGTTGTCGCCTGTGAGCTCACCAACACCCTCGAGGTTTTTTCTGTCTCTACCACCAACGGCTCTTCCCTCTCCCTTACTCATACCTCGGAGCTGAGCACTTACGGCGCTGCTTTCCCTCCCGCCAACGCTACCACCGCTGCCGCTGGCGAGATTATCATCTCGGCTGATGGAAAGCACGCCTACGTCTCCAACCGCAACAGCGGTAATGCGACCGACTCCATCTCCCACTTCAAAATCGCTCAGCAGGCCGCCCCCGGCGGCTCCAAGTGTAAGCCCAAGGCCGGTGGCATCACTCTCGAGTTCGTCGATCAAATTTCCTCTGGCGGCATCAGCCCCCGCATGTTCAGCTTCTCCAAGGACGAGAAGACGCTCTTCTCTACCAATGTACTTAACACTATGGACGGTACTGGAGAGGGTGTGTTGGCGCTCAGCCGTGCTGAGGACACTGGCACTCTGACTGCTGTGCCCATCACGTCCCTCCCGGTTACGAACTTTCTTTCGGCCGGCGTGACAATGGGTCCTACCTTTATCCAGCAGATCGTCTAAGATCTCAATGGCGTTACGTGTGCCTTATCACAGTCTGTCTTTGCGTATTAAGGGAATAGTTCCCTTTGGAAGGGTCTCTACGGCATTGGCTCTGGTGTTACACGGCCCGGCGTTGGAGAGCGGCAACCATGAGTTGGCTGGTACAGACATGAAACCGCTTGATATTAGGGAGGTTCTTTTCGTTGCATTAGATACCAAAGTCATTAGGATTAGTGACCTCGTTCTTCAAAAGTTTCAGCAATACAGATTCTTGATCTGAGAGTGTAACCCCTTCTTGCTTGCATACGTGATGTGAATGTGCTGGGTTTGGTGGAGTGGTAGTTGAGAAGGGGAGAAGTCGTGTAGTCAGTCGAGTCTTTCCGTGGTAACCTGGACGGTTCCCGTCTGCTGTTTGGCGGAGTAGCGTGTTTTCACTGTAGATTAGCGAGGTTCAGAGGCGCTATCCGCTAAAGATGCTGATTGAGCACTGAAGAACACTGTCTCCACCCCCTCAAGGACTAATGGTGCGAATGACCGCGAGGATTAGCATTTGACAATAGCTGCTTCACCACCATTATCGCCCACTCTCCGCCCACGACGGTCCAGTCACGGCTGCATTCCCCGCCGAGAAAACAGCGACTGATTTAATTTTGAATCGGCGCCCTCAACCATCTCAAGAACTAGACGAAACCTAAGTAAAGGCGCCCCACTGGCTTCGCGGCCCGCCGCCGCAATGTCGGACAAAATCACCGGCAAAAACCTGTCCTACGACACAAACATCCCGCCATTTCTGCGCGCTCTCCAAGCACAAGCAGCAGGGAACGGAGGCCCAGATGAGATCCTCTCGAAAAGGCGACGGGCGGGCAAGAAGCGCACCGACAGCGAAGAGGCAGAAGACGCGCCGCTGGTCGTGGATGACGACGGCAATGTTGTCAATGTACGGGTGGACAAGGATGGCGGCGTCGAGGCGGATACTTTGAAGAAGGATGGAGTAGAGGAGGAGGGGGTAGGGAAGGATACCAAGGAGGAGAAGAGGGAGACGGAGAAGATTGCTGGGATTGGGGCGAGCAAGAAGAGGAAGGCTGGCAAGGTTGTTGGCGGTGATGCAGACGACGATACTGTCGCCGATAGGATCGTGACGAAGGGTGAGAAGAACGGTGACGACGACGAAGGCGCCAAGAAGAAGCCTGCTAAGAAGAAGGGGAAGAAGATTAAGCTTAGCTTCGATCCAGAATGAGGCGTGCTACGATCAGGGCGGACATCATCGTCACCATCAAATACAACGTAGACACGCGGGAAGAGTAGGGCACTTATCCGCAAGGGAGCAAGTCAAGCCACGAGAGCTGCGGCTCTTCCTCTTGTCCTGGCCGCCATGCGAAACAACGACAACCTGACTGGCGTCACACAACACTCGCGAGGAGTCATCAAACAGGAGTCGGGAGAAAAAGGTTCTATACAGCCACAACTTAAGGTAATCTACACATCTGCCATGCTCACTCTAGAGCAACTCCGATGCCGTCTCGCCTCCAGTCTCCTTGCTACGTGCTCGCCATCTGCGAAAGCATCTATTGGTATCGGTACTCGGGCTTGACGAAGTCGGCGAAGGTCTTGGGCTCCTCGTAGCCGTGGTGGTGGTCGTGACCGTGGTGGTGGTCATCAGTGGGACCGACGTACTCCATCTTGTAGACGGAGCCGCACTCGGGGCAGCGCTCGATAGGACGGTCGCGGGAGATCTATGCATGTTTGGTCAGGTTACGGAGCTCTTTGGGCAGCTCAATCGGGTCCATGGGCACGTACGGTCAGCCAGATGGTGACGTGGGAATCGACGGGGACACCGGTGCAGCCGAGGTACTGCTCCTCACCGGCGGAACGGACGGGGATGGGGTTCTCGACGGTGCCTGAATGATCAAGTTAGATTTCGTGCTCGCGCATGGATTTCGAAGAGGGGTCAATCGCGTACCCTTGCGGGAGGCATCGAGGGGGCGCATGTCGAAGATGTCGACGCCCTCCATCTTTCCGAGAATCTCGAGACGCTCGAGACCGGTGGACTGCTCGAGATCGGTGGGGATGCTGCCGGGCTTGGCACCAGGTCCGTGAAGGTCGTCCTCGCCCTTGATCTCTGTATTGTTGCAATGAAAATGATTAGCCTCTTGTCCTCATCTTCCAAGTCGTTCGAAATTGGTGCGTCGCTTCGATCGTACGACGCGGTCCGAAGGGATGCATGTGGTCGGGCTTTAGGCATTCCGGGGAACCGCGCCGGGACGAAAACGACGATAATTTCGAATCAATTGGCTCGATAGACCTTACCGGTGATGGTCTTGTAGGGCTTGGCGGGAGTAGAGGAGTTGGCGTCGCCTATTTGTGGCCGCGGATGGCCGTAGAGTCAGCGATAAGGGAACTTTCGGAATGGCTTCGCTGCAAGGCTTATTTTTTTCTTCTCGGGATTTGGGGGGGGCCTTCAATTGGGGTTCGTACGGCGGATCATGGAGGTCGCGAAGGTGCGTCTGGCGAGGGGAGCGACGGCCGCCCGACGGGCAGCCATGATGGCGGAGCGCTGCAAAAACATGGCGACGGCAATTGGGGTGGTAGAGAGGAGAGGTTCGTTGTTGTGACGTCGGGTTTGGGTGAAGAGAGAGGGATTTGTCGATGGCCTGATTTGATGGTTTGATGTTGCGGCTGTCGGGTAAGGTACGGGGAACCACCAGTCAGAGAGACCGCAGAGAGAGCACTGGCCAAGGTACTTGCCATAACCGGAATCGTAAGCGACAGAGCATCACGTGATGAACAGATTACCAAATGAGAGCTGGAGCATTACAGAGCCGTGATAGCTTCGTCCCCTTTCATCCGCGCCGCTTTCAGATGCAGGCTACAAAGGATGCGACTGGCACGATTTTTGACGTTATTCTATTTCAGAGGTATTCTTCTAAACTGAAGCTGCTCACCAGCTATTCTTGTTATGGAACTAGATGGCCCAGAACTGTGACGAGGTTGTTCTCCAGAAACCCAGCCACTTCTCTGAGAGCCTATCCGAGTTGGTCACCATCTCAATCTGCCATCCACGCTCAGTACCCAGATGGTCCAAGACCGCGACGGAGGTTTTCTCAAAAGCAAAGAAAAAGAGCAAAAAGGGAAAAGCCACTCCTCCGACCTGAATGCCTATCCGAGTCCGTTACCATCCATCCATCTAACTCTCATGCCAATTATGTCCTCCCAAAAAGATGCCTGTTCCCATAGAGATAGATACCCGAATCAGTCGCGTCTAGAAAGGGAATCCCAATTCGTCCAGCTTCTGAGCTTCCTCGCTGTGGTACCAGGGGAAGACAAATCCGTGAGAAACTCTTCTTCCAGTATCCTTTGGGAAAGGACTTTCTCCGACTGAAGCTCTGATGGCCTCCATGTTTGTGGGCTGGATCTGTCTTCTGATCTCTTCCGAGCCGACAAACATGTCAATCCATTCGCGATTGTCGACTGGGGTTTCGACGCTGGTAGTTTGGGGAATCGGAGCCGTTGCCTCGGTTGCCAAATCATCATCGTCGGCCATGCTCTTCTCGAAGCTGTCCAGCTGAAGTTCATCCTCCATTGGGGCATCCACAACCCCAAATGTAGATGTCCGAGTGTGAGCTCCATGTCCAATCTCCGCTTCAAGATCCATAGAAGGCTCGGTCTCCATAATGGGACCGATCAAGGAATGGCTCGAGACCATGCTGTCAGCAGATGGTCTGCTTCGAACTGCAAGACGATCCTCTGTAAACAGTGGTAACTGACGCAGCCTCTTAGCAGGGCGCGAGTAGCTACCGTCGTGGTCAGAGGTCGATTGATCAAACGCCTCTAAAGAGTGGTGCGTCTTGCGTCGATCACTGGCATGTCGTCCTTCTTCTTGTGTGGAGGATGTCTGCATCTGCATTTGCGACCTCAACGCCTCTGTTGGGTTCAAGTTAAGGTTAGAACCAGACTCACGCAGATTCTGCTGCTGCTGTTGCTGCTGTTGCTGCTGGAAAAAGGCCTCATGGAAACCTGCTCGAGGCTGTGCAATTCCTGCGTCAGGGGCGGCTGATCTGCTACCCGTCAATGCGGACGAATGGGTCTGCTCTCTGGCAGAAGATGCCTGCTTCCATCGACCTAAGTAGAAGTTGTAGTCACCGGTATGCTGTGCACCTCTGATCTCAGCTTGCCGAAGAATGCTGTCGTAAGCACCGTGGTTCTTGTCAACCATGACGCGCCAGAATGACTTCATGGGGTCGTGTGGAAAGCGCTCCAGGGAGACACTCATCCTCCACATGAGGAAATGAATAGGCGGCATTCCCAGCTCTCCACGCTCATACATAGCATTAAGCCGGCTGAGGATGTTGCAGATCTTGTAGAGAACATAGTTGTCGCAGATCCCAGTCTCAGGCAAGTGTTCCTTTGCCATGAGTTGATTAGGATGGATTGTGTGTCCTGGATTGAACCACTGCGTTGTGACCTTGGCTTGCCGCAAGCTGCGCTGGTATCTCTTGAAGACATGCTCTGGGTCATCCTCTGATGCTGGGAGGGGTCCTTGGAGCATTCGCTGATGTCTGATCAAGAGATATTCTTGATAATCCCTTTCCACCTTCTCTTCGTTGACTGCCTCTGCAAACTTTTTCCATAAGGGGTTCCAGTATGAGCCGGTTTCGCTGATGGGTGCGACTGGGACACCCCGAAGCATGGGCGGGTTAACGTAGGTCTTGCCGTCTTCACTGATTGTGAAGATGGCATTCACGGGGGTGGCTGTGACTTCAAGCAGTGCTGCCGCATCTTCGTTGTCTTTGGGGTTGGGCGCACTGGATGACTCGATTTGTGGGATCGCTGCAAGCTTTGTCTCCTTCTTCTTCAGCTTGCTTTTCAGGCGTGCGATCTCATCTGTCTTCGCAATGAGGGTCTCTTCGATCTCTTTGATGAGTGCTTGTGTCTGCTTGATGGCCTTGTCAATTGCCGGTTTAGGGATATCAGCGGCGATGCGTTCAGATTTAAGCTCTTTGAGCCAGTCCTCTTTGTATGAGATCCGGTTCTCAATGCGATCAATCTCGGCCTCAGAAGCTTGGATTCCTTGTCTCAATTCTGAGATAGACGTGAGCAATTGCGATCGCCGGACAGGCGCACTGTTGTACGAGGGCGAAGTCGGGTCCATCGTGGCTTCTGAGTCCTGTCTCCCGATTACGAGTTAGCAGTTGCGAGCCATTTGTAGCATGAACAATTTACTTACCCAAATGACCTCAGCGAATGACGGTAATTTCAAACAAATGAAGAATGGTCGGGGACGTGGCAAAAAGGAAACCCAATCTGTGTGTCGGAGAGTTCAAAGTACCTAGGTGCAAACGGTATGAGATGCTAGGTGAATAATGTATGCCAAACCACCCAAGCTCATAAAGATGCTTAGAAATGTCATCAATGAGAATACCAGTCGTTAGCTTGGAAGGGGAGGGCCGATTGTTGTGGAGTGCTCAAGGGAAAAGACCTGATGCGGTGTGCTGAGGAAGAATCAATCAAAGTGGTGCACCGAGGCTAGAGGATTCTGGTGGTGAATGGGAGAAGAAGCGGAAAGCTAGCGTGGGTTTTATAAAGGCCCCGGGAGAGGCTGTGAGAGAAGGAACGTAGATGCGAATGAGAGGAGACATCGGTACGGAAGTCACGAGTAGTGAGGGTAGGAACGACGGGATAATTTAGGGAATCATACCCTCAAACTGTAGGAGGCAAAGGAGACATAGCAAGAACGTCTACAAACCAGAGCGATCCTTCCGTTAAACGATCTATAGAGAGAGACAGCAAGAACGATCTTGTACAATTACGGTCCTTCCGTCCGGCGATCTATAGAAGGAGATGGCAGGAACGTTTGTAAATCAGTGCGATCCTTCTTTTTAGTGATCTATAGACTGGGAGACAGTGAGAACGATCTTAAAGCAGTGCGATCCTTCCTCTGAGCGATCTGAAAAGGAGATGGTAGGAACGATCTTAAAACTCATGCGATCTTTCCTTTCAGTGATCTATGAATGAATACAAATGCGATCTTTCCTCCTAAGCGATCTGTAAGGTAGACACGCAGGAACCCTTCGACTGATTATGACCCTTCCTTTGAGCGACCTCTAAGAAGGAAGATGACAAGGTGCCTACGGTGAGATGGTCTCTACTTAGTAAAAATGAATCTACTGAGGCGACAAAGGGAACAGGAAGCTACGCATCTCCTATTTGTATCTCATTTCTGTTCATCTATGTCAGATCTATTTAAGCTTACACTGGTCTAACCGAACCCTTCATAAGTCTACGCTGTAGCATCTCATTATAGCTTTTGGCTTATTTTATCGCCATCTGTTCTCCGCTCTCGAAGTATGCCGTCTTGATATCCGGTGGCGACATGTATGCCTTCAGGACTCCACATCTTACAGACCAATGCCCCTCGACCGTGGCCGGTCCGGGGAAATGATGCCTCCTGAATCCACCAGCCATCGTCTTTCATCACGGCTTGATCGACATTGACATGAACGACAAACTTGTACGTTAAGCTGGCTGCGGTGCCTAGACTCCATCCGAGGCCAACATGGTTGCCTATCATCAATAATCCGTTGCGATCGGACTCGAACGCATGGACAGCCACATGCGAATTGGGATCGTCCGCTGGAAGAGGGCCTTTAAGACGATATAGGAGAAGCTCCTTCCTCTCCGAAACCGGCTTTCCCTCATTGTAAGCCGTCAAGTCGACTTTGTGCATGTCAACGATGGGAAACGTCGTCTGGCCAACATCCGGAAACATGGCTTTGATTTCTTCCACATCGACCGCCGGTGCGAACGGCCAATCCTGGGGTGACTTGGTGGACAGAATTTCGGCAAAGCGTTTCTGCGGTGGCTCTTCTTGAGAAACGATTCTGGCTTCCTCTGGCCGTTTGAAGGTGCATATGCAACTGAAGCAGATATCACCCAAAAGCCCTTCGGCATCCTCCAATAAGAAGTTGTCTTCATAGTGGCCGCGTTTGCTCGTCTCTTTTGGTTGGCGCACAGTCACCAGGCGGGAGCAGAATGTCCTGCTAGTCGATAGAACAGTGACCTCATATATGAATGGCCTGTCTGACTTGGCGGCAGCCGAGAAGACTCCTTGAATGGCCTTGCTACAATGTTAGCGACGGTTCCATCTTCCACTCAAGGCAGCAGATTCCAGTCTCACGTGAAGCCCAAAACCCCCGGACTGCGTTCCGGATCCTTCAGGTTCCTCTTCTTTCACGGCGCGGCTTGCAGCTAGCGGCGCCTGACAGTAAACATGCCCTCCGTATGCAGCTCGAGGATCTGCCTTGGACCCACGGCCTTTGCCGCCGACAAGTTCTGACCCTGGTACCCAAGCTGGGTAGAGACTCATGTAACGCTTGACGATGCTACCTGTCGTTGTCGTATGGTTCGATGTAGTTGGCAGCAGGGCCAGTGCCATGACATCGTCGAACAAGAGTTTGGACATAGCAAGTGGTGGGGCTGCCGAACGAACGAAGACAACAAGGGAACGAGTAACGTCGATCTGGGTGGATTGGCGAAATCACGGAATACGACGCGACGAGCGATGCTTGAACGGTTTTTGAAATAAATTCTGCCTGCCAAAAAAATGACGAAACTTTGGAGCTCGGAGAAGGGAATGACTGGTTTGAAGTTCAGCTTCGGGAGTTCAGCTTAGCTTTCCCCAACAACGCTCTGAGACCTGGACGAGATTGTACCTCGGGACGAGGAGCTCTATGGCGGGGACCGTGGCCGTGCGGAGCTGCCCTTCTTCCTTCTCCAGAACTTCAGCACGCCAGAGTCTCGGTGCGGAGCCGAGGCACGCCATGTGAGGGGAATCCCCCAGATGATTCTTAGGGGGTTCGGCTAGTCTCTTGCGCCGAGTCCACCGCTCCATTCCAAGGATCGCCGCGGCACTTTGTGGGGATGCCGGCTTTGGTCTCCGGGGGATACCCATAATTCCTCGGCCTTGAATACAACATGAAAACCACGGGTGCCGGTGATTTTGGGCCGGTCACAACGGCGTACAAGCGGCGGGCGAAATCCACAACATGTGGCTGATGTAAGACGACCTTGAATGCTTACTGCGTACAAGTACCTTAGGTGTGACTGGGACAAGACGCTGTCCCACCCAGCGCTGCACACAGCTGACTGAAAATGGGCCCTGCTACTACCTACCATCCATACATACATACCTCACATAATACCATGGCCTCTGGAGGTCAAAGCCGCTGCTACCCTCCTCTCAGACCCTGCAGGAGAATGGACATGTCCCACCTGTTTGCCCGAACTTCTGCTGACATGTTGACCCTTGGGGCCGTCGGCGACCCGTCTTCTCAACTGACCGAGAACGAACTTCAGCTGATTTCTAGTCGGGTTGCCTGTCTGTCACCTTACACATGCAGTGTGGCGCCGCTTTGGCCTCAGTGTCCCCTGCGAAAGCGGAAAATTTTGACAGGTGATGGGAATTGTGGCCGCTTGGCCCTGAAGGGTAGTTGAATAAGGGACTGAGTCCATCTTGGGCATCGCTGACTCGAAAAAAACTGGGATTGTCATGCAACATGTCGCAGCTTGCGGGCGTTCCATTCTTTCAAGCCCTAAGCGATGAGTTAATTTTTCCTAGCAAGTCAAAGTCATGGAAATATTGGAGTGTTGTAAAGGCAAACCAGCAGCGCAGAGAGAATTCATCTAAGAAGATCGATCACGAAAAGAGTACCTAGTAAAGAAGCATTGGTTCGGAAACCATCCATCCACAACTATTTAACTTACTCGGAGTCAAGTTGCCTCTTGCTGACACCCATAGCATTAGTTCTGTTCCCAAGATGGGTAACCCGAGATGGGGTATACCCTGGCAGCTCTCTGATGTCTTTGCCGCAACTAACAGGCGCCTAACACGACTAGTTTTGTTGCTCTCACCAAGCCTTGAATGTTCATTCGTCACGAAGCACGAAGCCCATTGGCTAACAAATACTCCCTCAACCCAAGAACCTTTAGCTCACAATCACTCTCAGGGAAAAAAATAATATATATATATATTCTGGGCCACGCGTGACCCTCCCACTCCAAACTTAGCGGCTCAATACCACCAGCTTTGCAAGCAAGCGACAAGCAGCCATCCGCGGGTGAGCAGGCTTAGGGAGGGGGGGGGGGGGGGGGGTGGGGGTTGCCCCCCCGGCCGACTTCGGGCCCCCCCGTACCGGAGCCCCCCCCCCCCCCCCCCCCCGCGCCGGTGCCGGCACTGGGGTCGCCCCGGGACATGTCCGTGGCGAAGAAGGGTGGGGGGGGGGGGGGGGGGGTACGCATTACCGTACGATGCCATTCCGGGCATCCTGCATTCGAAGTCTCGCCTCGCCCCCCTCTCAGCTGTGCTGGCAGCCGATGAGCGGCCTCGGAACAATTCTCGTTGGATACGCAGCGGCGAGCGCTGCATTATGCACCCCGTGGTGATTGACAACAGGCGTCAACGGTGAATGCACGTACACGATAGGAGAGCCAAAACCCGGGGCATGGTTGGACGAGGCTGCTTTCCCCGCAAAGTGTGGTAACAAATGGGAGTTTGCTGGCGTCACATCGGTATTGTGCTTGGCTGCTCCTTTTGTGGTGTTGCATCCCGTGTCGCTTTGACCGTTCGAGGCTCTCGGTACTCGAGAAACTACAGGGAGGCGAGCAAGGAGACTGATGTTTTTGACGGGGAGGCAAAGGAGCAGATCATCTGTCTCAAGGTATCCTTTCCTGACATGCTAAGGTAGTCATCACATTGAGCTCGGGTATTGTAGACCTATGACTGGAGACTTAACTCTCGCAAAAAGGACCTGACGACCTATGACGGATCTGGCAACATGAAGGGTGTGGGCTCAATTCGACAGCGGCACAAGTGAAGAATGAGGCCCTCGAGCTAACAATCACCTTGAATGCTGCGATATCGCAAGCGCAAGCGTGGTCAAAAGGGGCGGCGAAAATCCAGCAGAGCGGGTGACCCAAGCCACTTGCGCGAGAAAAAGAAACGTTGGGCTCTTGGTGCCAGGTCCATGAAACTTGACCGGAAATTCAGGAATTGCACTTGCTTGCAACATCGGAGATATTGAACTAAACAAATTCGGATAGTAACCACTCAGAAGCACTGGAATGTGAGAAACAAGGTCAAAACCTGCCGAGTGGCGAACGATTTGGTGGTAAGCATCCAGACTGTAGAAACTAAGTACCTGGCTGGATTCTGGATGTGTCTGCAGAAACATAGCCTGTATCTTGTCTTGAATCTTCGGTGAGATCCTCCCACGACTCCCAGCTTCCACTGTTGACGCGTGCCTTTGCCCAGCTTCCGAGCGTCCATTCAATAGGCAAACGGAGAAGAGGTCAGCAAACCAGTCGGTCAAGAAAGTGGTCTAGGTGTTCTCTTATGCAGCTTGCCACATCGCCTCTGGGCCGGACATGACCACCCGGTCCGGGGTGCAGGAAATATGTCTCTGCCTCCCTGTTTGTCCGTACCGTAGCATCTATCCGTCCGGGCTTGACCTCTAACTCCAGGTCGGGATTGTTTTTTCCAATGCACAGCAAGTGCGTAAAATAGTAGCTCGATTCCTGATCCATTCTTAATAGTTGAACATAGTCTTCTTAGTGTCCAGAGTACCCTGGTTGTGATAAACCTTGACGCGCTTCAAACACGAATGCAATAAAGCCACGGAAGAACCACAAGCACATCTCCACATAGTCCGACTTCTTTTTGCTCCTGTATACCACGCTGCATAGCATGCTTACTTTACTCAAACATACACAACTACTCTTACTCCGTACCCAACGCATGTCCGTCCATTTGCCTGAAGGCTGAAAACGCCCCAAATTTCCCGCCCATGTCACTCGCATCTCCTCCCCCCCCTCGACCCCAGACCGGGGTTGGTGCAGGACCGGGGGTGACCGGCGCATCCCGACCCTCTCATTCGCCCCTTGCCAGCTTTCCCCAGGTCTCTGCCCATTCCTACCTCCGCGACCCCTGTCGACTCTCCCTCACACGCCCACACATCAGTCAAACCACGACTTTTTGTTTTTCTTAGCCCGTCCTGTCAATGGGTAGCACGGTTCCCGGGCTCTCGAAAAGAGAGGAGAAGGGGGGTGGAACACCAGCTGGTCACGTTCAAAGTTCGAATGGGCGGTTCCGCCCCGTCGGTTTGTGCTGATCTCCCTTCTCACGCTGTGCCTCTCTCCCCGCTTTCTATGCACTCGCCTGAGGACCCGTCTGACGGGCAACGTGTATGGAGTACGTACGGAGCAGAGCAATAAATAGAAGACGGGGTCTCGTGCTTGTCTTGCAGCTGCGGACGGCATCAGCCTTTTCGCCTTTCCCGCTCTCCCCACTCTCTGTCACGCATCCTGCTAGGAAGGTCGCTCGCACTTAGCGTAAGGGCCCTTTTCTCGTCATCTACCTTGGCTGCTCCACTCCAGCATCATCTTCTTTTCTTATGCCGCTTTAACCTTTCGACGGACTTTGTTGATTCTCTGTAGGGTCACGTCACCCGGCCCCCATGTTGGTAGCGGACGGTAGTTAGATCGGGCGTGGGAGTGGCCGTGGGATATGAACCGGCTCTCCGAGCATTGTTTTCTACCAACGCGACTCAGTCACCCGGAAGACGCGAGTGGTCGTCTCCTTCCATCCGAACGAGAGGTATCAGCAGAGACAACAAGATAACGATGGTGGTTGAAGTCGGTTCGTTGAACCGCAATGCGTTGGAACCCTTCAAGACATGGCGCCTCGGAACTTCAGCTTGCGAAGACGATGGCGGTATCAACATCGACCCCCATCTCTTCTCGCCACAGGCTTTGAGAAGATGTGCCAAGCATGAGTCCAACTGCCCTTCAGCTTCAATCCTCAGAACCACCTTGGTTACCACCAGTGCCCATGGCCCAGAGCATGGATCAAAGATATTCGCAACAACATCCGCTGAAACTACCCAGACGAACTCAATCACCTCTTCACCCACAAATCCGCCGACAGTACCACCTTTCGTCTTCCCTCCCAGCCAGGAGAAGGCCAACTTCGTCTTCTCGAGCCAGCCCTCATCTTTCAACAGAGTAAAGCGTGCTAGAGCCGAGTCCGATGTTGACGGCCCATACACAGCCGGGCTGAGTTGTAAAAAGCGACGCTTGAGGCTTCATCTCATAACAAGTCGACTTTCTCAGCCCTACTCGTTACCCGCGACACATATCATCAACCGTGAAGCCGGTCCCTTGGGCGACAAGCGTTTCGTGAAGCTGGCTGCTGTAGCCACCTCGCCCGAGGTCGGCAAACAGGGCCTACTTCGAGAGAGCTCCATCATGTTGAGAGCGGCAGTACTCAATAGGATTCGGCTACGTGTCCGAAATGAGGCGACACAGCGCGGTGATATCGGTATCGCCGTGACAGCTGCCAATGCGGCTGTACTTCACCACGGCCAGCAACTAGCCACAGGAGCTAGGTTTGTTGCACAATCGCCAGCACACCTAGAACACCGACAGCAGCCACTGCCAGCAAGGGTTGTTCTGATGCGACCCGGAATCTCTCCAGGCACTCCTCATCCAACGAATGCCCTGTCCGCCCAGGCGCAAAGAAAGCCATCGCCTCCATGGACGCCTCAATCAACTCGGATACAACCTGTATCGCCGAGGTTAAACCCAACCCGGTCACCAGTTCTAGCTCCTTCAAGCACGATGCTGGACGAAATGGAGGATGACGGACTGCTGGCGTTTCCCACATCAACACACGAGTGTTCCTACGCGTGGGCCGACGACGACGATTTGGAAGATGTGTACTCTGACTTTGGTGCCATCTTCGGAGGATCTGCACAGGCTGGTGAGACTGACGACGATGGCAGCTCCTACGAAGAGTATCTCGATGAGCTGGATGGCATTTCTTGGGTCGGCGGCAGGTAGTGCCGTTGGATGACGGGTAAAGGAGAACCAATTTGGTTGAATTTCGAATCCAAGACAAAAGTAAAGCGGCTAGTAGCACCGGAATGGGTGGGCTGGGTTGGAAAAGAAAGAAAAAAAGCAGCATGAATCAGATTTGGCCTATCAATGCGTAGGCGACATTCGAGAAGCATATTTCCGACCAAGTTTGAGGTCACGGGATGGCCAGTTGGCTCTGTCAAAGGACATATGAGATGAGCGCCGTAAGCAGGTCACTCACTGTCATTGTTGGCCTGGCAGGAAAAGAGAGGATTGGCCATCATGCGCTATTGGATACGGCGCCATAAAGCAGGCGTCGAGTTACAGACTCAGCCTTCATATAGATGAAAGTGAATAAGAAGAGAAATAAAAGACTCACTCAAAGGCAATACTTGCCTGCCGGAGGCCTATGCCTCAACCTGCCTTCAATTCCGTCCATGATTCCGCCTGGAATTCCGATGTCCGAAAGTCCGGAGAGTAAGAAGAAGTCACATTGGAATCAGGCTGAAAGATGTGATTCGTGTCGAGGGTTCTTCGTATCGAGGGATTTTGTATTGATAGCGGGGTGCTATAGAGAATGAGAACAATTCTCGGTGTTACAACGGAATCGACGCAGAAGGAACCCCCACCAGTTCCGATGGTCGGCCCGGTCGGACATCTTCCCGGGCCCCGCCGTGACGTTGGGCCTGGGGACGATGGCGGGGACACTGGGGCGGGGTGATTTAACCCGGGAAGCTGAAGCACGACATTGTCAGGCCCATTGCCCAATATTTTGTTCAACTTTCAGGATTCAGACACATGTTCAAACGCAGAATTGTAGCAATGAGCAATCAACTTTTGGACACAATTGTGATCGGAGCCGGCTGGTCCGGCGCCGTTGCCGCCCGGGAGCTTGCTAGCAAGGGTCGCAAAGTGTTGGTACTTGAGGCTAGAGACAGAATTGGAGGACGTGCGAGTACGTGGGTGAAGGGAGATGCCAAGATTGATGTTGGATGCAGCTGGATTCACGGCTACAAAGAAGGAAACCCCGCGAGATATATCGCCCAAGACTTTGGCGTTGTGAGTTTGACATGGACGCGATTGAGTAATAGAGATCAGAAGCTAATGAGATGGAGTAGGCCGCTCACTTACCCAAGGCTGCTGAGGGTGTGATCTACGGCCCAACTGGTGCGTGAGACTCTGGCCCATACCGCGATATTGTGTATTGATAAAGAACAGGCCGTCTCTCAAGTTCCAACGCCGACAACCTGCGGGCGTCCCTTGGTGCTGCTCAGGCATCATTGAAGCTCCCGCACCCAGCGCCCTCTCCATCTACATCGCTCGCATCCGCCCTTCTGGCTGATAACTCGGCTCTTTTCTCAGCTTCTGCATCCCCTGATCCTTCCTCAGACGTCAACCAAACCAGCCCTGCTGACCCGACGCAGGTAGCGACGCAGCCTGCATCAGGTTCATCTCAGAAGGATCTGGCAGCCGGCCTTGCCCGCTCCCTCGAGATTCCCCTGGGACTCAAGCTCGAAAAAGCTTCCCTGAAGTGGGCTGGATGGGAGACTACTATCTCATTTGGAGGTTCTGATGCCGCCCCTGAGGGAGGCTATGAGGCCTTGGTCAAACAGGTCCTTGATGACGCCAAGGCCAACGGCACTGAGGTGAAGCTGAGCACAATTATTACTGAAATCTCACAAAGTCAAGACGGAGTTATAATTGTCGACGCCAAGGGCAACAAATTCACGGCAAAGACGGCCATTTCTACCATCCCGCTCGGTACCCTCAAGACTCTACCTGAAAGCACCTTCAACCCTGCGCTGCCGCCGCGCCTACAGGAGGTAATCAAGGGCACCCACGTCGGTGTCCTGGAGAAGTTGCTGCTCCAGTACCAGACAGCTTGGTGGCCCGAGGCCGACAAAGCAGGATCCTACACTTTCTTGCCCACATCTACGAAGCCCGTGACCGAAAGCTCTACCCCCGCCGAAATCTTCGAGGCGTCGACTCTGGTCTGCGCCAACTTCGCTGGGCCGTCTCTCCCTGGCCCTAGTCCGACTTTGCTGACGTACCTTTCCGAAACTCCTGCTACCGCATTGCTCCGCTTCGATCAGAAGGAAGTTGCGACTGCCTACCACAAGTTCCTTGTCTCTCGCTTCAAGCCATCATCTGAGCCTGCGGAGCCGATCGAGACCAATTTGACCAACTGGTTGACAGACGAGTTCTCCCGCGGTGCCACGACCACGCCGTCAATTATTTCAGAAAATGGGGAGCGAAGCCCACTTGACTTCAAGGAGCTAAGCAGGCCCGTATGGGATGGAAGACTCGGATTTGCCGGTGAGCACACAGAGATGGAAAACCGTGGAAGCGTGGCTGGTGCAGTCGTCAGCGGCTACCGTGAGGCAGAGCGTGTTGGCAGACTTTTGAGACTGCTGGACGAGAACGCCAAGTTGTGATTGGATCGAGGAAGGCGTCGGACAGTTTCTCATAGGCAAGCTAGATTTGGGATGTGCTATAGGCTTAGACGGGGGCTGGGAATTCTTTTCTAGGAGATGAATCAGACGATTGAACCCGACAAATGTCTTCGAGGACGCTCTATGCCGTTCATCCTGAAGCGGCCAGCAGCCTCGCTGCACGATCTTTGGCAATATCACACATTGCCTACTACCTCGTTAGAAGAATGTCTCGAGGATCCAAGTTCAAGGATGCAACTTGCCTGGATGGCGGCGATTTCCTCGAGAGCCAAGTCACCACGCGAGATACGAGCACGCATGTTTTCCATGATTTCCGGCCGACCTCGACCGTTGACGAACACCACGTAACGTAGGCCTGGGAACTTTTCCTCGTACTCGGCGTTCAGCGCAGCCAGCTCTGTGGCGTCTCCACTCTGAAGCTGGGCTTGCTCTGCGGCGGACTGAGCACTCTCAACCTTCTTGGCCCCGAGACGCGGGTGTGAACCGATGATTGAGTGTAGCTGCGCCTTTTGTGTAGGGTCCGCCGTAAGAGCCTCGAAGGTCTTTTGAGCTTGATTGATGAACTCGTCGTAAGACTGGAAAGATGTTGTGGAAATAGAGGGCAGAAGACAGGCGTGAATCGCGGGGCTCGGCTCGAAGAGCGCATCTAGGACCTTGGCCTGCTGCTCCACGGGGAGGGAGTTGAGACTCTTGACGTCAGGTAGAGAAGCCATAGTGAACTGCAAATTGCACTTCGCTGTTTTGAATTATGATGAAGCAATGAGTAAATGACCGTTCATGACCTGCTTATTCTTTAACATCGCTTTTAAGGCAGTGGAAGGTGCTTGATGAAGTACCTTAGGTATTACCTTACCTACCTTAGGTAAGGTAGACCTCATGTCAGCGATACTTCACGGTGCGATAAGATAGAGATAAGATAAGTCAGGACGGGAGGCGCCGATGACGGGACATTCCATCAAAACTAGCCACACGTGATGGAGTGGCTCGTGCTCACCAGCTGCGAAGCAAGACCCACACTGCCTTGGAACAGCAGGTGCGGCAAGGCTGAAGTTTTGTTTTGGAAGGGAAAAGTTGACGCGGACGAACTTTGTGACGGCTCATATCGCTACATTCGAGATAATGCTGTGCGCCAGTAGGTTCAAATACTCGGGAGTATCTTGCGCAACTGCTGACTGCTTTCTCAGTTTCTGGAGAAGCTCCTCAGGAGCCCGTTGCCTCAAAGAAGTCTGGTACGTGTTTGCGCCTGGTCGCGTCAATCCCCAAAATGCTGACTGTAATTAGGCACCGTCTTCGAGAAGCGATTGATCGAGAAATACATCGAGGAGAATGGTACCGAACCTGTTACTGGCGAAGCCCTGACGATCGAGGACCTTCTTCCTTTGACACAGTCTCACGTTGTCCGACCCCGACCCCCGACGCTCACTTCGATTCCGGCCTTGCTTGCGACATTCCAGAATGAGTGGGATGCGCTCGCTCTCGAGACGTTCAACCTGAAAGAACAGCTTGCGAGGACACGAGAGGAGCTTGCCACAGCATTGTACCAACACGATGCCGCGGTCAGAGTAATTGCGCGTCTGTCCAAGGAGCGAGATGAGGCTAGAGAGGCGCTTTCCAAGGTCAGCGTCAGCGCTGGAGCCACAAATGGGGATGCCATGGCTATTGATTCGGCCGAAGGTCTTCCGGAGGAATGGGTTGACAAGGTCAACGCAAAACATCAAGAGTCAGTCTTCCAGAAGGCACAGGCATGGGTAACTCTAGAACGGTTCACTAACAAGCCACAGACTCTCCAAGAGCCGCAAGAAGCGTCCGGTCCCTGAGGGCTGGGCTACGTCCGAAGAGGTCGCCCTGTTGACCACTGTGGCATCCACTTCAACACCGGTTTCGAATGCCTCGTCGCTGGCCACCGAAGGAAGTTATGCGGCCATCAGTGGTCGTTCAGGAGATGCTGCGATATACTCTATTGAGGCAGACCAGGTCGAACGCCAAGTTGCGGTCAACGAGCCGGTCATTGACTCTGTGTGGACTGGTAGCAAGCTCATCTTTGCCACGAGCAAGGGATCAGTGAAGGTCTTCGAGAGTGGTAGCGAAGTTGCGTCAATCTCTGAACATGCAGGCCCTGCAACATCCTTGAGCCTTCACCCTACCGGCGACCTCCTCGCATCCGTTGGCTCGGACAAGAGCATTGTCTTGTACGATCTCAACACCCTCAAGAAGATCAGCCGTGCCTACGCCGACTCTGGTAAGCGACTAAAGCCCCCAGTACTCCTATGCCAGCCTGCTAACCTGCGCAGCCCTCACATCATCTGCTTTCCACCCCGATGGACACCTCTTCGCGGCTGGAACCGTTACAGGCGAGATTAAGCTCTTCATGACCACGACGTTGGAGGTTGCGGCTGCATTCGACCTCGGCGCAGCTGTCGAGGCGCTGACCTTCTCAGAAAACGGCTTCTGGCTTGCAGCCACAGCCAAGGGTCAGAGCTCTGTAACCATCTTCGATCTGCGCAAGGAGGGAGATGCTGCAAAGGTCAAGACACTAGAGACCGGGGGCCCAGTGCAGTCACTTGCTTGGGACTACAGTGGGCAGTTCCTGGCAACCGCGGGTGCCGGCGGCATTACTGTCCAACAGTACACCAAGAGCTCCAAGAAATGGTCAGAGCCCCTCAGAACGTCGGTGGCTGCATTGTCGGTCCAGTGGGGTGCTGGGGCCAAGCAGTTGGTTTCCGTCAACGAGGAGGGCGTTGTTTCAGTGTTTGGAGTCAAGCAAGAATAAGCAGACATGCATGTCTCGCGATCTGTATTATAAGTAATGGGGACAGGAGAGTCGCATCTAAAATGATATCCGAAGTCTTGGGCTCACAAGGTATGAAGTATGAAGTACTCTGGTCTTGCAAGAAAACCGCGAAGGAACAAATAAAAACCATCGGGATCCCCATATCAGTCAAGTGAAAGGCTTGCTGACTCTGGTTAAAGATGTCTCGAGACACCTTGAGGCAGTTGCTTATTCACAAGGTAGTGTGCTGGGGCGAACGTGCATCCTGACATTTCTGTCCCTTTTCGGGACTATGACATAATCATTTTAGGGACATATTACCGTCTCTACAGAGTACCTTACCTTGTGAGCTTGCATGGAGACAATGGGGAATGCAGGGCACCGTCGCTTAGCAAATATCCCGCCGCAATTACCTCACCTTACCCTGAAAGTCCAGAGGTGCTCCTGCCTTATCGGCGGTGTTGCCCCCCTGCAGCGCCTGCACTGTGCGAGCTTATCTAAGGCTGAAGCGCCAAACCATCCGTCGCTCTTTCCGCTGAATGGCCTAGACCCGCACTTGACCTTTAACCGCCACCAACCTAACAACACCACAACCACGACGGGCAAGTCCAAGGACCTCGCCTCTTCCTTGTGCTCCGAAGCGCCCTCGGATTTTCTTCCTTCTTCCACATCTCGATCACACCAACAGCTTCCACGGGATGGTCGCTTCACCATTGTGCCCGTCGTAGGAGGTTCACTTCTACTTTACGTCTCCCGATACGACCCGACCTTCACGACTACGACTTTCCTCCCGCACGCAAGACACCTACCCGAGGAACAGACGGTTTGTGCGTAGCCACATGCTGACTGGAGCTGCCGGACTTAAGCTAATCATTTCTCCAGCGCCAACCCATATTGGCTCGATAGACATAATATGAGCTCTGTTTCTCCACCATCTTCTCCATCGACGACGTCTTCTTCGGCTCGGCTCTCTACGATTCCACTTTCTCCCTCAATATCAGCTTCTCCATCGACTGCGTCCTCTCCGTCTCGGCTCTCTACGATTCCACCTTCTCCCTCAATATCAGCTTCTCCATCGACTGCGTCCTCTCCGTCTCGGCTCTCTACGATTCCGCTTTCTCCCTCGGTAGCATCTCTTTTGCCTGAGCAAGAACTTTACGACGATAGCGACATCGAGGCCGCCTACCAAGGCTACATTCCCGAATCCTCCTCCGACGTGGTCGATCACCGCTCAAGCATATTCGACTCCGAAGCCGATGCGCAGGTGGATTGGGACCCTGAGTCTGATTCACAATCACAGGCACAGCCTTCAGAGTCCGATTCAGAGTCCTTGATGTCACTCGAGATTGACCCTCACGATCCGCTATTTAACGACTCGGACCCTTTCTCTCCCGATCTTGCCGACGAGCTTGAGCTTGCGCTTCTTGCCGAGATGGATCAGTTGCCACAGCTCCGCGAACAAAGGATGCCACCTGGAGGTGGCCGAGATGAAAGCATGCGAGGGCAACGTGGAGGCGGTGCCGCCCTTCATAATGGCTCAGGCGATGTTCTTGTGGATCTGGAGCTGTACTTCGAACAGGATAGAAACGAGAGGAGACCTCAAAACAACCAAAACGGCCCTGCCGATGTCATCGACCTGACCAACGAACCCGACAGCCCTATCCAGAGACATGCTCCTCGACCTCCCACGAATCCCAGAAGACAACATTCCCAAGGCAGGAACCCGCCGTCTTTCTCGCGGAGTGACAGTAGCATTCTCGCCGGCAATGCACCACCCGTCATCGACCTCACCGACGACTCACCCGAAGTTCCGAGAAGACGTACGCATGTACCGCCGCCTCCACAGCCACCTCGTCAGCGCGATCGCAGTCGACAGCCGGTCGGATTCATGCTGAACCCGAACGGAAGTGCATTCAGTGGGCTAGCAGCCGGGTTAAGGCGCCACCTGTATCCTTTCAGGCTCTACCCTGGTCCTGAGGACGAGGTACAGCTGCTCGGCATGTTGCACAATCGTATTAATCAAGGAGGAGACCTGAACAACCCCCTTGGCAATATCCAACTTCAATACGAGCACGGCGCTTTCGATCAACGCGCCGAATCACCTAAACCAGTCCACCAAGCTCCGCCTCCCCCTAGACCTGGATATACGAGGGACACCGCCTCCGATTTAGTTGTGATTTGTCCAGCATGCAACGAGGAACTGGCTTACGACCCTGACGTGCCTGTCAACGGGAAGCAATCTGCGCGGAAGGGCAACAAGCGCCAGCGCAGTGAACATCACTTTTGGGCCTTGAAGGGTTGCGGACATGTAAGGATCAACATTACACGCGTCCCACTTACTTTACTGATGCTGTACCAGGTTTACTGCGAAGACTGCTACGAGAATCGCAAGCCGGTAGCTAAGCGCCCGAATACCGGATTTGGGCGCGACGATGAAAGCAAACTCACCTGTGCAGTCGATGGTTGCGAGACACAGGCTACGAACAAGACAGCCTGGGTCGGAATCTATCTTTGAGCTGCGGCATAGAGTGACGCAAAGTCAGTTTTTCAAAGAGACGAATGAGAATTGGCGTCATCCGGTTGCATGGGTGGCATTAGCTCGGCGTTTGGGGGTGGGATGGCATCACATGATCGGTCAGAGATTCCCATGGTCACGGTATAGGCTTGCTTCCTCCCTTCAATTGAGGGGTTTGATATTTGAGGAGTCCAGTGAGAGGGACAAGGTCTCTTAGCGGATGATTTTCCTTGTAGCGGCACGCGCTGTACATGAACAAGGACACGAGCACATAGTTCTAGCGGCAGGGAGCGCAAACAATCCCCTGTATAGAGTTTCTCGTGAATAATTCTATTCAGTTGCTCCGTCTTATCATCGTTCGGAACCTCTCCCTTGGGTCTGGCATCTGCTACTAACGGAAAAGAGGAAAAGTCTTTCGTCTCCTAATGAAGCAACCGGCATGCTCATGCTCTTGCGTCTTTGTGGGTATAGAATTCCAGAAGTGCCTTCCTATTGCTAATCATTGACGCGCTGTGATGCTCAGGTCTGGACCTCATGCCCGTTTGTTCCATCCTTTCCGTGTATGCATGTATCGAATCAAAAATCATCCAAGTCATCATCCCAATCTATAGACCCCAAATCCATCTCAATGAGTGACGAGGCAGAATTTGTTACCGGTCCACCTGAAGATGACTGTGTCATTGCTTTGGCCGGGGATTCTATATCCAGCACCTCCTGAGAGGACATCATCAGGTCCTGAGTGCAGATCAAGGGGAAAAAGTCGTCAAAAACATGCAAAGCCTTTGCAACTGTAGGTTTTGGTGCAGGCCGGTGGTTGCTACTGATTTCCTGAAGAATGCCACGATTTGGAAACCGGTTGGGTGCAATGAGTGGCGGAGCACCCTGCCGCTTGACTAGAGGCGTACTGTGTGCTGCTGCAATCACACCATGTGTGATCAATTTTGGGCCAGAAGCCGCTCGAGGCATCATGTATTTCTGCTGCTGTTGTTTCTGAATCTGCTCCTTTTGAGCCAGCCCATGTCGGGTCTGGAGTTTGTTGGTAATAGAGGTTGGTGGTTGTGTTGCACGGACATGTGTCCCTAGGTTGGCTATCTGTTTATGCCGCGAACTCAAGTTGCTTTCATGGTTTTGTATGGCCGAGAAGTTGCTCTTTGCTGGTGGTAAGTTTCTTTCGTTCGCCAGGCTCCCTGTCTCCTTCGGTCGACTGAGAGGTCCGGTAGACCCCTGAGCAGGAGCTTTGCTTGGTATGGGAGCACTCAGACGTGAAGGCAGTGCAGTTTGAGCTCCATCGAAATCCTCTTCAAGCTCTACAGCGAGTTGTGAGGCTGTGGGGAAGAAGTCATCGAAACAATTTTGCACGATTGCTTGTGTGCTTGGTAGAGGCATCTGCGGTATTGATGGCCTTGGTGGCGGTAGAATTTGTTTCGATCGGACTCCTGGTGACGGTGCAATTATTGGTATGGGAACGTCCGTCGGCGCTTTGTCTTCTGCAGCCTCTACTCTGGGCTTCTGTGATGGTACTGGAGGCGGAGGCATCGCCGTTGATGACTTTGGCGGTGCAGACTTTGGGGATGGCAACTCTTTTGGCAGTGAGACCTCTGTTTTGATCTGGATAGAAGGCTGGAGAGACGGCTTTTGCTTGAAAATTTTGTGCCGAGGTGGCTGATGAGTTGGTAATGTCGCCTTCGGCATCATGAAAGGCCTTGATTTGGCCTTCACAGCAGGTCGTGGAGGAGGTCCAATGGAAGCCATTACAGCTGGGGCCTTTTCTGGTGCCGTGAATAGCGGCTTCAGGGGCTGTCGTGTGAGAGCATCTTTGTCAATTGGCTTCGGCACGACTCCTTCAGCCGAAGATTGTCTTTCACAAGTAGTTGCGCCTTGAACAGCTGACATGGCCGACTTTGTTATCTGTGAGGGACGAGGAGGTGGTGCCATGGAGCCAATTGAGGGTTTTCTCTCTTCTGATGACTCAATTTGAAGAGGAGGCTTGGAAGCCGCGGTTGACGCCAAGTTATTCGGCTTGATATCGGCCAAGGCGGCAGAGGCAGTCTCGGGCTTTGGTATCGGTTCTCCAGATGAATCTCTCTTCTTGTGCGAACCATTTCCTCGTACGAAACGCGCGATCGTGTCTTGACTTGGTCGACAGTCAAACAGAGGCTGCCCAGCCCTTCGCCTGTTCTCTCGGGCCTCCTCTTCCTTGGCCTTTTTTCGTTCTCTCGCTGCCTTGGCCTTGACTGCCGCGCGCTCCTTTTCGAGCTCCTTGCGAATCTCCTCTTGTTTCTCCTTCTCCCATTTCCGTTGTTCAGCCTTGGATCGTCTCGGTTCCTTGTTCGCCTGCTTGTATAGCTTCTGAGCCTGCTTCGATGTCATCGGCGGCCTGTTCGCGGGGCCACCGACGCGCCCGGGGGCGTCTGGAATGACGGCGAAGGTGTTCTGCTGCGGCGCCATTGTGCCGGTAATCCTCTAGATACCATCTTCGAGGGGAACGGCGTTGGCATAGATCCCCAGGTCGGAGTGCGAGCGACAATTAAGCCTGAATTCGTCTGGTGTTCAAGGTCTCATTCAACCTGGCGGGGCAATCAACACCGACAGGACGGGGGTGCGCCTGGAAGCTGTGGAATGGCGGGTGACGCGACGGACGTACGAGGTCACGTGCTCTCGATTTCAAGTCAAGCCACACTTAAACGGCCCCTGCAAGTGATCCATTCTAGAGCACCGCCACGCGGGGTACTGTCGCCGCCACAAATCGCGGGGCCTCAATCTTTTTTTTCTGCGGCACTAGGATTTTGCAGGTCGCAGTCCGGCTTCGAGAAGAGCAGAATCCCGATTACCATTTCCCATTTCTTTTTTCTAAAGACGGCCTAAAATCATGTCGAAACGCTCTGCTGATGTCGAAATGGGGGATGCCCCCCTCAAGGGAGGTGATCGCCCTGAGGGTATGGAGATTGACGAGAAGGCCCCCGACATGGGCGAGTTCGAGGACGAATTCGAGGATGAGTTCGAGGAGGACGAAATTATGGAGGCCGGTGTTGACGGACGCCCTGACGCAGAGAGGGAGGCTGAGGAGAGGGAAGGTACGATATCAACGGCCCCGCGACATAGAACTTAGCTGACCAGTTTAGCTGCCGTCGACCAGGGCACTTTCATCGTCGGACGAAACAAGCTTGAGGCGGGACAGACACTCGCGCCCGATGTTTCTACCTACGAGATGCTGCACAACCTGAGCACGCCATGGCCCTGTCTGTCTTTCGATATTCTCCGCGACAATCTTGGTGACAACCGTAAGGTCTATCCCGCCACCATGTACACCGTGGCTGGTACACAAGCAGAGAACGCCAGGGCTGGCGAGAACCAGCTGATGGTTATGAAGTTCAGCGGTCTGAGCCGTACGGAGAAGGACGACGAGGAATCTGATGACGACGACGAAGATGGCGATGAGGACGCCGAGCCCATCCTTGAGCACAAGGCGATCCCCTTGAACTCGACTACGAACCGAATCCGCGCCCATCAGATCCCCTCGCAAGATGCTTCCAGACCTCCTACGACCCTCACAGCCACCATGACCGAGTCATCCAATGTCTTCATTCACGACATTACGCCTCACATCTACTCCTTCGATAACCCGGGCACCGTCATCTCCGCGCAGCAGAACAAGCCAGTGTCGACCATTCGCGCCCACAAAGCAGAGGGTTATGCTCTTGACTGGTCCCCCCTTGTTCCCAGTGGAAAGCTCCTCACCGGTGACAACGATGGTCTCATTTACGTCACAACCCGCACCGACGGCGGCGGTTTCGTCACCGACACCCGGCCATTCCAGGGTCACACCAGCAGCGTTGAGGAAATTCAATGGAGTCCCTCGGAACAGTCTGTCTTCTCATCCGCCTCAAGCGACGGCACAATACGCGTTTGGGATGTCCGTAGCAAGAGCAGAAAGCCCGCGCTTTCGATGCATGTCAGCAACCACGATGTAAACGTCATGTCGTGGTCACCCCTCACGACGCATCTGCTTGCGTCTGGCGCCGACGACGGCGAATTCGCCGTCTGGGATCTGCGCCAGTGGAAGCAGAGCTCTACCTCTGCTGCCGACAAGCCCTCGCCGATTGCCAGCTTCAACTACCACAAGGAGCAGGTCACGAGCATCGAGTGGCACCCCACAGACGATAGTATCATTGCTGTTGCGGCGGGCGACAACACCGTTACTCTGTGGGATTTGGCTGTCGAGCTGGACGACGAGGAGAGCAAGGATACCGGCGGTGTCAAGGACGTGCCACCTCAGCTTCTGTTCGTCCACTACTTGTCCAACGTCAAGGAGCTCCACTGGCATCCCCAGATCACTGGCAGCTTGATGGCTACTGGTGATGAGTTCAGTGTTTTCCGTACGATTAGCGTTTAGACGGATGGTTAGTCAAAAGTTAATGGGATACCAACTTTGTTTGTTCATGATGGATGCCTTTTTGCGTGTTCATGTTGTTGCTACACTTGGATCTGAAGAACTCTGCATGGCTTGGGCGCTCACACAGATGAGGAGCCCATTGGTAGGAATTTAAAGTCGTATGCTTTGTTACACAAAGCCCTGGGTACTCTCGTATAACGCAGGATGGTCGATGTTTGCTTCTCTAGGTATGACCCGTTTGTCACAAGGAAGTTCTATTTCAGGTATCATATTGGATTCTGGGTACGAGATTGAGGGCCTTTTTGGCGACCCTCATTCGACCATTCAAAAGCGGTTGAATATTCGGGTAATCCTTTGAGGTTATCGGGATTGTCGAATTTTGCTCAGTGTGACCAGAGTTAAGGGAGCGAGGCCGAGTGTCTCCGGCATAAATAAAGACGGTGCGTCACTATTTCAACTAACATCCCCGAGAGAGATGAGTCGTATATGAATTCACACCACTAGATCATTTCGTTCTCTTCAACATGCGGTATCTTGCAAGTCTGGCTCTTCTCTGCCATTTGGCACATGGTGCCCCTTCTACTCCGGCTGAACACTCCGCACGTACTGCAGCAGTCTTCGAGGTGGACAGGTTCTTCGCGGGAAGTCTTCCACCAAGCACAAGAAACTTGTAAGCTAGACTACGAGACGGCGAGGGACAAGTCGTTACAAAACTCTTTGCTAACGCGAACCGAACCAGTGTCATATTCTCCGTCCAGCCCACCCCTGGCGCCGACTTTGCTAACTGTACCATCAACACGGACACTGGTCCTAAAGTACCAACGGTCGACAAGGTGGTCTGCACTGACGTTAACTCTATCACATGGAGTCTGGAGCCGATGGGGACAGGGATGCATTTCAGTGTCTGGTGGGCTTTTACTAGTCATGCTTCGTTGCTGGGCGGAATACGCCTCGATGAGTCGTACTTCAATGACACAACACTCGCAGATGGGAGCAAGTCACAAAGCTATGTGGGGCCGCACAAGTTCACCTTGGAGACCACCATGGTGATGAACAATCCCGGGGGCAAGAGAAAGATGGAAGAGAGCGTGGAGTAGTTGTGGTGTGGCTTGTTAAAGCACTACATGGAGGACAATGCATTTGAATGCCGAGCTTTCTTTCTACTTAGTAGACATATCTTGGTAATACTAGAGGTCTGCGGTCGAACCTCCGTAGGAATGAATCTAATTCAGATTAGTTTCCTGGCACTACCTTGCAAGAGTCGAGGGTTTCACTCACAGTCTGATCAAAACAACCAACGGGCGTCTGATACAGATATGCCCCCGTGTTAATGAACACCTCCTGATTCTCACAAACAAGCCATGCAGCCACGTTGGGCCGGCTAATGTCGGGTGTGCTCCACGTAAGCGTATCGCCCTGGAAGGCAAAAGTTCCATATGTGCCTTTGCTTGCACTAAACCACGTCTCTAGCTTTCTCTGCGTCTTGTCTGTCGGGTTCTCGACATTGAGGTAAAGTGGCGATGATCCAGTCAGATGCACAAGTTGGCCGTCCTCGACTTTGAACTGACCCGCGCTGCTAGGTGAATCGAGGTAGGCTTTGCTGGGCGTGTCGGTGGGCTTGGCCTGGAGGTAGCTGTGGAAGTTGGGCGAGGCCACGGCGCGAATCCAGGACCATCCAGAGACGAGAGTTGTAGGAACAGAGCCGCTGCCACCTGCATCCGTGGTGGTCACGGTCACAAGAGTGGTAGTTGCGCGAGAAGTCGTACGGGTGTTAGTGCCTGTTGCGATAGGGGTAGTGGACGTTGAAACAGGTCTGGTAGATGAGGTTGTGGGAGTGCTGGATCCTGGAATACATTGAGAGTAATAGGGGCTGTCTCAACGGTTAGCGGATGGTTTGGATTGATCTGATGACAGACCTACTTGAGAACTGAGCAGGTATAGCCGCTACTGCAGCTTGTAGCTCCAGTCCAGCCACTGCCGCCACCTTTGACCGTGTTAGATACTGACTATAGCATGATCAGGTGAGGCTATCATGACTTACATTGCCCCCAAGCTGGTGCTGTAGTCTGCGCTGCAACGGGACTAACGAGCAAGACTGCTGATAGCCCGGTAGCCAAGACACGTATCAAGTTCATTTGAAAAGAGTTGAAACGAACGCGAACTGAGTCTTTGGTGGTTGCAACACGACTTTTTGACAGCTTGGCGACTGGAACGACTGAAGTGGATGCCAAGTGTGGATGGTTATATACTCGAGGAGGATCAAAGAGGCTTTTATTCACGTTGCATTCAGTCCCAAAAATCTGTCAGCTGAAGTCCAATGACGGAACTAACTGCTCCTCTCCTTATGGTCCATCTTTGGCTCCTGTACTTAGAGCTCCGGGAGTCATGCAATGTGTTCTGTAGGTGGTGGTGGTAAAGGCTGTTTTCAACCAAACTTGTCGAGGGAACGGCGTCCCGAATAGATTAATTAGTGAATATGAGGTTGCAATACAATTGACTTTCGGAACCCAGATGAGAATAGCGCCTGGAATACATCAAGTTGTACGGTGTACTGCCCTGAAGGAGAGCATTACCGGAGGGAACTCTTCCGGGCCGGAAGTGGCTGCCGGAATGCCGGAACAAATGCTACGTGCATTTGGCAACGGTTGAAACTCCCATCATCACAATTAGAATTTGAGATGATTGAGAGCCAGGCCGCTGAAAAATATAAGATACTCAGTGGCTACTAATGGTCTTGCAAGAACCAAACGACCAAGCGGGAGGTGAAAGAAGCCAACTTGAGGGGCAATAAGGAAGAGAGAGCTCTTATGTGATCGACGGCGTACACTCTATCAAGCTGCTGCACGACCAATGAACCCGCTCAAGACATTAAGTAGAAAGGGATCAAGTCCAAGAACCCCAGCTCCATGACACAAAAGCTGCCAAAATTCCAACCGGTCATCACCGCCACTCTCCAACGAGCCGATGCAGTTGCCGCCTCCAGTTGCACCAGCAACGAACGTTAGTGTCAACAGAACCCAGCCGATGGCATCTTCCATGCAAGTACTGCCCGAAGGCTGTCGAAATTCAATAGTGCGGCTGTGGTCGTGCCCTAGCAAGCGGGCAAAGTTCCACTTGTAGACTTTGCCGTGAACGAAATCTCTCTTTCTCCCATGTGCTCTTCCATACGCACTGGATGCCGGAAAGAGGCACATCGCTTCAACGACGGCGGTAGTCCCTCGTTGAGCCGCGACGTCGAGAGCGTCGAGACAGTCTTCAAGGGTCTGGTAACGACATAGCACCGGGTTCCGGCGGTTGCTCTGGCACCAGTAGGCGGCAGCTCTGTCCTTCGGTACGAGGGCATCGAAGCAAGCTTCATATGCCAGGATGGCCTTGCCCAAAGAGGCCAGTTGGAATGACGAGAACTCCTGATCTGCCTGGCTGACGTGTACGTGAGTGCTGCACTGGGGAAGCATCTGAACGGACGAGTGCTTCTGGACAGCAGAAAAGATGTTGTCTGCATCGGACAGCCACTGAGACTCGAGGCTGAAGACGGGGGAAACTAGCTCAAGGGCCCCTGAGCCGACTCAGCATCAGGATTCAGCATTTATTGCGTGGCTTGATATACTGACAGTTGTTCTTGGCAGGATTCTGAGGGATCGTGATCTCCTGGACAATGGACCATTTACGGTAGTTCCCATCCACCTTTTCTTTAACATGATTGCTGACTCCTTTCTTGGCCAAGCGACTGCTGGTGTCTTGAGCCATGGATAGCCAGTTTTTGTGCTTCTTGCTGCTATTGAGAGATAGCTCAAGCTCGAAGCCAAAGTTGAGGGCTTGGTAACTAGACATTTTGGAAGAGATTGTATATGACGACTATGTTGGAGCTTGAATTTTGGTTCAAGAAAAAGGAAATGCTTTGCTATCTACGAGCCCTCACTCGAGAAACACGGGAAGATATCTTATTATCTATGTCTCAAGTGAATACTAGATGAGATTCACCCGGTCTTGAGCAAGTTTGAACATGTCCATCGCATATTGAGCTTGCAAATGGGCTTGTTACGACTTATCAGCGCCTACTTCATCGAGACCGCGGCCTTTCCAACAGCCTTCTTCTGAACATCGCCACCTGGGCGACCCTTCCACTCGACATGAGACGTGCTGCTCCCGAGATTTGAGATACAACACCCTGTAGTTGCTTCGAAGGTGAGCCAAGGGAAACCAGCCACAGGCTAACATCAGTCGATGCCACTTCGTCGTCCAGCGAGACGCTCATAGCTAGCGCTCAGTGCTATGCAAGAATGGTTCCTGACGATCCCAAAATACCAGGACAAGGAGAGAGCTCATACCCCTGAGGCTCGACTCAACGTCGAACCGTGGAGGGTGGGGGCCATATCAGGCTAGAATATACACATCTCACTTGTTCCTGAATGAGGGTTGGCTGTCAGCTCAAGGCGCTTCGAGCCTTCTGGAGGCAGCCTGGTCTTCTAGGGGCAAGATCAACTCGATAAGGTCAGAGAGCGGCAGGGTCAGTACAAGACTAGACCCAAGACGGCCGACACCACATGAGATATCCCCGACATCCCTGGAGAGAAACATGGTACATGTCCTCCGAGCCTTTCGCGCTGAACTAGGCGCCGGTTACGGCCATGAAGGTGCGAAAGACCAACTTGGAGGGGCGGTGAGAGTCGTGGATCAAGTTGGGAGAAAGGGGGCGACGCGCGCTTTGAGGTTTGGGGGGATTGCGACTTTGCAAGACACCTGATGGGGTCATCTGACGCAATGTCAAAGGGTGAAAGAGGGGCTGTTGGTTAATGGACTGGATGATCCTAGACACTTTGTCTAAAAAAGCCGCCGAGGGCAGACAAACATTCTATTCTGAGAGCCGAGGGTGTTAGTAGTCCTTTAGGGACCGTGTGTTGCCGTCACTCGACGATGGCCGGCCGGCGTTTCGCGAGATCGTGAGTTTCCCTCACATATAGACAGTGTGCTAAAAAGCGACTCTCAACTTGACCGGATACTGTGGACGCTTGCTGGTGAAAGAGATGTAAGACGGTAGCACTTGGTGCCCTCTACCCCGGAAGGCTCTGCGAGACAGTAATTTCGCGCAAAATAGCGTCATTATGGCAGAGCTCATGAAGTCTGATGTTGGCTCCAATGATAGAGAGGCCAATGGTAGCATACAGAGCATGGCTAGACCATAAGGTGCGACGGCGTTGAGTGAGAACGATGGGTAAGATCGCAATGAAGAGTGTGAGACGGAATAACGAACGTTCTGAGCATTCTCATAATAGGAACTACAACCACAGATAATCACTCACATATTCTAAAGCCCTTTGAGCACTGATGGAGTGGTCAGCAATGGTAACTACGTCAGTTGGAGAAATAGCAAGTCATGAGGATCCAGTGACTCGGGAACCATGCAGATGACACCGACTCGGCGGCCTGCATTGCTAGACAGATGGGACAGCGATCTGGAGCACATGCAGCAGGCCGCCCTAGGAGAGCCCAAGGGTCGATCCAATTGGCAACGTGCCAGGTGTGAAGTAGTGTTCGTAAGGCGCAAGGGATGCGATAGTGACAAATTTCATTGCTTGCAGCGACAGGTGTGGAGTTCTTGAGTGCTTTAGTTGAAGAGGACAGCGCGGGGCGCAACCAATGACCAAAATTTAGTGTTCCCTCGACTGTGCTCCGGAGCACCTGGAAGCTTCCTCGGTCGCCGACCCCACATTTACCGCTGGAGAGAGAAGCTGACGAGATCACTACCGTCGGTGACGAATGCCCTCATTCACACCCACTCTTATTCTCACCCGCGCCCTCACTCTAGCAAGTTCAAGTGAGCCTTTCTCATAAGATAGGTTGCTGCGTCCCCAGTATATAATTAACGTGTGGGAACGAAGAGACAACGCTACGGATCTGCCGACGACTTCATCTCAATTACTCTACCATACATAGCGACGTACAACTATCATCTCATTTCGCAACACCAAAACCTCACATCTTCAAGCCGCCAAAATGGTCGTCCTCCACGCCACAACACTCACAGAGTTCACGAACCTCCTCTCATCAAACACATACCTCGTTGCCGATTTCTACGCAGACTGGTGCGGCCCATGCCACGCCATCAAACCGATATACGAGTCCCTCTCGAACACCCACGGCCAGCCAGGCTCCCTGGTGTTCGTAAAAGTAAACGTCGACTCCGCCCAAGATATCGCCCGACGCTATGGCGTGACGGCAATGCCGACCTTCATGTTTTTTGAAAACGGCCAGCCGTACAACGGCGGACGGAGCGTCATCCGCGGCGCCGATCCCAGGAGCCTGCAGACCACCGTCCAGGAGCTGGGTGGGCTGGCCAAGAAGAAAGCCGCCGAGGCGGCCGCACAGAAGGCCGAGGCCGAGAGGAAGAAGAAGGAAGCCGCCGCAGCCGCCGAGAGGAACGTCAAGCCTGATGATGGTTCCACTGTCTCTGGCGGCTACACCCTAGGCGGCAATACGGGCCCGAGGTCGGACTGGAAAATGTCCTTGAGGGGGTGATTGCCGCCGTCGCGTTTCTCATCATTTTAAGCAGAGTCTCACGCTGCGGCTGTCGCGCCGCTACGCACATGTGAGTTGGAGGACAGGGTGAATCTTTTTGGTCGTAGCGTAGCAGAAAAATATCAAATTTGTTTCATTGTATTAATTCTTCAAACTTTTCATGCCCCCGATTCCTCATTTGCGCCGCTTTGTTGCTGTATTTGGTCATCCAAAAATGCTACCCAACCGATATCTCTCGACTCCTTGGTCCGTATGTATGAAAAAACTAGTAAAAGAAATGGAGATATATGCCGTCGTCCTTGGTCATTTCTTTGCAGCCGTTATTGTGTGGGGTATCTGTTGTTCTTGATCATGATAGATGCGCCTCGTCATATCGTGCCCAACCGGTCGAATCCGTCGCTGTCGAAAAGAAAAAAAAATGTAAAATTGAAATCAAGCCCCAAGAAACTTCTGTCCCTCAGACAAAACTCCGCTCATGTCTCTGCATGTTCGTTCCTACCTGCCGTCTTCGGCAAGCTTACCACACTTGACGCAGATCAGGCGTTGTCTGCCACCAACTCTCTTCGCTTTGAAATCCTTGCTCGCACATTTTTGACAAGTCATTTGTTCGCCGTCTTCGCTGGTATACTCGGAGCTCAGACGGCTGACAACCGAGTTCCGAAGACGATCTCCGATCCGCGAATTGTCTGGCTGTAGTAAATGTTCATCTACCTCAGCTTTATCAGCAGCATCCTCAATGCTCTTCGTTGTGCCTTTGTGATCTTCTTGCACGGCCAAGTCGTATATGCCCGCACCTAAGCTCTTGCGGCGGGAGGCTTTGGTTCCATTGCTAGCCGAAGTTTGCATTGTGTCTGCTGTGCTCATGCTATTCCGCCCCTGGCCAACCTGCGATTGCGATGTATTGACGTTACTAAATGACACCGACGATCGCAAGGATGAGATCCCACGCCATCGATTGAGATTCCAGAAAGAATAGCTGGCGCCTGCAGGATCAAGTCGAAGCTCGTCGCTTTCGTCGTCATCGGCGGATAGAAAAGAGAAACTCGGGGTCGGAGGGATGGACGGAGCCCGGTCACGGGAAGCCCGGCTCGATGTGGGACTAGCTGGGAGTTGCGGACGTGCTGGTGGTGATGATCCACTGTATGGTTGTTTTCGCGCTTCTGATGCAAGGTTGGAGGCACTATTGTTAATTGGCGTCCGTGACGCTTTGTTAGGCGATAGAGACCGTGGGCTTTGAGATGCTGTAATGATCATGGAGCTCGGGCGCCCACTTTCAATCCCATGCCGCCACGTATTGATGTCGGAGCTCAGCTGAGCACCGCCAGGGGCTGCCAGGCGGGATACCGAGCCCCGGCGTGAGCGCGGTTGGCTACCGACACTTGTGCGCGTTGCTACACTCCCGCTGCGTCCAACAATGCTTCCTCCCATGCGGCGGGAGAATGTTGAACCCGTTTCCCAGTTCTCATGGCGACGTTTGATGTACGCGCAGTCCTGGCGGAAAACCTTGATGCCCCCAGATTGGTCCGTGGTGACAAGAATTTGCCCATCAAAATGTTTCGACTTCTCGATGTAAGCGGGCGATTCTTCCGGTCTTTTGATCTTCTGCTGCTTAACCTGAGGCTTTTCGTCGTCCGAGTTACCTGCTTGGCTGGCAATGGACTCCTCGAGGCTCATTAGAGTGACTGGGGGAGGGTTGCAGAGGTCGTAAAGAGGATCCCCCGAGCCACCAAGGAGCTGGCGCGATTTGGTCGGAGCGAATATTGCTGTTGAAACTCGATCTGAATGGGCATCGAAGTATTCGCAAGGCTTCTCCTTGTCTGATTCTGGGGAATGCACAGACCAGATATACGTTCTCTTGTCTTCGCTGCCAGACACTATCCACTGTCCGTTGTCGCTGAAGTCGGCGTGAATTTGACTGCAAGTATTTTCGTAGCCCTTGAACTTGGATTCCAGGCTCTTGTCGCGCAGATTATATATGCGTACTCTTGAGTCGTTGGATGTGATCAAAACCTTAACTTCGTCATCAATGACCATCGTCTTGATACCAGTAATCTTGCTGCCCTTGGCATTCTTGCCTCTCGATGATCGCACGTGCAACTGAGAGTTCTGTTTGAGGCCCTCCGTGTCGTGAAACATGCACATGCCAGAGAGCCCTCCGGCTATTGCAGTCTTCCCGTCAGGCGAAAACGCCACAGCCGTGATGAGATCAGACAATTGGGTAGAGTAAGCTACAGCTTTGTCCGGAATACTCCAGAGACGCAGTGTCGAGTCGAGGGATCCCGCAAGGAAGAACCGGTCGTCAGTAGGATGAAACGCTATTGACGTGACGAAGTCCTTGTGTTTGAACGTGCAGAGACATTCTTTCCGGCTGATGTGCCATAGACGAACAGTCTTATCCATCGACGACGACAACAGAAAGTTGTTCTTGCTCCAACTGAGGTCTAGTACTTCGCCGGTATGCCCTCTGAACTCGTGAACCGGCTTGCTTCGGAAGACAGGTGCACTCAACCTTTCTCCATTGGCCCCATTTGCGTTTTCCTCTTCTTCGTGACGACGCCGCTCCTCATGCGTCGTGATCACAGCCCATACTCTCACAACTTGGTCTTTTCCCGCAGCAGCAAAATACTTGCCATCGGTGCTGAATTCCGTTGCCCAAATAGCTCCGCTTGTGTTCGATCGTCGTGTGTCGATTGATGCTGTTGCTGTCGTATTCGTATCGTCTTTCGAGTCGGGCTGTGGAATGAACAGCTCCTGAGCAAGAAACATGCGATTGAACTCGCGGATCTTCTTGCTGTGTGCCTTGACCCGGATGTACCGTGGAGGTTCTTTGTGGTGGGGTATGTATCCGGACCCAATGACTGAGCCAAAGGCCTGGGCATTGGTCCCATCTATTCGGTGATCGCTGAAGACGGAGTCCTCGTCGTCTTCGCGTCTTCGTCCTCCCCGCATACTCAATCGACTTAAGAATGATGGCCCTTTTCTACAATTGGTTAGTACCACTAGCATGAACGAGGGGACTCAAGAGTGCGGACTTTTTGTCCTTGGTGGCATCGAATGCATGCGCAGGAGGCTTCGTTGGCTGCTCTGGAACCTGAGTAGGGCTATCGGGGCGTTTACGAAGCTGAGGAGGAACAGTATGGCCAGTGTTGGTCCGCATCAGAATGTGCTGTGGAAGGTTAGCAACCAAAGGCTTTCCTACCGCCATGCCAACGGCGGCGACGAACCTGAGATAGCGGGTCAATTGCGGCAGGAGATTGGACGGCGACTGGCGAGGGCTTGTCGGCCTTGCCGTCCTTTGCATTCGGCGTCGTACTCCGGACGAGCTTCGTGGGTGTCTTCTTGGCAAAGGTCGGAAAACTGCTGCCTATGCAACGATTAACATCCACCATGTGCGCCACACAGGGTCAATAACGGTCCCCAGACTCAACCTTGGAAAACCAGGGCCCCAATGCGTGGCAGATCCGCATATCTTTACGTACCTTGAGACTCTGAACCGCCAGGTGACTTCTGGGCAGTCGAAGAGCCTTCACGGCTGAGGGGGGTCGAGAGACGAGGTTCAGAAACGGGTGCCGGGGGCGGCAGTGGTGGTGGTGCCTGGCCATCTTCGCGACGGCCAGCATCCATGGATTTTATGGCAGAAGACCTAGGGGTCGACATTTCCCATCATGCGAACGCCGACAAGGAAGATAGCCGCGTACAGAGTTGCAGGCACTTGGGCCGTTTGTGGGCGTGGGAGGTAAGCGCGGGTAAGCTGAGTAGGTCGCGGGCCTGAATTCGAGGTGTGGTGGCCGTCGGTGGGTGGTTGAGTGATTCAAGATGTAGTAATACGAGTGATCCGAGACACCCGAGCTTCACGAATGGGATTGGAGCAGTGTGACGACGGTGGGCGGATGATTTGACGGTCCAACGGGGAGGCCGGAATTCGCAGACGGCCGATATTGCCCGTCGCCGCGGGTGGCCGTGAATTGAACGGTAGGGCCTGTCTACCGGGTATATCGCTCTCCTGGATCCCGTCGTTTCCGATACGAAATTTTTTTGGGAAACGAGAAGAAGTGGACTTTGTGCTGGGCGCGGCGCGAGGTTTTGTCCCAAAGGAAAACGGCGCCCGCTTGCTCGCTCGACCGTCGTTGGTCAAACGCGGTCGGTGGTGGTGTTTTCTGGTGGTTGGGAAACTGGGTACGTATTACGCGGGTTCGGATTCGTCCAGTCCGCGTATTCCGTATGCTAAAGCAAGGCATCCACGCAGCCCGCGTTTCCAACCTTTCTTTGATGAACAGCTAGGTAAGGTATAGCTGGTGTTGGTCGGTAAGCAATTCCAGAACCTGCTAGTTGCCGCATGCGGGCAATTCGGGTTGGCTTGGTAATTTGACGGCAAAATTATGGTGTTGGAACGTATCTGTACTCGGAAGAATACGCAGTACGCAGGAAGGTAATCAAGAAAGATAAAGTTGTATGTCTCCGTCGATTCTCGGCTGGATCCGCATAGCTTCCCTTGCAGCTGTCCAGGATGCACCCGCTTCGAGAAGGGCAGAGTGTGGGGGAACAAGAACGCAGAAACGTTGTGTTTCTTTTTCTGGCGCAATGAGTCGGAAAAGATGAGACTGGCCCAGATCTGGCCGTATTGTATGTATGTACCTTACCCTGGCCAGATTCAAGAAAGAAAAATAGAGTCTGGAGTAATGATTACGGAGCCGAGGCACGAGGCAATTGGCGATTGAGTTTGCGCGCACTTGACACTCGTAGTGGAGGTGACGACGTCTAAGGTATGCTGACGATGGTTTGATTCTCCCTACTGAGTGCGCAATGATGACTTGGAGGAGTATTTATCTCGACGATGGAAGCCGACGGAAAGGATGAGCAAGGAAATGATCGAAATGAAAGAGATCCTTGGAAAGAGGAAGGAACCTTGAAAAGAGGAAGGCACGGAGAGTGGACCGCAAGGTACCTAAGGAAGGTAAGGTGGCAGAGGAAAGTGCGCCGAAAACAGCAGGTTGGCGTCAGATGTAAGAAACGATTGCGAGGGAAATCGGAGACATGGAAGACTCAGTCACTCATCCTGTCCCATGAGGTAGCACAAGGCAAGGCGAAACCCAAGACGACACACACACACACACACACACAAAATCACATTGGAGGCTTGGAGCACTGACACTACGCTGGAACTTGGATTTGGATCGCCTGCTTACTGATGCCGACACTGGACGATCGCCACCAGCCAGCTTTCCGATGTGTCCTCGTTCCTCGGTAACTAGGGGCACAGCAAAAGAGATCTAATTCATCCAGACTCCAAACATGGCGTTTTCTTAGAAAGTCTAGACTGGGCAGTCTGCAGTTCATAGTAAGAAATGGGTATTGGACACATTTGCACACTCCTTATCGCTTCCCCACAAACCTCTCCGCCATTCAATTATGCGCGCCGGCAAATTATACTCCATATCTACCTGTATGCGCCGAGGAAATGAATATGCTATTATGTTGAGTATCTATGGATAAAGTAAGGGTACTTTGAGCAATGGCAGGGTATCAAAACGATGACGAGACCTATGACGTCGATCTACACTCGCCCGACTATGCCTGAACTCAACTCGCCTAAGCCGGTCGATGAGCACGCACCGCACGGGGGTTTGGGTTGATACCCTTGAGAGGGACCAAAGGGTCTACGTGCCTGTATTCATAAATGGTAAACAAGGTATGAGTGATTTTCGGGGCAATTTGCTGAAATAATTGACTTCAGATGAGTCTACTTCGAAAAGGATCTTGACCTCGGTCGTAATTCGAAGCAAGCACCTGGCAGCGAGGTAAGTGGCAGCTCCGACCCTTCTGAGGCGTCGGGGATTCGTCCAGTGTTTCAATTTCACAGTGAGAGGGAACCTCGATCACCGGCCTGGAGCTGAGGATCTCTCGACTTCTAGGATCATGGAGAGAAGACCTAAACCCAACTGTGCTCTCCCTTTCGGCCTTTCACGTGGTCATGGCTGAGGTAGAGTTTCTTGAGCACTTGGGGAACCTTAATGACCCTGAATCCCCAAGAGAGGCTCTGAGGACCTGGAATTGGAGGAAGACGAGAATCGTTATCGGACCTGTCTCCGATAGATAGCGATAACGATAAGAGAAAGAAACATGGAATTCATAAAAAGACCTAGGTACGTACCCTACCTCAACCCCGCCACCGGGCAGCCCAGCGCTTCTGGCGTCACTTTCGGAGGTACAGTGCAGTGACGGCCTGAAATGATGCGCAGTGCATTCCGTTCCCCAGCAGCTAATTAGAGCCCAGAGGTAATTCAATCTGCCAATCTGCGTCCAGATATTTTCAAACATTCTCGATCTTCGTCATCGTCGCAACTTCAATTTCTCCCCAACACGAACCTAGTAATTTCTTACCTCTTCCTCGCGTGCTTCAATAGCACACCCTCCCAGACAATGAAGCTTGTTCCTACCAAGCCGTCGCAAAATATTGCCGAGGATGCAGTTACCCTTATGCCCGAAGATTCTGAGGATATGGCAAGTCCACGAACCCACTCTATCCCATTGCCTGATGCGTCTAACGCTGCGACATCTTGCGACGAGACGCTATTCACAACACACCAACTCAGTCCGACTAATAGCATAATAGTGGCATGCCTACAACCTCATCACACCTGGCGACCTCGTCATGGCGCATGCCGTGAGGAAAGTCGTCGCTGAAACGAAAACCGGCAGCACGATTTCCGAACGAGTTCACACCGTCCTTGCGATCCAAGTCAAGAGCACTTTCTTCGATCCCATTGTCGGTCAGCTCCAGGTCAGCGGCGTAGTCAAGTCGGAAAATGCCTACGTCAGTCTGGGTCAATATCACACGCTTGACCTCGAGGTCTCTCGCCCCTTTACGTTGAGCAAGCCGCAGGGCTGGGACTCGGTCGCCAAAGACACACTATCAGAGAGTCTGTCGGACGACAAAGATGGCGCCATGGCTGCCGTCGTCATGCAGGAGGGCATCGCCAACATCTGCCTCATCAGCCAATTCCGCACCGTCGTCAAGCAGCGAATCGAAAGCGTCATACCCAAAAAGCGAAGCGCCGCAACCGAAACCTCACAGGGCATGACCCGCTTCTACGAAAAGACGTTGACCGCCCTTCTCCGAACCGTCAACTTTGACACTCCGAGACCCCTGCTCCTCGCTAGTCCTGGGTTCACCGCGGCCGATTTCAAAAAGTACATTGCGGACGAGGGGAGGGACAAATCAGACAAGAAGCTGTCGGGAATCGCTAGGGAGGCGGTCGTCATTCACACAAATTCGGGCCACGTGCACAGCCTCAACGAGGTTCTCAAGAGCCCTGAGATGGGCAACAAGCTCAAGGACTTCAAGTTCACTAAGGAGACCAAACTGATGGATCAGTTTTTCGAACGACTCCGATTAGAGGACGGAAGGGCGTGGTACGGAACAACATCAGTGGCAAAAGCGGTCGCCGAAGGTGCCATCGGCCCTGGGGGCGGCATCCTCATCATGAACAACTCGCTATTCCGCAGTTCGGACATTCCAACGAGGAAAAAGTACGTGGCCATGGTGGACAAGGTCAAAGCGGACGGTGGCGATGTCAGGATTCTCAGCAGTGACCACGAGAGCGGCAAGCGGCTGGACATGCTGGGCAGTGTTGCCGCTATTCTGTCCTACCCCATCCACGACCTGGACGACGATGAGGATGAAGATAGTGCTGCAGCTAGCGGTGAAGCGGGTGGCGAGTCCATCATCTGATTCGACTGCGGATACATATATATGAGTAAACGATACCAAACAAGTGCATCATGAAAAAGAAAGATGCTTATAAATAGGAGGTTCAAAAACGTTATAAACTCATAAACTTGTGTAGGTGACTCGGCGCATCTTCAATTTCTTTCAGGTTCGGGCATACAACAAAATAGAAAGAATACTGCCCGATCTTAAGATAGCCATGGAGGGGCTTCAATGGCGGGGTAATCAGCGCTGCCCATTGCCCCTCCCCCTCCTTTTTTGGGCCGGGCCCATGCCCTGACGTAGGGACCTGAACACCCTGGACCGTCGCCTGTGCTCACTAAAACGCCCGTGTGAGACACGATTCGTGATCCAATGAACAGGAGTCTCCGACAACGCGCAGAAGCTCGGCACAGCAACACCGAACATGCAGCCGACGGGACAGATTGGATGGTGCAAATGGCGGGGGATCACTCCTCATTTTATCCTGGACTGGGATGACTAATGCCCTCATTCGAGAAGACAGACAATGCCCAGATTGCGAATGCAAGTGCTCTCAGCCAGGCCATCTGTATTCTTCACCTCATCTCATCTTCAAAAGCGCAATCTCATTCAACCCATCGCTTTCTCCGCGCACCTTTTCCACAACATGGCGTCCGCACTCACACTTCAGTCCAAGCAGAAGCTGAACAACGGCCTCGAGATTCCCGTGCTTGGTTATGGCGTACGACTCCTTTCCCTTGCGCGATTATCGTGACCTTATTACTGACATTGACATAGCTATGGAAGACGTAAGTACAACTGCAAACACATCAAACCAATTGACATTGCCAACATTGATTGCTAGTGCGCCCGAGCAAGCTGAAGAGGTCACTACTGAAGCTCTCAGAGTCGGCTACCGCCATGTGAGTTTTAACCATACAAGCCTCGATTCTCGTCACCTACTGACCGCCATCAAAGGTCGACTCGGCGGCTTCATACAAGAACGAGGCTGGTGCCGGAGCTGCCATCCGTGGTGTCAAGGACATCCCCCGCTCCGAAGTCTTCTTCACCTCCAAGGTTCGCTACATCAACTACGACGATGCCGAGGATCAGGTCAGGGATACTCTAGAAAAGACCGGCCTCGACTACATTGATCTGATGCTGCTTCACTGCCCCTATGGCGGCTCGGAGGGCCGCAAAGGCGCCTGGAAGGCCCTCGTCGAGGCCCAAGAGGCTGGTCTGGTCAAGTCCATTGGCGTCAGCAACTACGGCGTGCACCACCTGGACGAGCTCGAAACGCATATCAAGGAGCTAGAGGAAGAGCGCGGCGGCAAAGGCAAGGGCGGCGCCATCAACGTCGCTCAGTACGAAATCCATCCCTGGTGCGCACGCAACGACATCGTTCAGTGGCTCCAGAAGCGCAACGTCGCTATCGAGGCTTATAGCCCTCTAGTCAGAGGTGAGAGATGGGGCGACAAGACTCTCAAGGCCTTGGCCGAGAAGTATGGCAAGTCTGAGGCCCAGATCCTGCTGCGCTGGAGCTTGCAGAAGGGTTACATCCCTCTCCCCAAGAGTGTGACGCCCACTCGTATCCTGGATAACACCAAGATTTACGATTTTCAACTGACGGACGAGGACGTCAAAAACTTGGAGACAGACGAGTACTCCCCAGTCTGCTGGGACCCAACTGTTAGCCCCTTGGACGGACCAAAGAGCGGTTGACAGCATCCAGGGTCACTGGCGATGCAGCCTAGCTCAAGCTCTTTCGTTTTTAGCCACACATGTGTTCACTATCATAATCAGAAAGATAGACAAAGCAAAGTACCATGCATATACAAAACAAAATGCGCGTTACCCACAGATGCAACCCTTGAGGCCGCAGCACCCGCCCCTCCAAAGAACGAAAGAACGTCGTGTGATCACATTAATAGTCGCCAAAGACCAGCGCCTGGTCGACGAACTCACCTCTTTTCTGAACTAGAATCAATGAGCTGAGCTCAAATCCGGCCATGGGCGTAAGAATGGCCTAGCAAACATCGAATGAAAGGCAGGGTTTGAAGACAATGAACACATCCACATTCTGCTCCGCGCTAGAACTTCTTGTCATGTTTCTGAGGTAGTCAAGTAATAGTCCTTTCTTCCCCCAGCACTTGAATTGAATATGATAGGTACGTCGAGAAATAAAGTTGGGACTGGCAACGAGTTTCTTGTCAACACCGAGGGAAAGGTCTATCGCTCTCAAAGTCAGTGGCGACTCAAAACCAGGGAATTCTGAGCTCTTCCGCAGTCCCGCAATACCGCATTTGAAGCGTACTGCGGTAGTAAGCGCTGTGTAGACATGGGAGGTCAAAGTCGCCCTTGAGACAGGTTCTCGTCGGCCTAGGATCTAACCTCATGATACATTAAATACTTAGATGAAGCCCCATTAGTATTACTACTCGATGCTAAGAAGGCGACGCACATTTTCCCACAAATTTTCGGATCCGTGGGGACTTACGCTGTGTGATGTCAATCACTCAAATATGTTAGAAGTCTGAAGACTTGTGCGTTCTGAACGTCGAGGTTTTGATCACGGCCCTCGTTCATCTCTGACAATCTTACCAGGACAACCAATGACTAATGCTACTGGCTCTCCCAGTACTATTACTAACGCGACATTCACCTCCTGGTACTATTGTTCTGTTTCAAAAGGCATAATGCTCCGATATTGTAACCTAACTAGAGCCAAGTTACTATTTGATCTGTGCAAGTAAATACGGCCATTCCGCAGCCTATCCGCGAGGCTCTCGTCTGTGTTGATTGCAAGCCCTGCCAACCCACTACCTCATTGTTCAGAATAAGCTTCTGACTTTTGAGGTGCTTCCATTGAATAGAGTTTGCTTTCAATCTGGGCATTGACAGCATAGACTACCCCAAAGCTAAGGCATTTGAACCTTAACTGAGCTCGTGCCAAAACCACAGCAACTCCATGCTTGACTACAATGCTTGGGGTGGATTGTTGTTGAAACGAAAGGAGAGCCTAGAGAGAGACACGCGCTTCATCAAGACCCTTTCCAGATCAATTCGTGAGCGATAGTTATGTTGTGAAAACTTCCCTTTCTCTAACCCTTTCGCAGGTGGATATTTATGTGTTGCTGACAAGGGTTGACAACTCAAGGAAGAAGACGGTAACTTGTCCCGATAAGACAAATCAATCAACCTTTCGGATGAATCAGGGAGCTCAAGACTTCAGGGCAGCTCTTCTAATCGGCTAATTTTCGTATTGAGCTAGGTATCCCACTTGAAACCGTTGCGGGGTTATGTTGACTCTTCCGAGTCTAGCTCAAAATCTTCAGCTTGCGATGGATCCGGTGACGACGGCGGACAAGCAAGTTACAACAATACTCAAGCTTTGAGGCGTGCAAAAGGTGTGTTGCAATCTCGGGTCTATGCCGTAAAATATAGTGCATCGGGTCGGTATCCCGTGGTGGTGTGATGGCTTCTGGCCCGCCAGGTGTGACACGCGCTCTGAGCCTCTGTTGCTTGATGATTCTGGCGAGTCGCGCCAACAGAGCACAGGCGAAAATGAACTCTGAGCTGCGCAAGAGGAAACCGACGGACGATCTCATCTATATCATTCCGCCACTTACCGTTGCGCTGGATGCCGATCTACCCGTGTGGGCAGGACTAATTTCTCCGTAGACTGAACCGACCCACGATAAGGGGCACGTCCACCTTTATTACCAAATGTTCCAACTAGGGGTAGTATCAACTAAATGAAGGCTTACAGACTTATAAGAACAAAAGCACGGGGCTTGGCAACTCTTCTCACGATAGCCAACCGCATCACGCTCTTCTTCGATTTTGGACCTTTGCCAACTAAAGAGACCGGATCTCTCGTCGTTCGTTCCCCGTCATTCTTTTCACTCAACAGTCCTTACAAGATGCGCAACTCAATCACCGCTGCCGCCGCTTTCCTAGCTCTGGGAGCTAGAGCCGACATTTACCCCAACTATGAGTATGGCAACATGTTCTACCTTGGCCCTACCACCGGTGGTCAGTATATCACCAAGGCCACCTACAACATGGAGGTCCCCAACCCGCCCACAAACTGGGTGAAGACCGATGAGACTCAGCGCTGGCTCTCCCTCTGGATTGGTGTTCAGGACAACCCCAACAACGGCGACGTGCTCAACATGAACTTTGTCCAGCCCCTCCTTAACTGGGGACCCGATAACTCCGTCTGGGGCTGCAGCGCTCCCAACACGCAGTGGTGTGCTGCTGCCAGCACTTACCAACCCAGTGGTCAAATTGGCCAGGCCTACGTCCCGGTCAACAAGGAGGCCACTCTTGAGTTTGAGAGTATGTTTGCTATGCCCGATTCGATTGCGAGATCAATTTGCTTACAGTGTCGAAGTTTCTCTTAATTCCTCCACCGACATGATCGACCAGAAGATCTGGCAGAACGGAGACCTCATATCTTCCGAGTCTGACTGTAAGTTAGGCCCCGTATCAACTTCCAAGACGAATGCTGACAACCCACTACAGCCAAGGGCATGAGACCTGCCGTCTTCTACTCTGGTAACGAGTGCTACGGCGATGGCTGCGGGACTCTGCCGGCTTACAAGTACACCAATATCACCCTTGTTTTCGACAAGGCTGTTACAAACTTGGCCGACATTATCTCCTATACCAACGCTACCCACACAGAATGGCAGACGAAGGACAACGGTATCACATGGACCGTCGACTCCATCACCATCGCGGAGGATAACTTGACCGAATAAGCCGACAATCTGACGCAAATCTTTGAGATTGTTTGTTGTCGAAGGCTTTCAATTCCTGTAGATACATTGTCACCACCGCCAGCCGTATCGGGCTTGGCACATTGTGTTGTAAAACCATTGTAGATATCAAACTGTACATACTCTAGGGCGTCATTACCCGCTAAGCATCTGTACAAAGCGTCATGAAAACACGGAGGCCTCTCAGAATAAGAAGATTTCTAAAGTATCAAGCGACGCGCCGTGAGTAATATATCACATCAGCGTCGGGTTTGCGTGCAAGAGAATGTGATGTCGAGGGTGTGGAGAATGCCAAGGCCATGGATACTTGATGATCACGGCGTGGGGCCCGGCTTGGGAAGATGGGGCGCCGGCTTGGCGCAAAGACAGATGGCACCCCGGCGGAGTTAAGAGGTTGCAAATATGGGAGGGGATCACTTAAAACGGATATCCTGTCGCCTGAATTGTGATGGAATACGTCAATAACTGTGGCTGTCCAATGTTTCTAGTTTCTGGGGTAAGCGTCGCCCGATGGCCAAGCGTCGGAGCTGGGTGTTCCCAATATGGAAACTCAGGTTTCCGACTCCCGGCCGCAACCAGCGGACTTACGATAAGCTCCCACGCCTAATGTAGTGTCCAGGGAACCGAGTATGATCTATTATTTTTTGAGGCATTTTGCGCACTTAGACTGCTTAATGCCGGCAGGGCCAACATATATCAGGATACGACGAGTAGCTAGCGTAAAAGACGTAATGACGTTGTCTGCAACTGAAAGACTTCTTCCATTTGAAATCTCATACCCAGAGCGAAGCGTATTTACGCCTAGTGTGCCTGTAAATCCGAGTCTAGCGCACGGTCTCATTTGCCTCACGATGCTCCCATTGTCTTACACGATGATGATCCACAATGATGCAGAAGTACCTTTTCCACGTTTTAGAAAGGCAATTAATTTCCAGGCGCTGAAGAAATACATATAAAATCCACCATGCTATTTACCTGATCGGAAAACATTCCTAGCTTGTCAAATGGTTCCAAAACACCTTGAGTGACCACTATCAACAACTGCTCTACCTTTCAATCAAAAACCCACCGTGTCGGTTTTCAGATATCATCTACACAATGGCTCCCAAGACTCTTCGATTTGCCAAAGATCAGCCGGAAGGCTTTGTGAATCGCATCGAGAAAGTTGCCATCGTCGGTGTAAGTACCTCTTAAACCAGATCGCGACCCCCCAGCAAATCACAAGAAAAGAGACTGACAGTTCGAAGGCTGCTGGTACCATGGGAAAGTTTGTAACTCGGGAGCTATTGAAAGGTGGAAAGCACTCGGTCACCGCAATTACCCGACATGACAGCGATTCCAAATTACCCAACGGCGTTATTGCTGCCAAGGTCAACTACGACGACGAGAGCACGATTGTGGAGGCTCTAAGGGGACAGCAATACTTGATCATCACAATGAAGTCCACCGTCGGCCAGGAGACCCAAAATAAGCTTGTACGGGCTGCGGCCAAAGCTGGCGTCCCTTACGTCATGCCGAACGCGTGGGGTCCTGATCCGAAGAATGAAGACATGATGAAAGATGCTCTTCTCGGTTCTTCTTTTCAAGGAGCCGTCAAAGAGATTGAGCGCCTTGGGGTAAGCGAATGGATCATCATGTCTTGTGGATTTTGGTACGAGTTCAGCGTGGCCGGCTCGCCTAATCGATATGGATTCGACGTCAAAAACAAGTCACTCACCCTATTCGATGAGGGCGATGTTAAGATCAATACTTCCACCTGGTCTCAGTGTGGCCGCGGACTGGCCGCTTTCTTGAGCCTCAAGTGGCTGCCTGATGACAAGGATGATCAATCTCCCAATATCCAGAACTGGGCCAACGATGTGTTCTACGTCTCGAGCTTCTTGGTATCTCAAAAAGATATGTTCGAAAGCATGAAGAGGGTCACGAATACAACAAATG